TGGGATTTTTAATGACCACAGAGAGTCAGGACCTCAGTTTTACGTCTCATCCGAAGGACGGCGCCTGTTTACAGTATAGTGTCCCCGTCACTACACTGGGGCATTAGGACCCACATGAGCCGCAGGGTGAGAGCTCCCTGCTGGCCCCACTAACACCTCTTCCAGCAGCAACCTTAGTTTTTTCCAATGATTCTAAAGCAGCTCACATGTAGGAAGGTAACCACTTCCTCAACCACCACAGTGAGACATAGACCAGGGTGACATGCAACATCTATACTAGCAGCTCCACTACACAGTGAGCTGAGGTGTGAGAAATTGCTTCAGCGATTGAGGTAAGAGGGTACCTTTAGGGAGGCCAGAGTAGCATTTTGCCATAACTCAAATGCTAACACAGCTGCTCTTTCAAACAGAGCCATGGAAACTTTAATATCCAAATTGGTCAGATTGGTTTCACTTCTCATCTGATGGATGGTGCTTCCTACAGCTCAGTGCACCAATAGTGCACTGAATTAGAAATTTGGATCCAAATGGAAGAGCTCTACTTACTGCTCCATCAGCACCTACAGTACCAGCTTTGTTTACCTCCTCCTTCCTCATCCAACTTCTCTGTTTCCCTTCTCTCTAGCTTCTCTCTTCTTGACTCAGCATCCCTCAATAAACTAGTTACATGCATGGAGCCCACCACTTCTATTTTGGATCCCATTCCCACCACTTTATTTCAGTCCTGTTTCTCTTCTCTCTGTCCCATTGTCCTCAATATTATACATGAATCCATGAGCACTGGCATTGTACCAACGGTCCTCAAATCTGCTGCCATTACCCCCGTGCCAAAAAAGCCTAACATGGCTCTCTACAATCTTAACAATTTTCGCCCCATCTCCAACTTACCCTTTCCAACTAAAATTCTAGAACGTGCTGTTACAATTTAGTTACATGACCACCTCATGATAAACAACCTTTTCGAACCCCTCCAATCTGGCTTCCGTCAACTTCACAGCACAGAAACTGCCCTGGTCAAAGTCACTAACGATCTTCTAATAGCTTTTGATTCTGGTTCTCTTTCTATACTCATCCTCCTTGATCTCAGTGCTGCTTTTGACACTGTTGACCATAACATCTTACTTTCTCGTCATGAGACTGTGTTTGGAGTTTCTGACACTGCTCTCAAATGGTTCAAATCTTACCTCACTGATCGCTGTCACTTTGTCTCTCTTAGTGGGTACAGGTCTGAAATTGGTCTTGTTAAGTCTGTTGTTCCTCAGGGCTCAATACTGGGCCCCTTGCTCTTCAGCGTTTACATGTTCCCACTTGGTCAGCTTTTAAGATCACATGGCCTCAGCTTTCATTTTTACGCTGATAATACTCAAATATGCATCCATACCAAACATGACACTGATGTGGCTGTCTCTATTCTATCTTATTGCATCTCTGACATAACAATTTGAAAGACTCAAAACTTCCTTCATCTTAACTTAACATCCTCATTGGCATCCCCCATCAACTTCGTAAAGCCAGTCCTGTAACCCTATCTGTAGATGGTTCTGTACCTGAGCTTCAATCAAAATTGAAAAACCTTGGGGTTATATTCAATTCTGGCTTAACATTCGACCCCCATGTGCAGCATACTTTCAAGGCATCTTTTTTTCACCTTAGAAATATTGCTAGACTACACCCTATGCTATCTTTAACTGTGGCTTAAAAGCTGATCAACACATTTGTATTCTCTCGAATTGACTACTGTAATGCTCTACTCGCTGAGGTATCTAAATCTACTCCAAATAAACTGCAGTATGTCCAAAATTCAGCAGCCAGAATCCTGACCAGGTCTAGTGCAAGTGATCACATCACTCCTATCCTGGAGTCCTTGCAATGGCTTCTGGTCAAATTCCGTGTAGACTTTAAAATCCTCATGCTCAACTATAAGGCTCTGCATAGCTTGGCACCTCAGTACCTGTCTGAACTATTATCGCCCTACTCCCCACCTCGCAACCTTTGCTCTTCTAATTCTGCTCTGCTTACTGTCCCCCAAGCCCGTCTACATTATATTGGTGACAGGGCCTTCTCCCGTTATGCCCCCAAGCTTTGGAACTCTCCCTAAGGATATCAGAGAGTCACTTTCTCTAAACTCCTTCAAATCCAGACTCAAAACCCTCTTCTTCAGAAAAGCCTTTACTTAACTGGTTCCACTCTTCACCCCTCTGCTTTTCCTAGTACCACCATCCACGGTCTCCTCTATATATTGTAATTGTGTTTTATCTTGTGTATTCTTCTTATTTATTGTTGTTGTCATCCTGTAAAGCGATTTGAGAAGCCACCTTTAAAGGCGCTATATCAAATAAAGTTTATTATTATTATTAATAATCATATTTTATCAAAATCAAATGTATAAAATATAATATTTTATTAATAGGCCTGTGTGCTCTGATACCTGTATACGTCAGCTGCAGGAGTAACATTAAAGCTGGTGCCCAGAAGAATCTCAGGAGCACAGTAGATGCGAGATAATTTTTCACAATGGAATCCATTACTGTTCATCTCAAAGTCCTTCTTTCTGTAGGCTGCAAGCCCATAGTCTACAAGAGTGTATTGGGGAAAAAAGTGCATTAAAAACTGTGCTTGCTTTTATGTTGCTACTGTATTTAGGCATCAAAGAAGAGAGTAAGTAAACTTAGAAGCTTAATTAAAAAATCAAATCACTGTAAATATTAAAAGCCTATAAAAGGATAATGTATTTTTATTGATAGTGAGCTTGCTTAATTCTTGGATAATCCTGCATTTATTTATTGATTTGTTTGGAATGTAGCATTTTTTCCCCAAATATATAGCACTATATACTGTACTGTGCCATATTTAAAAAAACTGATGGAGCAGGGCTCTGGTAAAAATTAGATATTTATTTAAACAGGTTTGTGCAGCAGGGAGAATAGGGGGTGAACCTGTCTGACTAGTGGGGACTGGGGGACTATGTTGTAAAATGTGGGTTTGTACAGGTCACCTGAAATCTTGCAGACCCATCGATCATCTATGACACAGTTTTTGGAGTGAAGTCTTCCATGAAACATCTTGTGCTGGTGGAGATAAGCCATTCCACGTGCAATGTCAGTTGCAAATGACAATCTGTGTAGAAAAGACCAAAAAGTTAGCAAAGGGAAATCAATACTGATACTTAGTCTATAAAGTCTTTGTTGTTTTTGAGAAGAATCCCATCAATAACAGTTTAATTGACAAAATTCAGTTAAACTTGTCATAGATTTTAGGAGACTCCTCTATGAATCAAGCAAAAATGTGGATAAGCATATTGTTTGATTTTTATGCTGGTTTGAAAAATATTTTCATAGTTCTATACTGCATGAGTACACACAATAAATTCTAACTGATGCTATAGATTATTGACCAGTTTTCCTTACTGCTCCATAACATATATTATCGTGATCAGTTATCAAAATAAACATGGCACCTACATGACATATTAATCTTTTAAGAAATGTTAATTTGGAGAAAAAAAAATGATTTTACCGAAAACCCCAGTTAATTGGAATATCTTCATTCAAAAGAACTTCAGCAAGGCTTCCCTTTGGACAGTATTCTGTGACAATGGTGATGTTCGGGACTTCAATGGATCCACCAATAAATTTACACAGATTAGGGTGATCCAACTCCCTGTTGGGTGACAAACAGTTATCAGTTTGGAATGGCTGTCTTCTGTCCACCAGAAATAGATTTTCTGAACAAAGCAGTAAAAACTTAGAATAAAACTACCCTTTGAATTCATTTTCTTCAGATTCTGATTTATCACAGAAGATCATTTCTGTAACATTTGGCACAGACAATGATCAAAATCCATGGAAAAGTATAGGGGAAAAAAGCTGTTACTTACCGTACTTCCTTTACTTCTTTCCTTATTGTTTTTGAGAGTGTGAAGTGTTTTTTCTGTATGTGTTTCACTGCTACTGTTCTTCCATCACTGCAAATTAGCACACAAGATGGGTTTCAAATCACAGAAGGTTCATAATTCCTTTGGTTCTGCCTTGTCATGTGACTGTTCAAACAAGAAGAAATCACAAAGCACAACCAAACATATAACAGATGGCTCAGAGTTTTGTTGTTCTAAAGCACTTACTAGATGCCAGCTTGAATAATGCTGTGTTTCAGGGCAGAGTCTACCACAGAGTTCCCAGTAAGATCTGTCATCCTGCTTGCATCGGAGTAGCTTGTCTCTTGCTGTAAACTTGTGGCACTGCAGAATCCCATATAACATAGCTGGCCTAAAAAACAGTGTTTCTTAATAACAGCCCCTGAATACAAAAGGTCTTATGGAATCACAGAACTGATTTTGCCTGTTCTAAAAAAATTAAATTAAATTACCAAAAGTGATGTCTTTATAATTAATGATCCAGCTTTCATCCCAAAACATCTTCTGTTTTTGGTACTGAAGCCACTGAAATATAAATTGATTAAAATGTCTGGTTTATTAGCAATACAAGAACAATATCAATATAGATTCAACATTTTTTGTAGAAACACAGGTGTGCCATCAGAGAACTTTCAATAAAGTTAAATGGCCATGATTTGTTTGAATCGCAGCCAGCCTACCAGCTTCATAGAGACTGCATTTAACATATATTAACATTATCCGCTAACAGGGATGGTAACTTTTTTGGGAAGAGTGCCTTAACCATTGCTATGTCAATTAAAAAAATGTTGGGTTGTCAGGCAAAGAAAGTGGTGTCGATGGTGCTTAACTGTTGACACTTAGCAGTATTGAGGCTAGTATTCAATGACACTGAATTGTGGTAATTGTTTTGCTGTGAGTAACAAACTTTTAAAAATACTTACAAATACAATAAGAAGCGCATAGGCAGTAACTAGGCTAAAGATGCTGGCTACTTTAAAGAAACAGCTGAATAGACCCCCGAATCAATAAGCTACTACTAGGTTTGTTAGGGCTAGGTTTGCCAACTGTCCTCCTCTCATCTCATTCTAATGCTGTTTTGCACATAACCACAGGTGCCATATATGTAGTAAGTGTAGATGTCACACAGTGAGAACCAAAAGTATAAAAAACATGCAGTACACTGATCCAAGTATATTTAAACAGTATTGATAGAGTTTATATATATAGCATATACTTTAGCTTAAATGTCCAGTGTAAGAAAACATAATTTATTTGGACACAGTGCAATGAACAAGTCAAATATGACAGTACTCACTCACCACTATGGTTAAGATAAATCCACTGCAAAACAGAGCTACTGGCAATCCAATGGCAATCTTGATAGCGAGAGACATGGGACAAGAACCACAGTCTGCTGGGCAGGTTAAGCAGCTCTCCTCTGACTCACACTCCCCATCTCCACACACTGACAGGGAGACCACAAAGCAGTCAAACTAACCTAATAGCAAAAGATTATTTTCTGGACATATCACAGACCACCTATTGTTTTCTGCAACGAAAACGGACACTGTAAATGAACAATTAGAAGACATAAATCTGGTAACCTTGGGCACTGACTACTAAAGTCTTGGCTTCCAGAGCAGCGTGCATCTGTCCCACTTTGATATGTGCAATCATTGAGGTGACCCCCACATGAACCAGCACCACCTGCAAACACATGGATGATGCAGACACATGGATAAAACCCAATGAAGACCATGCAGACACTTTACTCTTCAGTTAGGAATTTATAAAACCATGGCATTACTTTGACACAAATATGCAAGTACATATAATGAAATTTACATGCTAGCAAATGTACTGTGCATTTAGAGGACTAGAAGATACCTTTGAGGTCCAGTACAGCTGGGTCATCTTGCCTGCCTGAGACACTGTGTGTGTCACAATCTTTCCATCATCTGGAATCCATGGGCCACAGATTCCACTCTGTCTCTGAAACAAAATTCACAAATGTCAAACTCTAATAGTCTCAAACGCAAATCTTGGAGATTGATTGGTTGTCCAATAGTCTTTGGCTTTTGTGATGCATCAGCTTTCAGTTAACTTGCTTAAAGTCATGGGTTTCCATAGTTTTATTGCTAGAAGACAATAGATATGTCTCAATAAAGACTGCCAATTCAAAAATAAAACTAGATTGAAGCCTATAATTATTATTTAAAAAATTGCTACTATTAAATTAAAAAACAGAATGGCTATTTAACATCCATCATGAGCACTGTAAGAGCAGATTCCTGTCGACACACAGTCTCTGAGGACACCCAGGTGATTCTACACCTATGGTTTAGTTGATTAATTAGTTAAATGCAATTTAACAATTAACAATTTCCCTCTGGCCTGCAAATGAAAGGTTCTGTCACAGGAACGACTTGCATTTTAAGGGATAATCTCCAGGGCAGAGAACTTCAGCTGGAACAAAACCAAACAACATCCATTCATTTTTTTATCTCTTTATCCAGTTCAGAGTCAAGTGGGAGCCAGAGTCCGTCCTGACAAGTAACTGGTGCAAGACAGGATACACCCTTGATGGCATGTCAGTCCATTGCTGGGCAGACAGACAGAGACACAAACAGCCACATACGATACAGCAACTCCAATTTCCCAGAAAACAGGTAACATACCAGTATGTCTTTGGCATGTGGGAAGAACCACAGGAAACACACAGTGAACACAGGGACAACACTCACAAAGTTACAAATGCAAGCATGTAATTCAGCCCGTCTAGCTACTGTATGTTATGTTGCCTGCAGCACATTTATCAGTGGATCTCATACAGCTATTTCTTGAATGAAACCAGGGTATTGGCTTCTACTACATGGCTGCATAGTTTGTTGCAGACTGTCACAGCCCTATTGAAAACAGAACTGTGTTTGAAAGCCCTGATACAGTTTAAAAGTAAAGTGAAAACTAGAGTAAAGTGCACTTCTTTCTAGTGAACAGGATGAACTTGTTTCCACATAGGGATGTGAAAGTGTGGAATGAGCTGCCAAGCCATGCTGCCACAGCTAGTAGCCTGGCTTCTTCCAAGAAACACCTGGAAGAGTTTAGATACTAACAAACGAGCTTCAGTATACAGGCCAAACGGCCTCCTTTTGTTTGTAAACTTCCTTATATTTTTAAGGAGGGTTTTTTTTTGGGGGTGAGGTTGCATAGTTTTTTTCTATAGCACAACAGAAATGAATATAAGTACAGTGTCCTAAAACACCAACCATGAACGCGAGGGGGCAGGAGTGGATGTTGGCGTGGTAGACACAGCAGTTGTTTTCATTGGCGCTATTCCAGTTCTCAGGGCACTCATGCTCATGACAGAACCTCTTGGCTTCAGAAGCATTGCTGTGAGGGAATATAACACAGATATTCTCAAAGGGTAAACTCAAGCATCCGTTTGTCCTGCTGGTGGCCTTCAACATGTAAATGTCTCAATTGAAACCGACACAGAGAATTAACTGAAGCTTTTGATGCATTAAGGGCCTAGAAGAGAAAAGCTTGACTTTTTGAACATCTCTAAAATTCTCCTCTTCAGTACAGTGTTAAGTTAATAAGGTTCATAAGCAATAAAAAGAATTGAAGGCATTGCTCATTATTATCCACTGCAGTTTTCATTGTAAAATTAAAGGGTATATCTGAGATTTTTATGTTACAAATTGTAATTAGATTTTAAACATACTACTGTATGTTTATACAATATCTTGTATTAAAGATAATACATAAATCAGGATTAATCACATACAGAAATATCTGAATTGACATAGTGTGTAGAAAAAAATAATCATGATTTGTTTGACCATTTAGCTGAGCACCACACGTATACAGAACTATTCACCAAGGAGGAAAATAGCTGCTGCATACCTGAATCTCAGAATCTTATTATGAACTGCATACTCATAGAACAAGTCTGGTGCGATCACAGAGTATGTGACATTGAACTCCTCGCCACTTGTTACTTTCTCTGGAGGGCGCTTGACCCAGGACATTTCAAGGCCTGAAAGAAAAGACAAAATCAAGACAAAAAAAAGACAAAACAGTGTTATCCTCATTCAGAAAGTACTTTATACATTGCTTAAACAATCTAACAGAATTTGTTATAAACTGAATATACAATTTACAGTTTTCACATATATCTCTGTTAGCTCTTCATAGCTTTTAGCAGGAGTTATTTGATTTTTTCTCTGAGTTTTATGTTAATCAAGTATTTCTAGATGGATTTATAGCATTTAACATAGCCGTTTGCTCAATATTAGATCAGAACAACATGATGTAATTATGTTAAAATATTATTAATTATTGTTACATTTCTTAATCTAAATTAGTGATTGAAATGTTGGTATACAATCACAGGATTGTTCTGTTTTATGCAAAACAAACGTAATGCTAGTATATAGCCAAAGGTACAACATTGTAGTCCCTTTCATAACCCAAAACCACATATTAGTCCTCATTGTGTTGACTTACCTCCACAGTCAATCATATTAAAATCATTAGGCTGCACAATCGGCCAGCAGTCATACTCTGTATTATCCAGATCATGCCAGCAGTCAGCAGTCTAGGAGAAACAGAAAATTCACAATGACACTCAGTGCATCAAGTTTCTACAAAGAATTTTCTCTTGAGTGCAAATTGTTATAAAAGGTTTTTTCTTGCTTAAATACAAGCCAAATTACAGTTTTTGAAAGGAAAATCTGCATTTAAAAGGTCCTTTAAAGTAAATGTTCAAATCCAATGTTTTTGTTAGTAATTGCAAATGAACACTTTCAAACCAAATTAAGAATAAATACCCACTTAAAAAACATATAAAAAATTATTATGAAGTAAGAAAAATAAAAAATATATTGTAACTAATTATAACTATCATTAAATATAAAAAATGAAATTTTTTGTGTTCTTGGTTTTTAGGATGTTCACAGGCACAGCTTGTACATTGTACATCATGTAACACATTTTAAACAGTATTTTATTCTATTAGAATCTTTATCTTCACTTCAAAAACCATATTGGTCTATTTTTTTTAAAGGTTGTAAATGTTTTTCTAGAGCTAGTCAACACATTAAATATGTTTAAATATGAAAAACGTATTTCAATCTTGATTTAACTACTAATTCCATAACACATTAACAGAAAACTAAACTAATTTAATGAAGGACCCAAGGTGTTTACTTCAGAGTGACTCTGGTAGAACAAATCTTGCAAAATAAAAAAATAACATGATTTAGATGATTCTTGATGTATGAACATTTTAGTTTTGTAATTTGGTCTACCTAATTAATTTTATTTGCATTCCTATTCTTCTAGTTTATTGCTATTTAATTAACCATTCTCTATCATTTCAAATGTCTTGAACAGAGTTACGGGTTTGTTTCAGTAAAATAGGATTTATTTTCATGTTTTAACAGAACAAACATAACATTTTTATTACACAATGTGGTTTCATTCGTAGAGCAGAATTCTGGTTTGTGAAGGTGAGTATTTGTATGTGCTGTATACTTGCAATGAGGGTGGCTTAGTCTGGCAGCACACCAACACAAGTGTTTTTGACATAAGCAGAGACCACGAGGCTTATCTATAGAAAGTTCTTCAGAAATTAAAATCACATTCTGTTATGTAAATAAAGATCTTGATATGATACTTTTACAAACACAAGTTGAATTATATATTAATTATTTTTGTTCTATTTGGAAATGTGGAGCTGCTTAAAAATCCAAGCATTGTGATGGAACAAAACATTGTGAAAGTTTCAGAATTTCTGAGGAAATCAATTCCTGTGACGAGATTTATTGTTAAATTAATGACAATAATAGAATTACTTATCCAACTTAAAATTCATGGTGAACTTTCATAATTACCTGGGACCTTCCGTATTACTCACCAAAGTAAAAACTTGAATATTTAAGCTAATATTTTTTAAATGTTTCACTAAATATAAATTATATTTTTCAAGTACAAAAATATACAGTGTTACAAAACAGCTTGATTACTGCAATTGTTTTACTCACCAGAATAAGAGAAACAATCAGTATTGTCTGAAGTGCCATGCAACCTCCTGCCAGTCTGCAGTGTGGAGCTGTGTGTGCTGCTCACCTCCCAGCCAGACTGCTCTGCAAGCCAGCTGCTCAATCAGCCCAACAGCTCTCGGTGCAGAACATCTAATCACCAGGAGAGCTGCTGCTTTGGCTCTCTTTCTCTCCTCAAGCAGGCATCTGCTGATTTCTCAAGAACAGCCGGAAGAGGCTGTTGATGTTTTTTACACAACAAACAAGTTTTATCTAGGATGTAGACCTTATGTTGTTTTATAGCAAATTTGTAAATATAAATTGGAATCATTTAGCTACTTTATTCTACTGTGAATTACTTGCTGTTGTTGATGTTATTTTCATTAGAAAACATTATTTTTTATTTTGCCATTGTTTGGAACTTAAAATATGTTAAGTTACATTTCTAATTAAATAAAGATATAAAACAATTCCATTTATTAGTAGAATTGCAAATCTGAATAAACTAAATATATCAAATACATTTTTTAAAGCAATGACATACCTGTTGATGTCACACAAAATAAAACTCAAAATAAAACTATAACAAATAATGTGGAGTGATTCTCATAATAGGTCTACCTCCTGCTAATATTTATCAGCTAAAATATTGCTGATATTACAGTCTAAATGAAAAAATGCTAATTGTGAAAAATGATCATGGTGGGAATTCCGATTAAACCTTCATAGAAATATTGGTGTTTGTGATACAACAAGTTTCAAAATACACTTTTGACACTAGATTTCATTCAAACAGATTCTCCAATGTCTGTGGCAGAGGGGCCAGGCTGGGTTTCTGTGTCAGCAGTGCCACCAAGTGTGCCTTCATGGACACCTAATACTGAGGATTGTGCAGCAGTTAGAGGAGAAATGGATTCAATGCTTCTACCTGACATGCAGAATGTGTACATTTGTAATCGAATGTAGCAGGATATAATTGATGTAGAGGAGAACATGTTTTAAAAAAGAATATCATGTTCCAGTGTTTAAAGCAACTGCCTTCCAAAAAAAGGTACATCATTGAAACTATGAGTATAATGACAGTGTTGTGGAATGAAGAACTAAACAAAACAAAAATGTTTGCATTAGGTTAATAAGACATCTGTCTTATGGATTTACTGTATATTATTCTTATTGACCCCAGCATATATAGCACTATACTAAGTTAAGCCTTCAGAGAGAACAAACTGTGTCTTCACTTAAGAGTCTTTAGTCTTCATGCACTTTCATTTAATAAAATGTAATTAAATTTACGTAGCTATACACAAACATTTTCTAGCAATTACAAGATATTTTTTAAATGTCAACATTATCATTAAATAGGATGCATCTGAATTAGGTTTATGTGAGTAAAAGCACTTCATGTACTATTGATCAAATGCACTCTCAAGGTTTCATGGTAAAAAGTCCATCACTTGTTCATTTCTGCCACCTTGTGGTGATATAGTTCTCATTTCATTAACATGCAATGTTGCTCTAAAACACCTTGTTTTGTACCTGTTGACAGTCTAAAAACTAGATATACGTGTTTTCAACACCTTCATTATTGTGTTCTTTTACCTGGGGCTTTTTTTAAATAAGAATGCCCACAGTTTAGTTTCACATAAAGTGACATTTTGAGTGACAAATAAAGCTTAACTGAAAAAAGGAGGGTAATTGATTTGATTTGTGATATGTAATGGCCTTTTTGATATTTCAAAGATTAATCATTCTGATCTGATCTAAAGATTATTAAAGAAATTAAATTTAAGAATGAATTAAAACTATGTATATTCATTTGATACAGATTTAATTGGTGCTGATTTATGTAAGGTAGTCATACAGTCATACAGATGTATCTGAAATGCCTCTCAGGATGTTTTTGGATATTTTTGAAGGACACCTTAAGTATGAACTCACTAGCTTTTTATCTCCTATTCTAAGTTGTGGTTCAGTTAAGTTTTAAATTAGTTTTATTACAAAAGAGCTTGTGAAAAACTGAACACAAAACACCACTGTTCTCTCTGAAAGCAAATCTGATAAAAGCACAGTCCATTTCTATGTGCTTTTATACCTCTGGAACAACATGAACAGCCTCCTAAATTAAAATAAATGCTGTGTTAAGGACATACATATTTAGAATGAATGTCTTTGTACATTACAAACATCACAAAAGTTCTGCTGTGAAACATTGTTTTGCCTAAATACATACCTTCCAAAATACAGATCTTCATGGATAGAGTCATACAACAGGTTTGCTGCCTGCTTGCTCTCATAAAAGAGCTGTCTCACGTCTAACTCACAACAAGAAAGCGAACAAAGAACAGTGTAGTTCAGTTCCATAGGTCACCCAGAAATCTGTCACAGATTTCAATAATATTTTATAACCCTTTCTTCAGTGATTAGTAAGTGAATTGGTTAAAAGTTATTTCTTCTTAAAAATACAATAAAGCAAATTAATGCTATTTTTGTGGAAAGCAGCAACATCTGATTTTTGGAGGTTACATCCAGCACTATGCAATAGCTTAGGTCAGTGGTTCTCAAACTTTTTGGACTAAGTACCACCCCTAATCCAACCAAAGCATCCAAGTACCACCTGCAAGTCATCATCTCATAGGAACCCCAGAAATTCTCAATGACCAACATGAGCTTGCGTGCACACACTCACACATACATATAATAAATATTATAATAATAAACTTTGTTTGATATATTAAAATGTGGCTCCTCAAAGTGTTTTACAGAAAAAAAAACAACAACAAATAAAATTAAAAAGCACCATTTCAGTGAGAGGGGTGAGCCTGTTTAGTCGAGCAAAGCAGATGTGAATTAATTTTTCAAGCCTTGATACAATTCACAACAGAGTCTTAACAGATTTTAAATCGTCAGGCATTTTCTTGACGGCCAAGGTCTCGCGGTGGATGTTGCAATTAAACCATTAATTTCTAGAGCAACCTCTCTAATTCGTGCAACTACACCGCTGTGTCGGCTTGTCATTGCTCTAGCACCGTCTGTACAAACTCTGACACATTTTATCCAGTCGATGCCATTCTCTTCGATAAATTCATTCAGAAGCTGAAATACGTGCTCTCCAGTAGTTCCTGTTGGTAGCGGCTTACAGAACAGAAAGTCTTCACGGGACGTACCCTCAAACTCGTATCTAACGTAAACGAGCAAATTGGCCAAATCGACTATAGACTCATCTAATTGCAGTGAAAAACATCTGCTCATCTTAACGCGCTCTGTCAGCGTACTTTTGATATAATCCTTCATTTCAATAAGTCTATGAATGACTGTATCTTTCAGGGGGGGCAGCAGGTCAAGCTGTTCAGCAGCTTTTTCTCCACACATAATAGTGTGGGGCTTACCTGCTTTAGCAATCCGCAAGCTTGCATTTTTCCACATTTCCATTTTTATTTCAGTGTTTAAGTATTTATTTCATGCGCATGGGAGAGAAACACAGAGACGTATTTTTCTCAAATTAACTTAGAACAGTTCTTAAATATTTTTCTGTTATTTTTCACACTTTCCTGTGCTCACAAGATTACCAGCGTTCGTAGCATGCATTTCTATGCATTCCTGTGTTTTCAACGTTGGCATTGTTCCAAAATCACGCACATTCTCCTTTCTCCCTATTTGCTGGAGATACAGTAGCTTTTTTTAAATACAATTGGTCACTTGCGTCCATAGCACGCATTAGTATCTCTTGTGTCCACTGAAGTATTAATGCGCACTGTATCATAGTACGTAGGCTGCGTATTCAACACGTATAAAAATACAAAATATGAAAACCCTTCCCGATTTTTTCAGCGCACACAACACAGTTCCAGGGTCATTTGGCGTACCACCTGGCGGCACGCCACGTACCACTGCAGGTACGCGTACCACAGTTTGAGAACCACTGGCTTAGGTTATTCCACTGAAAGGTAAAATTCTATTAACACTACATTTTCATTACTTATTACTCATGATAATTACTTCGTATGCCCACTTTCTGCTGAAGTGTTAAATCATTTTTAAGTGTAAGAGTGAAGCTTGGATACAAAATGTATTGCAGGTCTTAGATTTATACAAGCCTTATAGATTTCTTACATCCACTGTAGATTACTTTCAGGTTCCCAGTAGTCCAGTCTTGACCTTCAAACACTTTTACAGTACCAATTTTCACTATGCTTTATAAAAAAACATACCTTTAATTTTTTTTTCACTGAATCCAAAATTGCTATGCTGGAGTTAATCTGAAGTGAATAAAATAAATTAAAAATAGCCTGATCGTTTGAATGCGTCTGTGGGTGATAACTGAAATGCAACTAATGAAACTTGTTTTTCTTTCCATGAAAACAGACAGCAATAAAATTAGTGGTAAAACACAGCAAACATTAGAAACAACCTAAAGTGTAATAAAGGAAAAGAATAGCTGTTAAGAAGCATCCATTTATATGCATAATGTCATATCATATCATAATCATATTTATGAATGTACTGTACAGTATACTGTGTTTTACAATTAACAATTTTGTTATGAAACTTTTAAAAATCTGCATATGACATACTGTACACAAATTTCTATTAAGTTCTTTATAATCAAGGAAGTATTTGCTCTCAAATTCCTCTTTATAGTTAGTGATTCAAGATAAACTTAAATCTTTAAATCAGTGACGTCACTGTAATAACACACTACACAGGAGTATCACAGTGCACAGGAGTCTGCAGGAGGCAACATGTCTAGAAAAGAAAATCAGGTATTTATATGGTACATTTTGTAACAGCAGTTACTAATGAACAATGTGTGTAAACCCAAATCCAAAATGCAGGGAAAGTCAGGTATATACAGACTCTCATTGAGCATACTAGGCAAGCACCTGGACAAATTTGAGGATCCATTTCCTTATACCTATGAAACTGGTTTAATTCAGATGGCATTCTGTCCATGCACAAAGTACAGTTCACAACGTTCTCCTGTCCTTCAGGAGACAGATCATTCCTTGAGTTCTTCTTGGGTGGCAATGTTACCTTCCTCAGCAGTGATCTTACATTCCTCAGTATTGATCTTACCATCCTCTGTGGCACGGATGCTGATGTCCAGACTAGAGTTCAGAGCTTTGGAGTTGGCTCTAGAGGACCTCTGTCTCCTGGTGCCTGTGCAAACACAACGGATCATGTTCTTGAAGGTCATCCACATTTCCTCATCCTTGTAGGAATAAATGATGGGATTCAGGACAGAGTTGAGTACAGCTAGCAGCAAGAACCAGCGTTTGAAGCCCAAAAGTTTGCACTGCTTGCAGTTCAGACCATCCAGTAGCAGAACCACAAGTCCAGGTGTCCAGCAAATCACAAACACACCTAAAAGGTCAGAAATATTAAAATTACAAGACAACGCAATTGTTTCTTAATACTTCAAAAAACAAATTTTGTTCTTTGTGATTAAGATAAGGTACTAAATATTTATTTACGTGCTTGTTTAGTGCAAACCAGTTTTACATCTTTAACTTTAAAAGCTTTCATTTGAGAGTTTGAAATATGAGACAGGCTCATGGATTGTTCCCTGGAAAAGATATCACCATATTACCCATAAAACTGCCTCTTGCAAAGAAAATATATAAAATTCAACATTCCATATAAATCAGAATGCAAACGTTATTGTAACACTTTGATGGTTGCATTTTATCAGTTACTGAGTCTACTGTGAGGTTAATACAGTATATTAGATAAAAAATTCTCTTTTTTATATCCACTGAATGAAGCCTGGTACACTTTAGTAATAGAAATAACAAGTAAATACCAAAACAAAAGTTTTACGGAAGAGAATAATTGGGTTGCATCTTGTCAGTATTATAATTATATTTAATATAATTATAATTTGTATTGAACTCCTTGACCTGAGCTGATACAGGTCTTGAGCTAAAATGTAAGAAAAATTACTAAGTTAAATCCTTTTTAGTGGAAGCTTATATGGCATTTTTATCATTAAGTATTTAACATATACAGTACACGCATCTCTCACTTTACAAGCTCAATGGGTACGATAATTTCTGCTTGATGGCTTGAGGGAAAAGTGCATCCTACAGGACCACCAACTTCACTTACAAACTGTTTTTCTGCAGAGGTTTCCCAAGTACTGGACAGACCCAGCAATCTGATCACCAAGCTACAAGGTGGTCAACATTGCTGTTTATCATGCACTAACAAAAAAAGGCAATTACACCCTTTTAAAGAAAGCAATTGCTAGCCTGTTCCCAGCCTCTCAGTTCTCTGTTGTTCATTTATGTTTGCCAGTTTAATGTAAAGGAACATCCTCATCATTGTGTTTTGTTCAAGCTACACTGCAAACATCCTTGAGTTCCTTCAGCTAGTAAAGAACATCACAACATATGTATAAGGAAAGCAGATGATCAAAAACATTCTACAAGTAGACAAATGTGAAAAACATGAAAGGCTCAATACGCAGGGAAATCTAATCCTGATCTCAACCCTAATATCCAAGGTCACGTCCATAGATCATCAAGAGCTACAGTAAACATACATACTTTCACCAAAAAACACTTTCAAGTCACATATGTCCTTCTTTATGTTATTTTTATTTATTTAGCAAATGCCCTTATCAAGGGCAATGATGCTTTATGTTCCATATACTGTAATGTAAAACACCAATGATTGATGATTATGAAATAAATAATATTTCCTTCTGTTTTTCTCTAAGACCCGTCCAGGAAATGTTGTTTTCATTTCATTTTTTTTTAAAAAGCACCATTGACCTGACATGTAAAGTAACCTTTATTCTCTACAATTCAACTGTTCATGGTTCCAGAGAAGAATGAGCTGAGAAGAACACCACAGTTACAATGGCATCCAATGGCTTCCTTGTACAAGCATGCTCTATCAGCCTTGTTCTGTGCTAGCTAAGGAAAATAAAAACAAGTCTATTCTGTAACATGTAGAAGTGAAATTAAGTGCATACCTTTCAGATTTTAGTCATTCAATGTGTTATTGTGTATCACATTTACTTAAAGACATATAATACAATTTTGTATGTGACTCAACAATTTACAAGCTTAGAGACAACCTCAATGCAATCTATAGAGATAACAATTCTAATTTAAGTATTTCAACAGTCATCTTGACGTTCATCGACCTTATAGGACAATAAAAAAGAGTAATAAAATGTGGTTGTGTGTTTCGAAAGTAAAATTGTCTGTGGAATGCATTGCTTATATTTCAAAAGTAACAGGAAGGCACATACTGTATAATTCTCTTAAAAGCACCTTTAACCTTTTTACTATAACTTTTAAATAGCATCAGTTTTTATACTATGATATTTGGCTCATCTTTTATAATGTTTTAACTATATCAATCTTTACAATGGATAAACAAGAAAAAAACACTTGATAGAAAAAATGAAATAACACCTGATTAATTTTAGAAACATGAGATCTTGAGCTATATTGGTTAAAAGTACATTATACTAGTATGAGTATACAGTATATGCAGTGGTTCTAAATAAAAAGGAAGTAATCAAAACAACTGGAAAGAGTCTTTCTCCTCAAGTACAAAAAACAAAAGTGCTGCACTTTCAAGCGGTACTGTATTCAGGGAGGCATGTATGTAATTGGGAGGAAATATGGATTAACATCTTTTGACTATGCATGGTCTTTGCAAAAACATTTTTGAATAAAAATACAATGCAAACACAACAAAGCAGATTTCATATTAAAATATGACCAATTTACTGAATACTAACTTCTAGACAAATCTGGAACAACACTGTTGTTTGACCTGGTACAGAATGGAACATGGAAAAGTTTGCAAACTAGAGGAGGCCGTTAAATTAATCTTGCTCCTCTAGTTTTTTGAAGCTGATTGATTGGAGGACCTTATCTTGGTGTTTCAAGAAATAGCTTTAACAACATTTACGTAACAGTACTGAAAAAATAATAGACAGAAAAGAATTTCTTATAGCAAAGATTGAGTTGAAACTTGTCTAATTACCATTTCTAAGTCTTAAAATGAAGCAGGTTAAGTTATAAATACAAAAGAAGTCACTATTAATGCCACAGTTCTAAAAAATGCTACAATAATTGCAGTTGTAGTTTATTTTATGTACATTTAATTGTCAATTTACTGTTCAATTAAAGAACACTAGCAAAGTCAAACTGTATTTTAGCCAAAGCAGTGAACGCTCTGAACATGTCCTCAGATGTGAGAAAAAATAGCAAATTAGATGTATGGTGTGAAATATGAAGTATAAAAATATTCAAGAGGAAGTCAAGCCCTAAACGTGCCCTTTCTGCCTACCAATGTATAAATAATAACACTCCGAGCTCACTGAGGCATTTTGGTTTGTGACCCTTCCTCCACCCTCTGGCAGCAGTTCCCTGGCTGATCTTCATTAAAGGAGGTTTCAACGGCCCCAGTCTAATGGATAGGTTGTCGTCTCCTCAGCCAGGCAGATAATGGAAATACAAGCTCATCAAATCACACCTCCTCTTTTCTCGTTAGTTAGGGTTTTTGATTTTCAAACAATAAGTATCATGAAGGTGCAGAAGATTAAAGCAATATAGAAGATATTAAACTTTGGGCCAAATGAAGAAAGATAAAAACACAACAGGTTCAGATCAAGCACCGTTCATTTCTTTTGTAAGAAATCTAACACAGTAAACATTAAACATAAACATAACACATTAAACAATATACAGTATGTCAAATCAAACACATATCTAGTTTTCAACCACCTCACGAAATACTGATAGTTTTTTAACCTGAAGTGAGTAATATTAACAATCCCTTAAGTCCAAAGACCTTTGTGACTACTAACTGGAAGCCATAAAATACAATCTTGCAATTTACAAAGTACAATGGTTCTATTAATTAGTGCTTACAGAGCTCTGCAGCAAGTTGAGCTTCTGATGTCTCATGGATGAAAAAATCCTGCTTGCATGATCTCAGCTCTGCTGTTTCTAATGGGAGATTAGGTTGTGTAAAGTGTCTTTGGGCAAAGCTTACAACAGTCTGAAAACCTGGATGTATCGGAAACTGTAAGTTCCTACACATTGCTACTATCAGGCACAATGAAACCACAGCCAGATAGGTTTAAAATTTAACAATGCTTTTCATTTAAAGCTGTCAACGGGTGAAAGAATGTATGATCATTTCTTTAGCAATTACTTTACATTAGCACTTTTTGCAGTACATTTATTTTAATCTATAAATACATTTTCTTCAAAGAAAATGCTTTTTACGTGATGACTCCTCAACTGTAACCTTTTAACAGACCATCCAATCATACCACTGACCACCTAACATAAGGCCTTTTTGTCCACATCTCCCTTAAGCCCCCCTCCAGTCACAGGCACAGTAGTATGTATAAACATGGCCCCTCTGGTCATTTCAGAATTACCCACAGGGAATTATGTTTATCCAGAAACTGCATCTCTTCCAGAAAGTCCCTTTCCATGTACATTAGCAAAGGAGCCAGGAAAATGTAGCCTAAGAAATAAGATGAAACACTGAAAGCAGGAAAACACTAAGAAGATGGAAGACTGACAGGCCACAGTTTTCCTAAGAAAATACTCTGTGACTACTGTAACTTATCATATTATTCTTCAGATATTGTCAAGAAAACTAAACAACCAAGAGCTACTGTATAAGAGCTACTGTGTGTCTGACAGACATGAAAGAAACATGTTTGACTTTCCATCTTTCACTATGGAACTAGACTTATAATATGACTGTTACTAACTAGTTCTAATTTAAAATGCATATGATTGTTACTCACCATATCTCCTATTTCTGCCAAAGTTAAACATACGCACAGCAACAAATATGATTATGGGAAGCTCAGCCCCACCCCAAAGTGCATTTCATATGGACTTACAAAATCCCTCAAGGTTTAACTATGAGTTAAGTTTAAAAGATTCGATTCTCCAACATAACAGTAAACCCCCAGGGCTCTGGGCTAAGTTTCTGGTTTGAAATGAAATGTGTTTTAGAGTCTTACAACTCTTCATGGGAACCTGTTTGTATTGTACCTCTTTCATATCTGAATACTAATATAGTTAACAATAATGAAAATCACTTACACTTTCAGTTAACTTAACATTCCCATACTGATAATTATTTTGCAAAGGCATTGTGAACTCACCTAGCACTGTCATCACAGTCTTTATGAGCTTCATGGGTGTTCTCTTTCGATTTATAGATCCCCTGGTGTGGGAGGACAAGATGGATGTTTTCCTCTTGACATATAAGTATATTCGCGTATAAATTACCACCATGATTAGGAAGACGAAAAGGTTGGACACTGACCATGTGGTCAGATAGCTTCTGCTGAAGATAGGTGCCAGAGTGGAGCAGTCCTCAAGGCTGCATATGCAGTTCCAGCCCAGACTTGGCACAGCACCCATGGTAATGGAAACTGCCCACACCAGCACTATTAAGAATGTCACACGCCGTTTTGTGAGGTTTCTGAGTACTTTTAGTTTCATTACAGAGATGTATCGCTCCAAGGCAATTGCTAGCAAGTTGGCCAAAGAAGCTGAAAGACTGGTGTCGAGTAGACCCTGGCGGAAGAAATAGAGCTGTACAGTGAGCTCCTTGGATACTGCTCCTGTGTTGAACATAAGATACACATAAGCTATTCCAGCTAAGAAATCTGATGCTGCCAAGTTGGCTAGCAAATAATAGAAAGGATAATGGAATCTCTTGTTGGTGATCACTGCTGCAATGACCATCGCATTGGACACAAAAATGAAGAGGCAGAAAAAGGAGCCAAAGCACTGGACAACAATGAGCTGGTTGGAATCCCAGTCCTTTATGGTGTGGTTGCTGTTGTTATAAAAGAAGCCCATGGGCTTGCCATAGTAGCAGTAGTTTGCACTGGGATGCATCATGCGGAGCTTCTGAGAACACAGGTGATTCAGAAAGAACAGAATGTTATTGACCAGTATGGAGACAGCCAGCAATTTTCGAAGAACATTTCTGTTAGTCTCTCTTTAAGACATAGAAATACAGTAGCAAAATCATCCCTATATAATACATAATAATTTAACACTTAAAAGTTTAAATTTTAGAAAAATACATAAACAATGTCTTTGAAACAACACAATAAAATCTCAAGAACAGCTGCATGAAGCAGACTAAAAACTGGCTTTAAAATATGGTGAGGAGCTGATCAGCTTTTTATAGACACTGAGCAGGTGGATAAATTAGCTTATGTATAGCATGCGTCTTACACTTCAAAAGTAGGATACTTGCAAAAATGATTCATGATAGATAAAACAATAAAACAAACATAAAAATGAAGAAATGGCTTTGAGTCTGATCCGACTTCCTAGTTTCAAATGAAACACTAAAAAGAAATTTAAAACAAGATGCACAGCTAGAATCAGGTCTGTGTTTTGGGAATAACATTCTCTGTTTCAATTTTAAAGTGCAATGTAGGCTACCAGGGTGAACAATAACATTATGAAGAAAACAACCTTGTCAACAATTGACTTCTAAAACACAAGCAATAAAAAACACACTGGTATGGTAGATTTAACTAAATGAATATAACTAAACTAATTACAGGTTACAATAACTAGTTAATAATTTGTACTGAACTTCAGAAACATTAGTTTAAATGTCATATTAACTGCTTTTTTACAACTGAAACTAAGTTGAACTGGAGCAAAAAACGTGTCAGTTTTGAAAGCTCATTTCTTTACGTTCATGGTGTATACCTTGATTCGAGTTTAAACTGACGCAATACTATCGTCAAAGTTGTTGAAGTTTAACGCAGTTTTGTAAACGAACGAATGCACTTGACAAAGAAACCGCATTAAGATCATTAAGAATGTAAATGTTTTAAAATAATGTATTGCGAAAGCCGTAAGGTACTCACCAGTTGTGTGGTTTATCTTGACATTCTAGCTCTGCGTGGTAAATACAGTATATATAGTACATGTTTGGGTACTTTCTAGAGACGTTTTCCTATTCGTTTTACTACAGTAATTCAGCTCTTCCGTGCTTCTTCTTGAATTGCTCATGTGTACTTTGGCATCAAGCAGGAAAGAAGTGGTTCTCGGCGGCTTTGAAGGATGAAACAAGTTTTACAAAGTTCGCGCTGACGCACCGGGCGTTGGTCCTGCCGATCTCTATCTGTCTGAGGAACCTCCTGCAGCTGCACACGGACTGGACTCCTTAACCGGGGTTAATGGAGTATAATAAAAAGAAAGAATAATGTAATAAATTACAGAGACACTGGATGACGTTTTTCCCATGAAGATATACAGACACGTCCAGTTACAGGTAATATTTATAATACATCTTATAAGTCTAAAATAGCATAAAAAGCAGTCACACAAAGTGTACATTTTAAATTGTGGTTCACAGGTTCTGGTTGCTGTTACTGATACACTCCTCACGCAGACTAGTCACTACACAGCTGCATAGTTGTGGCTTCTAATTGTTCCCAACTATTTTACAGTATTTTGAATCTCGTTGCAAACGTGAAAACTTGTCCCTTGGCAACACATTTCGGAAACACTAAATTGGTAGTTTAAAAAACATTTGAATAAGAATTTTGTTCTTTTTTTTTACCAGGGAGGGAAAAGCATAACGTACTCTTCAGGTAAGAATGAGACAGTATGAAACATTCACCCTACACCGCAGGAGGTGGGTCTGTGCGAGAGAGGCTGGTTTACTATCATCATAGTTCATTTCTATTCGCTGTGCTACATTCAAGTTGGGACCTGCCCAGGTTACTTGTGAGTTTAGTTCCTTCTTGTGATTGTGCAGCGCACTGCCTACAAAAATAAAAATAAATATCCAGTTACAGATAATACTGAGAATCATCAACTTTAGGACGACGAATTGAACAATACTGAAAATAATCTAATTAAAAGAATAGGGTTTATTAAAAGAAAATGCTAGGACTGCCCAAGACTAAACAAAATAAAAACTTTAAAAAAGATAAAAAAGATTTGTACTTTCACTGGCTTTTTCCAATCTGTGAATTGGAGACTTGTAAAACTGGAAGGACCGTGTTCCTCTGGGAAGAGATGTTGCCAGTCCAGGTCTGTGGTGCAGACAGAGTAAATAATAGTTCAAAGTAAACATTCCCTAACTTATCAAGATCATGCTTGAACATGGTTGGATAAATGTATGTTGGTGTCTGAAAAAAATCTAAGGAATCATTCAAAACACTAATATTCATGAGCCAAGCAAAACACAGGAAGACTATTCCCACAGCACACAGTATTAAAATCAAGAGGAGGCTCAACCCACAGAAATATGAATCTCATTAACCTGTTACTTTCTGATCCTTTAATATCTGAAATGGAAGTTTGTCCTGGTTCTGCCTCTTTTCAGGAGAAGTGATACGTTCTCTTGTCTCATAATTTTTAATGTTAGATGTTAGATTTTAGATTTTGCTCTTCACAATTTTTTTTTTTCCATGTATGGAATGAAACAGTCCATGAGCCACCTGTGTGGTTGGGGGAATATTTGACATTGATTTACTCAATTCCTCAATGATGTCAATCTGAAATGATGTGTAGCTGGGCATCTTATAATGGGGTCCACCTGTATGACATTATTGGTGAAGGGCTCCACATTCTCACAATGGTTTAATCAGTGTTTTTTATTACAGTACTGTATGTGCACAGTGGTGGCTAGGGGATAGAAGTACAGTATCACGCCGTATTTGCAATGTCATGTTATTTATACTTTTCTTTCTTTCATTCCTTTGTACTTCAGTGGTCAAGTCATAATTGTAAATGCGAATCCGTTCTTATCAGACATATCTGAAAGATAAAGTACTGTTACTTCTACATGTAACGAGAAATAAACATGAGAAGTGTGTTACACCTCAAACTCAGCAGAAACTCAGGTATGCAAGGCAACTATTGAAGCCGAGCCGCAATTTGTAATAAGTGACTCTAGAGCCTGTTTTACAAAATCTTTATTGTAAATTCCTAACATAAAATACAATAATGTTTTAAAATATTTTTGCCTGACTGCTCTTTTTAAAATCAACAGAACTCTTGCTAACAGAAAGTTCATAAAAGTTCAAATGCCTTGTGACAAAAACTGAAAGTGTTCTGAAATGTTCTTCCACAGCTTCCTGGAACTCAAAATGACCCATGAAATATCAATAATATATGCTACAGATAAAAATATTGTAAAGCAACAGTTGACCGTATGGACACTAAGGTGAGGTTTATGTGTTTTCCATTCTCTATATTTTTGTAATCATGTGCAAAATGTAATTAATTTTCTAATTATATCAGAACCTAAATTGTTGATATAGATCAGGAAGAGCAACAGGTTTAAGGTAGAATGTTACACCACTGCTAATATACACTTAATCAGAGATCATACCCCTTTAGATTATGTGCTATTTCAAGTTAGCCCCCTCTCTATCCATGTGTACACATTACCACTGAGTTCTGTTGTCCAAGCCACTCTATAATAATTCAGTGTAAAGATCCTTTTACAAAAGTAACTAACTCCTCTGGAGGTTTAGAGATTCACTACATAGGGACTAGACTGAGCTGAGCTGGAACCACTTAAATAATACAACTCTTAGCATTATCCTTCCTCAGTAAAATTCAGATAGTTTAGATCAACAGAGATCCAAGACTGAGGCAAAGAGCAACAAAAAAGAATATCAGTTTATACTTGATTCATACTATACAAAAACAAATTATATACATACTGTATGTACATTTCTTTTGTTTATTTTGGCTGTTTATTTTTTAGGTAAAACATGGAACTTTAAAAAAGGTAATGCCGCTATACCGTAAGATATCTTGGACAAAATATATTTTCTTGTTCCTGTAAATATTTTCAGCAAGATGCATACTTAAGCTTCACTCTGACAGTTAAATATGAGCCAAAAGTTTTTCTAAGAACATAGCCTCTTAAATAGGCAATTACCAACGCCCTAATGGATCATAATGCAGGTTTCTCATTAGCTACTGTGTGTGGCATGAAAAGGCCAAGAGTTGGGCAAATGATCTAAGCATATACGATCTATAATGGCCAGCATTATAAAGTAATTGTCACTTACTGAATTATGATCTACAGATGCAGATTTAAATTAAGAGGATAAGGAAACCATTAAGAATTATTTCAAGACCTAATGTGGTATACAGTGGAAATGCCACTTTTTCGGGGTTTAGTTTCACATTAAAAAGGAATGAAAATATAATTAGGCTCATGAACAACATATTCTTCACCGCAGATTATATCAACTCCAAGTATGTCTCCAAAATGTCCAGCACCCTGGATCTCTCCTGGGTTTGTTTTCCACTGAAAATGTGGAAGCTGCTCTCACAGTCTGTTTTCTATAGTCTTTTCCATCGGTTTCTTTTGTTTCCAGTAGTCTTCAGGTTGGTTAAGACTATATATGGTACATAAAGATTCTCTCAGCTAATCAGCAATACATCTTCATCTCCCTCCAGCCTGTTAAAATGTAACAAAGTATAAATTAGAACTGACAGATTAATCAAAATGTTTAAATATTTAATGTTCAGAGTCTTTCCTGCTTTCATTTCCGTTTCACCACTTTTTAAGTACAGTTTGAATCAGGTGTGACAGTTTATCTGCAGTCTGGTAAATACCATTGAAAAAGAAAAAAAAATTACAATTTTTTTTTACAAAAAATGGAAGATCTGAAACAAATTGAAATTTCTTCTTGGATTAATTATACTACAAATTAAAAACTAAACAGTGAAATAGATTTTTAAAGTACTCATCAAAACTACTACTTGTGTAGATTAAGACTACAGTTTAAAAGATGAATGTTAAAAAAGCTGATATAGAGATATTTCAGATTGTACTAGTATAGTCTTATTTTTTTAGCATTCAAGTTATTTCTAGCTTTCTTTTCCAAAACTTTATCAGCAATAGAAGTAAGACTAATTAGGGTATACATTTTCTTCAGTTTTCCCATTTTATATAAATTAGTTGACATCTGCAGAATTCCAATCTGTGTGTGCTACTCCCATTCTAAGTAATAAATTAATTATCCTAACTAGACATCTATTAATAATACCCATTATACCGTATGGCATGAGGAATAACATCTTCCAGAAGAAAATGCGACAGGAATGTGAATTAAACTCTTGTTTAACCAGCTTGGCTGAGAGTTGTCCCCTGGCTGCAGGATGAGGACATTAGGACCCCAGACAGAGATCAAGTGGGAGTTGCAAAGTTGCCAGAGAGATGGTGGAGTGGTAAAAAGAAAGACAAATGCAGGACAGAGAGGGGTTTACAATGAGAGGTATTTCTAATTTTCTACAGGAAGAGACATCGTGGAGAATTGCTAGTCAGAGCAGAAGATGTGAGGAGACCTTGGTTGTTGTCTTCCCTCATGACAACAGAAATGTAAAGGTACAATGTCTCATGGCTGTCTCCTGATTCATACAGAAGCTGTTAATCCTGAGGAAGCAAAAAACCCATGAAAAAGAAACAATGATGGAAGGCCCTACTGGCAATCAGCAACATGTTCCAGGAGCAAAGCTAATTTCTATTATTTGTATTACCTACATTAGGAAAAATCACAAACATTTTCAGCAGTTTCCTACTTCCTGTCTGTCTTTTACCAATGTGTTTCCATGCTACAACAATCTAAAGCACTTTCTCCAGGTCAAATAATCAGACGAGAGCATTATTAAACCTGACAAATGTGGCTAAAAACTAAATTATCTGCCTGAAACCTGCTGTCACACTGACGTTCAGATCTTGCTGTATGAGATGCCAGTGTCTGGTAGACATGTAATACAGAAGTTCCAGTCTGATGGCCAGCTTAGACTAATATTGATTTAGACCGACACACACAGTACACAAGAGCTATGAATATGGGAGAGGGGACTGCTATTACAGTTTTCTGCAAAGGTGTCTTTCCTTGCTCTCTAATAGAGAGATGGGAAGTCTCCATAGAATGGGAGTGAATTGGAAGCCTTTCAACAAATTCACAGATTATCTCCCTATATTTTTTAGCCACAGCAGTCTAAGCTCATGAGCAGGATAATATTTGCTACAGCGATTATGTACCTGTTGCAACAGCACACAAAGGAGCACTTGGCCTCCTGCTCTTTGCAGCTCTCAGAGGAGGGGAAGTCCCTGTATCTCTTCAGGAACCTCTGGAGGTCTGTCATGGGGAAACCATTCTCCTGGTAATTCTTAGCAAATCAGGACAAAAAACCATAATAAACAGTGATTTGCAAAAGTGTTAAGACCCTTCCTATGGTGTCCCATTTTGATAAATTACAAAGTGATTCATACTCATTTTCTTCAAATCCTGCTATTGCAATCTGTCATTCAAGGTACCTTAATGGTTTCATAAGAGTCAGTGATGAGGGCGATGAAGAGGCTGAGCACCATGTAGATGAAGAGGGAGATGAAGGAGTAGAGATAAACCCGGCTGAACAGCCAAACCAGAGTGCTCTTCTCCTGGAACTGGGCGAAGGTGGCGAACATGTCATCTCCGTTAACCAGTGAAAACAGGCACTCGGCAACTCGACTCAGACCCTCAAACTGTACTTGGCAGAAAAACAATAACATCCAAATGTTTTCATAATCTCCACGGAAAAGCAAGCAGATGATGTCCCGTGTCAAATAAAATAAATGCTAAGACTTTTGTCCTGTTGTTTTGTTTGTATTTTTAACTGCACATTCACAATTTTCTCTAGTTATACGCTTAACAGTCAAGCTTGAACCCTCATTCTTCATTCATTCCCTCAAATTCCTGCATACTGTCAGAGAGGACAGAGAGGGACTCAGCTGGTGTTTAAGGCTTATAATATTTTTATGATAGATATAACTGCAGATCAGTCACAATGCCTTTATATCAGCAGTAGTGCTGCAGTCACTGAATTGGCTCAATGGCAAATTCATTTGAGGTTGAATAATATAAATTCCTTTCAATTCCATTCATCCAAACATTTTTTAATTGTTTTTACCTGATCCAGTAGGAGAGCTGTAGTCTCTAAAGTGACTTCTCTCCTCTGAAGCAAAATACACGCTGGATGTATTCCAATCCGGACACAGACACAAACACACCAGGGACAATTTTCCCAGAAGTCAATTAACCTACCAGCCTGTCTTTGGACTGTGTGAGGAAACTGGAGCACCCAGAGGAATCACAGGTGGAACATACAGTACAAACACCATGCTGACAGCACCCCAGGAATCGAACCCAGGGTCCCAGAGCTGAAAGGCAGCAATGCTGACCACTGTGCCAGTTGTACAGCCCATAGGAATTTTAGCCAGGACACCACAACTACACTTTTGGTTTAGAAATTGCCACCATCACCATATCATAACACTTGCATTAGGGATAGAAAAAACTTACAGTATCTACTACTGAGCACAGGAGTACTCCTCTCTATGTCTAAAATCAGGTGGCATAATAGAAGCCTGACTGATTGTGCAACAGTGATATAGCTGTTAGGATTTTCTTTTAATTGTTTTCACATTTTGAAAATAAAATCAGCAAATAAATTAAATAAAAAAACTAAATTAACATTATAATATTCAGCCTAGAGAGGAAATGAACCATTGGAATGAACAGCATTAGTAAAACTGCAGAGACAATTCCAATAAATCTTTCCAAATCTTCTTCTATAAAAAAAACTTCTCAACATCTCAGAAATAAACCCAGAGTATTATACACTAAGCCAAAACTAAAAAGATTAAACCCAGCTGAAAACACATTATGGCTTTACAAATAAATCAAACAACAAAATGAAATAATGCATAAAATCTGTTCACAATAAATAGGTACCACAATTTTCTTAAATTATAATTAAATAATACTTATATTTGACTAATTTCTAAGGAATGTGGAGTGACTACAGATTATTCCAAGAAACAGCATACAAGGAATGCTCAGAGTTTTTACAGGTGTCAGTAAATCATCTATTTCTTATTGGTTTTAACCTGATTACAACTTACAAATAATTCACCTCAGTTCTGTAACTAAATGGTGAAATTAAATAGCCTGTAAGAGTAAAGGTCTAATGACATGTATAGGCTGCTTCAAGTTTTCCAAAATAGCCTCTGGTTCAGCTAGTTAAACAAATAACAAAACTGAAGTGGTCTAACACCACCAAACCCGGCACAATCATGACTATTTGATTAAAGCTTAAAAAAAAAAAATATGAGAAAAATATTTCTAGCACAGTTGTAATTTCAATGGTCAAATAACAGCAACAGTGCAAGAAAACACACAAATCTTCATATTTAACTTTATGGGTACAAAATAACTTTCCCCTCTCTTGTGCTCTGAGCAGCATGACACTGAATTATGGATACAGGTGGAGGGAATGCAGAAAATATATGCAGGAGTTGTACTCTAATATGTTTACTGATCATGCCACTAATCATTTGTGGTCATTTGCGGTAGCAGACATTCTGTCTGTCTGCAAAGAGAGTCAATAATACACCATTAACCTCTAACCATACATGGACTGGAAAGGCTTGGACTACTGTGTCATTTCCTATAATTTAAAATAATTTATTCAATTTGATAAAATAGTGTCACCTATTATATTCTACACACGTTAGCAAGTTTAACTTGATGAATTACAGTACAAGCACTGTGGTGGTACATTGTTTTGCAATAATGTAATATCAGTGTATGTGGCAACACTGCCCTCTCTTGGACAGTTTCATACTGGTCAGTACAAGATGCAAGACAGATTTGTTCTTTGGTTACATCATGTCTTTTTATGCTTTCTCCGTGACAGATGCTGAAGGTCTTGCAGTCATTCAATGGATTTGTAAAACTGTTTAAAACCCATATCCTAATGTTGTTAGGCATGGGAAAGTATCATGTTTTCTGTCTATGCAGTAAAGATGTTAAACTCCTACCTTTTCATGATAAGGACCAAGAACAATCCATCCACAGAATGTATACCCCAAATATATCATTCCTGCACAGCAACAGAATCGCAGGACTTTTGGAAAGGCTGCCCTCATTGTTAAAATAAGGACCTGTAAAACAAATAACTTATGATTCTCACAACATTAAAAAAGCACTGGAAATGTACACATTCAGTCAGTCACTGATTACTTCTGCTTTCTTACATTATACTTTTGAAAGTATCCCAAGTATCTGATCACTCCCACCCAGACCAGCAATGTTGAAGTTCCTAGAAAGATACTGCAGACATCATAGCTTGTAAGGCTCTATTGAAAACAAAAAAAAATCCATAAGAGCATATCGTTTGTATTCCTTTAACATAATGTCTTTTTACCTGTCTTCTTTACTTTTTCAATGTAACTGTCTGCTATCATTCTCCCAAACACAGAGAGAGAGAGACAATGTGAGAGATTATATCAGAAATATGTATGGATGATGATCTGAATAATAATAGTATAAGCTACTTCTGAGAGTGCTAAATAGTCAATTAAGGTCCTTGATCTTGTACCAAATTTCTCAGTCTACAGTGAATTCTGTTTGTACTGTTTTTACCTTGGCCTGTATTTCCATCTTCAGTATGGACCCAACAATTGCCATGGCATCGCTGACAATGACCATGACATACCAGATGTTTAGGAACTCCTGGTTGTCTGCCTCACACACCTTGTGCTTGTAGTTCACGTGCAAAAACCGAGCAAACCTCTAGCCAACAAAAGGAGACACTTTCATTAATGTGCCACTTGCCTATCCTACACACTCCTGAAAAACCTCACATCTAAGAAAATTACTTTAAATTTTGCCTTGTTGCCATGTCAGCAGGTATTAATACAGATCCCATAAACAGAAAGAAACTGAAAGATGAATAACTTACCTGAAGTAATTTAATTGCAAGTACAATCGATCGTGTGCAAAGCACTGCTGATGTCAAACAGGTCACAATGACAAAGACATCAAATACAAGTAGATAACGCTTGTTTTTCTGAACTGAAAGATAAGTCTGTGTTATAACATGATACACATTATAAAAACTTTAAGAATGAAAATGCAGTTATAAATCTAATTCAATAAATTGAACATGTTCTCTATGCTACTGGCACAGTAGTTGGCTGTTATACTGTTTGAACAGACAGTATTATTTGTATGAAATTCAGCAATGTTTTGCAATGGAGATGTGTTCTGACATAGATGGATTTGGGAAACAATACATCAAAATTAAAGGCTGTCATTTTCACATTAGTCTCTAAATCTTATCTTGTATCCTCATTCACTTTTCTATGACAATTATACTTATGTACTTACCTGTTCCTATATTCTTACAATTTTTGCATGCAATGCTAATAGCCTCACTATCAAAATAGACTTTCATTTTTCCACTGTGACCTTGGTTATCAAACGTTATCTGAAAAAAAAAGGAAATGTCATAGTCAACCAATAATTTTCACACTGCAAGTCCCATAGAGCCCAGTTAGCACAGGTAGCACTGACTATCACAGACAACATTGAAAGATAAGAGTGTCAGACAACTCAGAGGGACACTGTTGAGCGTAAAACATGAGATACTGAGGTGAGCTGAATCCCTGCTCTGTGGTCTGAGCACCACTTGAAGGGCCATATTCACAGCCCAGACTCAATGTGACTCAAACTCTTGAGTATGGACTTTAGGATTCAAGCAGCAATCCATGTGAGTGCCTTTACTGGTTAAACCACTACTTTCTCCTAAGGTAAGATATCAAGAGGAGCAATGTTTAACGTAACATTAAAAAAATTAAAAAATGAACATCTCCATAAATTTACTAAAACAAAAGAACTTACCGTTATAAAGAATTCATAACAGTCTGGCAATTCATGAGATCGTATTGTTTGGAGGTTGATTCCATTTAGTCGAAAGCTGATTCTCAGATTAACAAGCCTAAATTTAATGACGACAAATACATTTTTAAATTCAGTGGAACAAAAAACAGTACATGCTATGAAGCAAGCTTGTTCTTTACCTGTAAAAGTCGAGGTTAAAGAAAGAGGCATTGGCCATTTTCCATTCCTTATCTTCTATAGTTTTGATGTCCAATGTCAAACAAACTGAAAAGAAATAGAGGCTGTTAAGAAGGAAAATGAGACAGGAATTAAAGATACATTATTAAAATACCAATTCATCAGTTGTTCTTTGTAACAGAAAAAGAAAAAGTTGCATCTTCTTCAATGGACATTTACAGTATACACTACAGTATATCAGCAGACATGCTTTATACTTATTTCATAGATAGATAGATAAGACTTTATTGATCCCAAAGGGAAATATTGCTTACAGTATATTAATTTAATTAGTTTTGCATGGTTTTCCTTTCTTCACCTTATTTTATTCTGTGCTTTATTATGCTTGTTCTGGTCTTAATACAGTACACAACAATAAACTGATATGGGTTTGCCGAAAACCTCATGCTTCTCACCAGTTTCTGTTTCAGGGTCAATATCATTAGACTCGTATGAAGAGTGAACACTCCCTCTCCTGTAATGTTGTTTACAAATGACTAAAGGCGACACTTCACTGTCGTCCTGTGCATAACTCACAGGGCCCACTGACAGGTTCTTCAGCAGGGCATACTGCAAGGAAGAGAGAGAGATTTTATTTTCCTTGTAGTGATTTTCATTAAACCACCTATGAGTGAAATGCATGGAATTACAGAAAGCAACTACACACAGTGTGAAATGGATGTGATGCCGACACACAAAGCAGACCTGGCTTGTTACAATTGTTTTTTGACAGATTAAGTCATAAGTCTTTTAAGTCATAATTTGCAGTATATTACATTTGCATCGTATTTAAGTATTCTTCAATACTTCTTCAATATCCCCATTACAATTATTATAAAACTGTTATAAAGTAGACTAATAGGACTCTGTGAAGCAAGGATATCCAGTCCCGGACCTGCAGGACCAGTGAGTCTGTGGGTTTTTATTCCTCCAGAAGCAGGACTGTTGTATCTGCAGGTTTTGTAGGTTTCATTAAAGTGTCAGCACCCAGTTAAGCCATTAACCACCTGGTTTAGCTCATTAAGAGCTGAGTTGCAATGACCACAGACACTGGTCCTCCAGGATAAGGGCTGGACATCCCTACTTTGCAGAGCTCCATAGTCTCCTTTACAACAGATTTGTTTGTTAGCTTGTGATTCAAATCCAGTCGGTTGTTCAATCAGTAATCACAAATCATTAAAGTTTTCTTTCAGACTATTTTCACTGGATAAATCTTTCCTTCCACTCAAAAGCAATCAAGGAATTTCCTGAAAAAAATATGCACAAGAATCATGGGCAACATAATGCATAGCTAAACAAAAATTACAGTGATAAGACTTAAAAAGTCACAGCAATGCATTATTTTAGAGGTTGTAAAGTAATCATAATAATGGCTTACACTTATATAGCACTTTTCTGGACACTCCACTCAAAGCGCTTTACAGGCAATGGGGATCCCCTCCACCACCACCAATGTACAGCATTCAATTGGATGATGCAACGGCACCCATAGTGCGCAGAACGCTCACCACACATTGGCTATTACTGGGGAGTAATGAAGCCAGTTCATAGATGGGGATTATAAGGAAGCCATGACTGGTAAGGACCAATGGGAAATTTGGCCAGTACGTCGGGGTTACACCCCTACTCTTGTCCTGGGATTTTAAATGACCACAGAGAATCAGGACCTCGGTTTTATTTCTCATCTAAAGGAAGGCGCCTTTTTACAGTATAGTGTTCCCGTCACTATACTGGAGCATAAGGACCCACACAGACTGCAGGGTGAGCGCCCCCTGCTGGCCCCACTAACACCTCTACCAGCAGCAACCTTAGTTTAACCCAGGGGTCTCCCATCCAGGTACTGACCAGACTCACACCAACTTAGCTTCAGTGGGTTGCCAGTTGTGAGTAGCAGGGTGATATGGCTGCTGGCTATGAAAACCAATTATGGTACCAACCTGATCAATCGCAAAAAATACACAATCATAAACATCCTGCTGAGAGTAAACTGCACGGCTGTAGTCATCCTCATCGGTCCCTGTGTACCCCTTCAGAAAAAGGTTCTTGAAGGTCATGCTATTTTCCTCCTTGTAGGAGATGACAAGTTGGTTGTTCAGCCCAAAGAGAACAAGCTTTGAACACAGAACAAGGGGGAGAAGACAATGTTTTGGAGATCATGTTGATTTGGCTTTCAACAAAACAAAAATGAGATAGACTGCATTGTTACTACCCTGTGTCGACATTCCTCAGCCCAGAGATCATGGGGTTGAGACAGTAGTTTTATCATTATATAATGTTATAAATGTATAATAGAGCTAAATTAATTCAATGCATTCAATTACACAATCCAGGACCCAGCAAGATTCTGATCAGGAGAGCTAAGGATGTAACCTTGTAATATCAGCTGGTCAACAGCAGATAAAGAAAACAACTTCTCTTAATTCGATTGCAAGCCCTGGCAACTTCCTCACTGCTTCACTACCAGGCAGTGCCTGCTCTACGCCTGCACAGTTCTGATGAATCCTTAACAAATGGCAGTAAAAGCTACATCCTGATAAATAACTTTAATTTTATTTGTCAGACAAAAGCTCAGACAAAAGGAAAACACTTGTTCTATTTGTTCATATTTTAATAAACTATGACCATCTTTCATTCACACATTCCTTAACAATGCTCATCTTTTTATGTAACCCCAAACATTTCTTGAAAGACTTTAAATACCTAACCTCACCACAATATGCCTGACACAATAAGGATAGAGAACCTCACTACCACAGTATATAAAAATAAGTATAAGTACTGTAGATTACAGAATAGTACTATGAATAAGACATTTCTTTTTTCAAAGGAAAGGTGGGTGTGAGACATAACAACAAGTAATTAATGCATACTGTAATTACTAGGATATTTATTTAAAATAGTCTGAGATGATTGTGTCAATCAATAAGGTTGATATATACTGTAGGTCATTTGAATGGAGTGACTATATCATGTTAGGGACATATATAGTGCAAACAACATTATCCCAGTGTTACCTTCACTGTCTCTGAAATCCATAAGCATGAGCAGCATTACCTGAGTGGTAACCATGATGATTTTCAAAATCTGTACCCCTAGTTTCCAAGGAACCTTGCGCCGCATCCTGTACTTTTCACAGGGGCTCATGAAGTAGTACCTGAGGTCTTCTCTGAGAGCTTCCTCTTCAGCAGAAAAGTCCTGACTTGTCACTGTGCTCCTGCAGACAAGGGTAGATGACAGTCACTGGACACTGTTCAGTGACCATGCACAAGTGTTATTTTAAATGAAACTGGCTGGTGAGGGTATAAGATAAAGTTGGGAAAATCTATAGAAAAATGTTTTGCTTTTTTGTATTCCTTTATTTCTATTTTTAAATTATGGTTGGATTTACACATTTTGTTTGGGCACCAAGCCTTTCATGCCATGATGATTATTCACATTTGTTCATCATTGTATCTTGTACCATGTGTGCATCATGGCCAATGCTGAAAGCAATACAAGATGTACATTTGATACACATGCTTCGTACCAGGTTGCTGTCTAGTAGGATTTTGTCCTTTTCACTTCATAGAGCCCCTGCAGACATGTGCCTGTTCACTGGTCTCTAAACCCAATATGCCACATGTCATCATAGGCCATTCCACAGGTGTTCGATGGGACCCTGTTCAGTCACCATGCACAGGGCACTGGCCCCCACAGCACAGCACAGCACAGGTTGGGGAACCTGGTCAATGCACCAGTCAGTCAGCTCACTTAGGACTCCCCACTGACTGGTCTGTTGTACGAAATCAGCAGTTGTTCAAGACATCAAGATCTTTGTTCATCAGGAGAGAGGACTCGACAGAGGTGTTGCTCCAACCCGAAGGTGTTGTTCTCTTGGCATGGGGACATCATGATTCCTGTTTTGCTTCTAGAAGCAAAAACAGTCAAATCCACTCACATAGATTAGAGTCAGTCATGAATGATTAATTTAAATACTGCCAAACATTTAATCAATATCCCAAATGGTTTTCTACAGCAATCCTGTACTCAGGAGCATAAAAGCAAACCTACTGTACCACAATCAACTGCAGCAGCCCTGCACAATGCCAAGACACCCCTGACACAAATGTTGTTTCTTTCAGTCTCATCTGATAAGCTAGAAAAAAGCTGAGATCTATAGCAGATAGTACAACACTTGAGATGCTGCTTGTTTTTCAGAAATGGACATCAGATGTGTGAATTTTTCAGCAGAACAAACAAACATCCATTGTGCAAATGCAGAACCCAGCAGAATATAAGAAACATAACTGTTCCCTCAAAACTGGTAATTAATCACAAAATTCTGATTTGAGTGTAAATTAACTCAGCACTAGAACATTTAAAAAAGAGACTACCAATTTGAAAAATAATGGAGCTGATCTCTTTGTGCTACAACAAATAAAAAATCATTGTGAAATAATGGGCACAGTACATTGTGTGCTCAGGAAAAAAAACAGCAACAGTGTTTATCTAAGAAAAGCTTAGTTCAATGTGCAAGGGAACACCATCGCAGGCAGTCTGTGGTTTTTGCCTTGTCATCTGCATTGTTTAGGAAAGTTTTTTTTTAAACTTTTTGCTTTATAAAAACAGTAGCAGTGACTGAACAGTACTCACTAAGAGTGACAAGTGCTGTTTTTTAATTGCAATATGAGTGTCATGAAAATGAGACAGAAATAGCACAACGAATAGCTCAGCTAAAGTGACACCTGTGCTGTTCGTATGTCGTCTTGTGAAACTAATTTTCTGCAGTCAGCAGAAACTTGACAATAACTGCTACAGGTTCTTCATAAATAACTTCAAATAGACGAGATTACGTGGAGTTTTAGCATTCTCTACGTTATGCTATGCAAGTATGGTCCAATACATTAAGTATCTTAAAAATAATAAAACCCGTAAAGTATTAAATATGTAGTACAACAGACGTTTCATAGGCTTAGTTAAATAGTATATATTATACATTTACAGTACGCTTCGAAAATTCATAATTTTACTGCAATCAGCACTAGTATCTCAAAAGAAGACCAGCCACTCGCACCTTTTATTTAGCTGAAGACTCTAGCAAATAGGCTATTTTTATATTTCGAATTTAATCTCGAAATCCAGCATCAACTCACCAGATGTAAAAAAAAACGATAAAGAAGAACCACGCTCCTGCCCGTCAAACTAACTAGTGGTTTTGCTGAAACTATCTGACAGTGGTGCATCCACGCCGGCTCTGCTCAGCAGATACCCTATTGAATTCACTTTGGAACTTGAATCATACGGTACGTCAGAAACAAAATCGTATGTGAAAATTGAATTTTAGTGCTAATCAATACGCAATTCCTGAAGTATTTTTTTTAAAGTTTAGATCCTAAGTTATTTTAATGCGTTTTATGGCAGCGTCTCCCCCTAATGAGTTTCGTTTTTAATATTAAACTACAATATTGTAGCGGAAAACGTTGCCGATCTCTGTATTATTCTTACCCTCTTGAATCAAATGTTTCGTTGAATCTAACAAAAAAATCCATGTTAAACCAGTTGCAGGTGAGTGTTAGACTTGCTGAAGCTCTAGCAAACAGATACCACGAGTGTCTCCGTCAGACGGTACTGAACTTCAATAATACAGAAGAACTTGCGGTCACGTGTGAAGCAGGAAATACTAAGCTTGCATCGCAGGAGACCGCACTCTACACGGCTGCTGACCCGTCTTCTGTGCATCAGCCTTCAGTAAACTCTTTACTCTGTGGACTCCCTAACTCTCTTCTCAACAAGTTGCAATATGTTCAAAACTCTGCAGCTAGAGTACCTTACTCACACCAGACCCTTGCAGAATATCACTTTTACACTTAAGTCTCTAAATTTGTGGCCTATAAAGTCAGGTAGTCAATACAAGATCTTGCTACTGACTCAAGGCTCCAACAATCTGGCTCTTCATGTCCACACACCCCCTTAGGCTCCGGTCACTTGAGGCCGGTCCTCTACTCACTGTCCCCAGGACTAAATCATGGACTTTTGGTGACGGCACCTTATCGATCGCTGCTTGTGTTGTGGAATGACCTTCCTCAGACTCAGACTGTGAGAGACGCCTTCTCTGACTCTCTTCAAATCTAAACTTACCTTTTTACCAACATCTGTGGTTTATTGCCTTAAGTCAATCTGTAAATACCTGTTTTTTTCTTCACTTACTGTACTTTTATTGGTCTTTTTTGTATTTTTCTTTATTCATGATATATAGCATCCCTGGGTTTGGAAAGGCCCTTTATCAATAAGTTATTAAAAGTGAGTAGGGATTCTACAGATGAAACCAAAATAAATCTTTCCCCAGAATGATAAACCTTTAAATGTTGATAATTTTTTTGCAAATGCACCATACATATTTGCCTGCTTTACTTTTTATTTTCCTTTTCGTTTTATTTTCCTCAGTGTTTATATACAGATTTCTTATACAGTATCAATTTCTAAATTGAATTCTTTTAATTGCCTAAACCACAAGCATTTGAATCCATTCCTGCTGAAAATGGCTGTTCTACATAAGTCAGTCATTGCTAGTGTATTCAGTTTTACTCTACTTTTAACTTTTTTCCCCAGACTTCATTAATGCCTTGGATAGTAGCAACAATTTGTTTTTTATCAAACATCGATTGTTGTATAACAGCCATACCATGAAATACAAAAGATGATCTGTTGTGTTACAATCTATACCATTAAGTGATTGTTATTCTATTTATTCTATGTTTAACATCAACAATAGAAGAAGTCTGCACCGACAATTAACAATTCAGTTAGTCTTTTATAATTCCATTATTAATGGACTTTTCGTGTAGTGTCAGATGAAAGTGCAGTGATCTCTTGAGCAGTACACAGCTAGCAGTCCAGTCTCCCCTCCGAATCATCGAACCTGGAATTAAAATATTGAACAAAACATCACAAAAAGCCAAGTGTTTTAAATATAAATTAATTTAATTTCCGAGATAGACATTATAGAGAATTGTGGAAATAGAAGCATCTGCTGTATAGAGAAGGGCTAATTTAATAGAGAACCACTGTGGTAGACAAGGAAAAACAGTTATGCGAGTTTTGTAATTTTCCTGTTGAACATTTATAAATAGGTATACAAATAATTCTTACAACTAGTGTTAATGATTGACTCAGGCCATTACTGATGTTAGGAACAGTAAATGTGTGCAGAAGAAATAATGTACTTGACGTACAAGTGAAACAGAATATATGAAAGGTAAAAGAAAAGAATATTGCAATGGATAATATATTTTTTCCTGTGCTACACCAACACTAAAATAATGAGAGAAAGTGTCAGACATAAGACTTTCAAATGATTAAATATTTTAGTAGTGTGAAATTGTGGTTAGGGCTCCTACTGTACGTGCAGACGAGGATCGTGGTCTCAGATCATGCGAGACAGATCATGTAATTAAAGAATTACAAAAATAATGGTTTTAGCCTAACGTACTAAATATTTACCTAGATGTTTACCAAGGAAGAAGGTGACAACATGCCTCAAGCTGAACAATGTAAACAGTGTTTGCATAGAAAAAGCAGAAGTGTTACAGGTAATGGTTGCACTTGAGATAAACAACTCACAAGATCCTGATGGTGTTCTACACACTATACTCCTATATATGCATAAGAACAGGACATGTATGTTTTTAGTTTGAATAGTGGATAGAAAAGAGTACAGGTAAGGGGTGAATGCTCAAATTGATCTTTAGTGAAGTATTACAGGGATCCGTATTCTGACCACAGCCCATCTTGGCAAGCAACATTTAATAACGACAACTGCGGCGTGTTATTTTCAGGTAATATAGATCCAAATATAATGTGGGAAAGATCTTTTTAGTGCTAAACACAAAAGAAGTCAACCTGATTTAAGTATTTAAAACCCCACAAAGCATTGACAAAAGCAACCCAATGGACTTCTTCAGATCAACAGTGTAATATGTAATATGATGAACTGCTCACAAGTAAAAAATACAGAGAAGTTTATTTTAAAGTTATTTTCTTAGAGAAGGGTAGTGGATTGAAACCAATAACAATTTGTGCATTGAACATACGGTATGTAAGTTATAACTACAATGTAAATGCAAACATTTCGTTGAACCTGTCTATACATTCAGTTTGCTAGCTTTTAAGAAAATACAGGAGAAAGATTTAGGGAGATTCAGCTTAGTCTGCCATCTTGAAATTTGTTTAGACCTCTGCCTGGACCTTTGGTTGCTGGGACTGTTTCTAAGCTGCAGAAGCCTTTGTATCGGTTAAAGAAAAGCCCGTGTTCCTTGTATCCTGTGGAATGAATAAATCACCTATTTCATGAGCCCAGCATTGTGTGTGCCAGGTCATTGTGCACAAGAGGGAATTTAATTGTAGCTCTTTCAAACCAAGCTCTCTGGAAATCGTGCCGTGACAGTTACGATAGATGCATAATAAAAGAGGAAGTTATTCACAACTGTCTTGTGATGAAGATGTAGTCACAGAAAGAGACTAACTTTCATTACTGAATAACTGTGACTTTGTGCAGAACTCAGAACAATATACTGTTTAATCAAAGTTCAGCTCTACAGAAATCTTAACACATAATTGGCAATAATGAGGCCAATAAAATCTCTCTGAGCCATGTACTTCGTAGTCCAGATGTGTGTACTGTTCTTTATTCAGATATGCAGTGCAGAGTCAGGCTGAGTTTCAGTTCATTATTTCATGTAAAGTTAACTACAGTTTTCATTACCTACAAAAAAGGTTCTTTGTGTCAAGAGGAAATGTTCTGCTCTGACAGCAGAACTCACCGTGACCAGCAGCTTGAGAAGCATGACAGTTTGTCTTCCTCTATCCTGTATCTCCCAGAAGCAGGCAAGTCTTTGCATTCTGCTATGAATTCTTGCAGCTTGGATTCTGGGAATCCATCTCGTTGGTGTTGCTTGAAAAACAAAAGTTGAAATCTCATAAAATATTTTTAAGCAACCGACTTACTAACCACAACTTCAAAGGAAACAAGAAATGCTCCTCAAATTTTTTATTTAATAAAGATTTTAGGGTCCTTAGTTGAAAAAAAAAGTGGACATCGAGGACATTTAATTTTATGCATGAGTTGTTAACCTACCTTAATAGTTTCATAGGTATCAGTGATGAGGGCGATGAAGAGGCTGAGTACCATGTAGATGAAGAGGGAGATGAAGGAGTACAGGTAGACTCGGCTGAACAGCCACACCAGGTAACTCTTCTGCTGCATGTCACTGAATGTTGGGAACATGTCATCTCCATTGATGAGGGAGAACAGGCATTCGGTCACAGTGTTTAAGGTTCTGAACTGGAACACAAAGTCATTAACATACTGCAAACATCATCATTAATTGATTAATTCTTATTTGCATTTCCTTCCAAAAACAAATTAAGTATGAAATAAGATGCTGCTCTCCTCCTCTCTTTATGCATTCCAAAGAAATGCTTACTTTGTTATGGTAAGGTCCCAATACAATCCATCCACAGAAGCAGTACCCAAGGTAGATCATCGCCGCACAGCAGCAGAACCGAATTACATTTGGAAAGGCTGCCCTTAGGGTTAATATCAAAATCTGTCAAAATAAAACAAAGCAGTAACACTGGAATCAAAACCTTAATTCTCTGGTACAGGAACGGATGCCTCAAGGGCCACAGTGTCAGAAACCTTGAAGACCTACTGTAGTAACCTAATAAGTTAGGTTAAACCAAACATTCGTTCCACAATACATGATGAGTGCATCTGTTCTGCATCCACCAAAATTCAGTGCCAGTCACTCATGGGCTCCAAGCACACACAACACCACACCTTGAGAATAGCAGGTATCTCCTCTATGCCAAAAGACTAGGTCCATTATCTAGATTTCAGAGGAGAGTGGTATCATATATGACATGATTAACTGGTCGAGCGTAATAATCTTCGTTAAAGTATATACTACAGGAACTGTTCATGACTACTCTAACGTAACAGAGGCAGTCCAGAAATAATTATGTATAAAACGAAAAAATGAAGAAAATGAAATCCCTGGACTCAACTTATTAAAGCCTATAAAGGAATCTAAATACAACATCATTTGGATTGATACTTACATTGTACTTTTGAAAGAAGCCCAAGTAGCGAATAACTCCAATCCAAACGAGCATTGTAGAGGTTCCCAATAAAATGCTGCAGATGTCATAACTTGTTAAATTCTAAAAGAAAAGGTAAAAAAATTATGCCCCATTTTCAGATTACACATAAAGAGACCTGCCCTTTTCTCTATATCTATGACATGAGAAAAAGAAAAGTTGATTATGCTTTAGACATCTTAAATCTTGTTAATGTTACTCCACACTTCTGAATAGAACATGCCTAATAAACAAAGTAAAACTCTTCAATACTTCAAATGCACCATCATGCCCAAAACATCCTAGGGCCATAACTGAGAATACAGAACAAAATCAGAATCTAACAGGACAGACTGGATACAAACATATGAGCTACAAGTGCCTATGTCTATTAAATAATTCCCAAGCCATTGTAAGGAGAGTGTAATGCACTGTGCTCAGACAAATTCAGTGAATTTGACTGGAAAAAAAAAATACTTGACCACAGTACTGATAGGATCAGACCTTGATACATAAGGATTTTGTTTTTCTACAAGAGATAATGGGTGCTGAAGCTTTTGTCATTATTTGGATTTTCAAATCCAAACCAAGAGCCAAAAACTTGGTCTTGTATAAATCACCAGAGTGAAAGTTAACTTGGCAGGCCCCGCTGTTTTGGCAAAAACTAAAATTTTAATACAGAATTTGCTTTCAAACTAAATATCAGAGGTCTAAATCATGTGGAGTCATCTTAATCCATGTTCATTGTAAAATGACATTCATAAGATAACGGGTCGCTGTTTGTCTGCAAAACTGGATTTGGCAAAAATAATGAATTTCTCTTCTGAAACTACTAGGCCAAACTAAGCAAAATTTACTAAACAAAGTAGTATCTTGTTATCAATATTAATAATGTGACCTATCTCAATAAACATGGCTGTTCTATGCTGATCAAAGAGTGCATATTTTCTATTGCTCACATTCAGTCACAAAGCTCATATGAAGGTGGAAATGACTTTTCATGCAGCACAGTTCCCATATAGAAGGATTCAAGAGTTTCTCACTTTGATAAGTGAGAGATCTGGAGCTCTACACAAAGCGTTCCCTCAATCGAGATTTAGACTTGTGCAGAACAGGTTGATTGGTTACACCCTACTAGGCTTCTCAACAAATATTCAGACAACATATTCTCTGAACATGCTTGTGGGATTGAAATGAAACCGTGTATGTGGACTATGACATGATCCCTCTCAAAATTTGTTCCAAACAATTTTTACATTAAGAAAACAGCCCAGGGGTCCTAACGGTCTCTCCGAGTAAAGATGCTCACCTCCGCACAGACTAAGCTCCGCAAGGGGCAAAGGCTTCCCATGAGGGGGTGCATAAGTGTTGAGGTGTGGCGGAGTGTAGGCTGGAATTAGATGGCCATGTTCTCAAGGCTCCTGCTGACACAGTGACCCCTGTACCTTCCCAGACCCTTGTAGTGGTTATGGTCATACCTCTTCTCCAATTGTGCAATTCTAAATTTATTTTTTAAAAATGGCTCCCAGGAGCACAATCAAATCAGACCATCCTTAAGAATAAGAACACATATCTTGCACCATAACTATAGTTGACTTATAGGATGTTATGAGCTTGCTTCTATTTGTTTCTTTATAGCTTGTACACTGACACAGCAATCACTCTCTCTATATAGCATTGATGTCTGTAACCAGTTAAAGAGTAACAGACTATGGGAATTATTGTGAACTGAATAAATCATGATCACATTATTGCATAGAGAGATGGCTCAAAGATCTTATATAGCTGATATAATAAAAGCTTCTAACTCCATATTTAGTGTGGGTAGGGGTATGGTTACAATGGAACAGAAACCTATGGCTCGGTAACATATTACCTAGCACATAAATGCTAAACCTTTTTTAAAAAGGCCATAAAAGTAAAAAGCTACACATGGGGTCAATTGGCTATGAGAGAGCACACATAGGAAGTTGTGTTATATCAGAAGATGTACTTTCCTGTGACCTTAAACCTTTCCTAAAGGTCATATTCAAACTTGGATCATTTCTCCTTATACTGTACAGTGCATATACAGTCATGGCTGCCCCCACACATAGGGAACCGATTCTACCTCTAAAAAAAAAATGTGACCTTTGATCTCACCTTAAGGGGAATAACAGCTAGCATAGAGGGTGTTAGTCATGGGCATTTGGGACATGTATAGGAAGCCGTATATATTTCTCATCAAAATGTGATTGTCTATGAATATGGATACGCAATCTTGGCCACCAATTGCTGCCGGCACCTGTACATTTTATTAATACTTGCACTGGATAAGGGCATTTGCATGCAATCAATAGAATAAATAAAGTAGCAGAAAGGACAATAAGTCACAGTTACAGTGCATGCCTATAAAAATATTACTTTTGATGCTTAATCCGTTATTTCACTCATAACCACAAACATTTTCAGGAAAATGACACTTTTGCAGCAAGTGCACTGGCATTTTATTGAAAAAATATGGCACAGACTTTAAACAGCATGGTGAAATTTGATCATTAACAAGGTCGATCAACATTGGGCCCCCCCCATCAGGTTTCAAAAGAGCAGTCATGGGATACTTTCCTATTCCACTGCTAGAGCCTAAAAGTAACTGTTCACTGATTTGACCCCTAGATGCCACGTTGTCCCAACCCATCTCACAAATGTTCAATGGGGCTCCAGTCTGGCGAGAAGGGCATCCATGGCACAAATATTCTTGTTGTGCAATAAAATCAGTAAAAATTAGTTTAAGTTTCATAAGACAGGATGAGCCCATAGCACGGACAGGAAGTCAGATCCAATAACTTGATAAATGTTGCACTGTGTGGTCAGGTAACGGTCATCCACTAAAGTTGCAGTTCTGCCATTAATTGGTTCATTGTATACACTTACAGTCTTATCAAAACACATGGAACACACCGACATTCATGATGGTGGTCTACCAAAAAAAAAAAAGTGTTGATTCATCACTACGAGGACTTTACTCCACTGTTTTCAAGTCCACCTGAGGTGTTGCACCATCACCGCAATAACATGGTTTGTTTGCTTAATCAATATTTACCATTTGTTACTTTCTTTCGTGATTTTGTTCCAGGCTTGAAATTCATCACTTCGATCTACTCTGTCACTAATGAGGCGATTTAGTGCAATCAGCAATGACCGTCAAAGCCACTTGAATGCATCACAGACAGTCTAGAGTGATCCATTAACCAAAGGAAAGCAAGAAATGTTTAATCAATATTCAAACTCCATATACATTTATTGTTCTAAAAACATACATGCAGAAATAGAAGGCTATATTTCTTTTGATGCTTGCTGTATATACATTGTACATTTACTTAGTATTTGATGTGAAATCCATTGCCGGGAAATATTAATTTATTCAATCTCCAACTAACCTTTGTCTGTATTTCAATTTTCAGGATGGAGCCAATGATTGTCAGTGTGTCACTGACAATGATGAGAATGTACCAACCATTCACAAACTCCATACGTTCTGACCAGGGCACTTTCTTATTGTACCTGGTAAGAAAAAAGACTGCATATTCCTGAAATACAAAAGGTATCAAACATTACCAATTAATGTGTTAATTTTATGTCTTTATCTCACTTGAATTGAGAATGCATTACAAATAAATTACCCCAGAGCAGGTAGAGACAGAGGCAGATGAAAAGTGGGTGCAGATTTATAAGCTGACAACATAATATTCAAGCACAATACTGCAAAAAGTTCAAGGATGGCAAAATAAAAAAACTCTTATATATTTTAATTTAGGTACATTCCTGCATGCATGTGCTCACAGCAGAACAAAAACACTTTGTCCAGACAGGCCAGGTATCTGGACATTTGCACTCTAAATTTTCCTAAAGTGAAGAAGTAGCAGTATTTGCTGGTATATCCAAGATATCTCCTTCCAGATGAGACAATAACTGCATTATCTGATCCATCTAGTCTTTCTGCAGCCACTTTGACTTCCTGACAATTCTTGGCTTATTCTGTTTTGTTTTTTAATTCTTCAAGCTCTATTGCATTTAAACATGGAGATCAATTTGACTAGGAGGTGGAAACATGGCTATTGAGAGTGCCGTCTTTCATTCCTTACATAAACAGTGCATAGAAACATACTTCAACTGTAACTATGGATGTGCACATTTTGCAGATTACTCTATTGTATTATCAGCCGAAACTATAACTTGACTTACCAACTGCAGATTTATTCCATTGATGACTGAGCGCATACAAAGAATAAAGGATGCCACACATGCCAGGATGATGAATGAATCAAAAGCCAGCAGATAATGGATATTCCTTGGAGCTGTGAATGAAAAAAAAATTCTGAATGATTCCATCAGGGGCTTGTGTAACACCTGACAAACACAAGGAGACTGCAATTTCAATCATCTTGAGAGTAACTACATGGTTGTTCTACATGTGTCAAGACCTTTCCCCACAAACATGAATGGTGCTGAAATACTAGAAAAAAACAGCACAGAAGCCTGCTAAACGATTATATTTATGAAAATAATACAGAGAATCAGGAACAACTGATCTCTGACATCTCCCATGCTAGGTTAAAAAACATTGCAGATAGCATCAACATGCATGTGGCACCTTGCCTCTTTCATTTGAGTCTATTCATTCTTTCAAGTTGACATTTGTTCACAGTCCCACTATGCTATGGAGCAGAAGGGTCAAGGATACTTCCCTGTGACAATGGAAACTGGTCCAGTTACTGCTAAGAGCAGCCCTGTCTGCAGACATGACTTGGGTTTCAGTCCCCTGGCTTCTGAATGACTTCAATTTATGTACCACTGAATCTAGAATTATTTTTAACATTGCCCAGATCTCTGCTCACAGACATCTCTGGCACCTCAAAAATAAGAATTAAATGGGTATGGATAGATCCAGAGTACATACAAGCCCCTGTGATATTCCAGCCTCTGCATTCATTAATGTCAACATCGTTGTCCAGTGTAATTTTAATTTTGCCGCTGTGAGCTTTGTTGTTGAATGTAATCTGTAAAATAATTTCCAACATGTTAAAAGGGACAATGCACAGTAGTTATACAGTATCTTGGTCGGCACTTAAAAATAAGCATTAATAGTCACAAAGCCACCTACTGGCCAAAACCTCCTATTGATTCAAATCTTCTGCATAAAACATTTCACCATCAAAACTCATTTAAATTACTTGAGAATAAGGTGACAAAAAAAGTTCTTACATAATCATGGTATGTTGTTTACAAACATTCCCCAAGAGGAAGGCTTTGAAAAATGTGTATTGATGAGCAGATTTTCAGAAATTGCATACTTTCATTTTAGTAGAAAAGATCTGACAAGAGGAATATTTTTTTAGGAGACTGTGCTTTTATCCCCTTATAGTTTCCGTTATCTCAGCTATGAGTGACAGACATTTCATTCTTATTTTATAAGTCGCATATTAGTTTTGTTCCTCAATGAAAAAAAAATATAGGTAATCTCAGACCTCTCAGTACTAATAACTTCTTAGTCACCACTTGCAGTTTGTGGTTTCCTTTGTATACAGCCATTAATAACAGAATGACTCGTCACACCCAGTCGCATGCAGATGAGGGAGTGATGTCTCCATGTGACTTACTGTGACGGTGAAGTCATAACAGTCAGGAAGCTCATGAAGCCGCACTGTCTGAAGGTTAATTGCCTTCAGTGTGAAGTTAATATGTACAGACAGCAGCCTAGAGGACACATGAGACGTTTTCAACAATCACCACCACAGATCTCTAGGAGTCACTACTTACATTATCATAAACTGTAGTACCACTTAACTAACTGCTAACCGTTCTCTTTCAAAAAAAGAGAAATTAGTAGTCCCATTACCAATCCCATAAAAATACATTGTTCTTTTAGCTTGGCAGGTGGCCTTAATCAACTAATATTTAAAAAGTCACCTTTTGAAATCCAGAGTAAAGGCAGAAGGAAGTGTTCCGATTCCCAGAGGCTGCAATGGGTATATTTCAATGCATGCTGGGACAGAAAAGAAAGTCATTCCCTTAAGTATTTATGCTTCTCAAACCATGTTTGGAAAAAAAAAAAATGTATACACACTGTAGGTTTGTGAAATAACAGCCAATCCACCAGACATTTTACCATTTGTTCCGCTTTGCGTTTTTGTGGTCACAAGAATCACCAAGCAACATCTCCCTCCCCAACCAACAACTATTGCTGGGTTTCCAGCAATGACAGCAAAGCTTAATGCCTTAGATGCACACATGTATGGGTTCAAAGTCCAATTTTTAAATACCTGTCTCAATCTGGGGGTCAATATCAAATGTCTCATTTCCAGGATAGATACTGCCATTCTTATAGAAGGCCTGGCAGACAGACAGGGGTGTATAGACATCTTCAAGCTTTTCATAAGCGTGATTCCCAACAGTGAGGTTGTGGAGATTCAGGTACTACACAAAGAAAGAAGGCCAGGCGTCACAAGGATACAAATACTTTACAACGATACAACTCGTCGCGCATAACCTCTCAGGTTTTGTTGCAGGAAGGAGAGAATTAGAACATAGCCAATGCAATGTCAGTGGTATGATTAAATCTATAAATTCCTCCATTGTAGCAAAACAAACAATCCAAGTAAATACAGTAATGAATGACAATTTAAAATCTTCATATCACTTTTTTAAACTAATTCATACAGCTGTTAGACTTTATTTCTCAAGTATCTCCTCTCTGAACAAAAAGTGAACTGAATAAATGAAGTTGCAGTGTCTCTAAAGAAAAATTGTAAATCAAATTGTAAATGCCAATTCTACAATTTCTAGAAAATTATAGTTTAATTGTCTTTCAATCTATAAGCCCTCTGGAAAAACACCTTTACAGCCTCTTATAAGCTGAAATGTAGTTTTTCCATTGTTTGTAACCTCAAAGCTGATGCATTCTAATTAAGTTCCAACATGTTTTTCTTTCATTTTCTAGCCAAAGCAAGACTAGATTTACAGTCAAATGCAGCATTCCAGCAGATATTTCCAGTATACTGTATACTGTAGGAGTTTGTGTGAATTCCACCAACCAATAAAACTCAGTAATCATTAACATTAAGAGTTCCAAAAAGCAGATAATTGTTTTTTAAATGTATAAGAGGTCATCTATATAAAAGCACCAAAGTTCACCTACATTTCAACATGAAGTATTTAGTCTTTTAAGTAAATGAAGACATTTGGTCAACTTATTTTAAAAAGTGTGGAGTTGAAAAGCTCTCTAACCATTTTTGCCACAGGTGGACTTTGCCCAGTCCAAAGCACACTCCTAACAGACCACAAATCCACAACTCAACCTTTGGAATGGTTTTTAGAAACTTCTAGAATTCTTATAGAACCACAATTTTAAATGTACCAATATTTTGGAAGATAGATAATTATGCAGCACATGGAGTTCTCAACAGCACGGAGAAGGGTGTTCTTTAACATTGCCTTGTAATTCCCATTATGAACTGCTTTGTAGTTCATTACAGCTTCCCCTCTATTGCTCACAATTATTTTCAGTTTAATCTAGGTGGTGTATGATTATATTCCTTTCAACATACTGGCACAGAAATTGTGGTTCAATAAGAATGCTTTGGAAAATGAAATATGAAGTTCTATCAAGGTTACTGCATATCTTGAATCCTTCTGGGAATAATGATGATTACTCACTGAAATAAACGCAATTAAATTGGATAAAAAGAAGCATGGACACCAATAGAGGCATGCCTGGAGTGCTGAAGAAAAAAAAAATACTGCCAAAACTTCTCTACAGTTCCACAGACAATGCTGCTTCCATAATGTATTCATCTAAAAAGACACTGTAAGCAATTGTCCAAGTGGATACTCACTGAATCAGTTAGATCTAATGTTATGGAGCTTTAAACCTAAAACCCACTCTTTTTTGTCATCACATTCTTTTCAATTACTTCCATACCACAGCAGAGGGGAAGTCAAATTTACAGGAAATAAGTCCACCCATCTGTGTTTAAAAAAAAAAAAACAGCAAGCACAGATTGTACAGTAAGCAGAGTAGTTTCCAACCACATGACTTAAGCCCAGCACTCCACTAACAGATGACAGATTCATGATTCACGTCAACTGTTTAAGGACACCAGACAACACAAACCAGGAGGAAAGCTGAAACAGCCACGTCTAGAGCAGCACTCTGATGGAAGTTAATGAAGATCTACTAAAGCGGATTGGGAAACATTTGGTATATATAAGGAATCCAGAGACTGCATTTTATCACTATTGAAAGTGTAACCTTATTGTACTTAGAATTTAAGGGGCTCAATATATGAGTAGCAGATCAAGAACTCTTGGAAGAACTTAAGAACTTTCATATTTTGATCCAATGTCTGGTATTGGTGACGGCAGCAGAAGAGGGTAACATAAGCACTGAAATTTAGCACTCACCTGATTAACTGCAAAATAGATGTGATCATACACTTCACTTTGTGTATAGACTGCATAGGTCTCATCTGGTCGGTCACTGTATCCTTTCAAAAAGAGATGCTTAAAAGCCATCAGGTTCTCTTCTTTAAATGCAACTACCATCTGGTTGCTCAATCCAAAAGACACCAACTACAAAATGATAATAGATTAATAATAACAAAATATTGTAATATCTACTGTACTAAATGTTAAAACAAATATATGCAGTTGTAAGATATTCAAAGAATGGGAAAGGCAAAATGTTGAAAGAGAGCAAATTAATGAATAGAAGGGATAGATTTGTATGTATTAATAATGTTATCAATCCCAGAGTACCATCTGCGTTTTGCTCCTGGCACGTTCTTATTCACAGGCTTACTTATTTCAATTTTCTGTTTAAGCCCCATTTAAATCTGCTATGAGCTCTTAAAAAGCTGATTAATATTTTTAATTGTATTGAACCCTGTGCTAATTAGTGAGTTGCGGTAGTGGCCTCATTCAGGTGTGCGTCTAAAAAAAAAAAAATTAAAAAATCTGATTTAAACGGAAGGAAAAACACTGACTTACTGTGCGAGTGTCCGACACTGTTCATTCAGAAATTGGGGAGCAAGTTCCTAATTACCATGTTGAGGAGAGAATGTATAAAGTGCCATGTCCTGAAGTTTTAGGAACTACACTTCAGGGGTTTATTTTGAAATCAAGGAGTGAATGAAGAAAAAAAAAAAACTCAAGACTGTCAAACAGCAAGAGCCCAGCTTCAACAAAGAACAGCAGACACTTGTACCCCAGAACAAGAACTGGGAACCACTGTACAGGTTAAGCAGACTGCTCACTTACTTGCGTGTTTATTGAACCCAATAAAATACAACCCCGAGATGTTCCACACAAACTCTAGACAAGTTAAACTAGCTGTACCAGTTCTTAATATGAGAACTGCTCCACACTCTTTGGACTCATATGAAATTCAAATTTAATTCGAACAAATGGCTTTCAATTGCAAGCAGATCTTTAGCTTAGTAAGAATGAGATATACTATACATTTGTCCTTCTTCACTCCTGAAGACCATCAAAAATAAACTAATTTAAGGTGGTCCCTTAAGAGGAAAAAAAAAACAATTACCTGGATGGTAATAATAGCAATCTTAAGGATCTGCAACATCAGCTTCCACGGCTTTCGTCCACGAGCTTTGAATTTCTCACAGGGGTTCATGAAGAAATATTTGAGCTTCCTCCTGAAATTATCTACAGCATCTGCGTCAAGTTCCTCTCCATTCTGAGCCCAAAATGAATTGCCGCTTTGGTCATTGATTGAGCTGTAACTGGCAGACAGCCCCACATCCTCCATTTCTGAAAAGCACAGCAATTCTGTAGTCAACCCAGAACCTGGAGAGATGCTCATGCTCCAGGTGCATGATTTTCAAAAGGAGAACTGGACCTATTCAATTCAAAAAGCTCAACTTCCATTACTAAACATTGTTAAATTATGTTTAGTTAATTAAAAAAATAAGTAGTCTAAGCCTCATTCTGCAATTCAAATACTGTTTTATAAAAACAAATTTGCAGTACAGTTCTCATTTAGTCCCTTTTAAAGGCCATGCAGATCTCATCCACCATCACCAGCAGTATTTTTCATAGCTCTCCATCACTTAGAGAGAAAAAAAAAAAATCACTTAAAAAAACATAACTACATTCAACAAAATGCTTTTACTCCACGTCTTCTTCCAAGTTAACAAAAGAAATTAAAAGTTGTCTCTTGTACAAAATTGTGCTAAAAATAAGTTGGTTTTAATACCCAACTGATTTGCAGGTAAGGCAATTCCTGCAAGCACTGCCATTAATGTTCTATATCAGAGGGTCTATTACTACAGTATGTTAGTGACAGGCTTAACAAAATGCTTCCAACAGTCCCTCTAGATAGGGGGAAACACTTGATTTGCCAATGCAGTATCCATCCCTAAAAAGGGGTTGTAATAGCCTTACATCACATGCAAGGTTATGGAAGTGCTAATTAGAAGTAAACTATAGGATCACTGGTTTAACAGTAAGATTATAAGGCAGGCATTCCCAGACCTGGTCCTTGGGACCCTAACATCTGCTAGTTCGCATTACAACTGAGCTCTTTATTTTATTGAACTAATAAAGTAAAGTAAAGTCGCTTCAGGAGAGCTACAATTAGCCTCCTTAATTTATATTACCCTTTCTGACCTCACCGGTACACACAAGGAACAAAGAGGACAAATCCCGTGTCTTACCTGACTTTATGCTCTGACCTGAGCAGTAATGAAAAACAAACTGCATCTCACAGTCCGGACCTCGCCCGCCTTCTGCCATCATACCAGCAAGAACAACCCGTAAACGCCGCTTAAGATATTAAGTAATTAACCCAGTATTACCAGTACTGAAATAATAGCATAAAAGCGTAAAGACAAATGTAGAAAACCAACTCCATTTTTAAGTCAACGACTAAAAGTACGGTGTTTCTATTCCAAAGCGAAACGCGCTGAAGTCCATTAACAGACTTCAGGCTCGCTCGATCTCTGGTCTCTGGTCTCTCCAGCTGATACGCACCTTCTAATGAGTTGGTGGACTGATTGCTGCAATTATCATCAATTGACACCTTCCCATAGGAACAGCTGATCCAAGGATGGAAGGTAAAATCCCGAGGTTCCTATTGTAACCATTAGCAGAGCATCATGTGCTTGAATGGACAGCCCTTTTCTGCCTTAGTCACCGTGTTTCTGTAAGAGATTCACAGGCAATAAATGGCACCGCAATAATAGATATCTATCAAACGAGAGTTTTTTTTGTACTGGGGCCGTTCAGGAGCAACTGAACCACTTGCACGTCATATAGGGAGGAGGTCGGAATAATCTTCAGACAAGGCAATTGCAGCTTTCTGGATCATTTTGTATAAATGTTCTCAGTTAAACGCAAAAAAATAACTATTGCCAAAAATATTTTGATAGCCAAATGGCTCAAAGCGTGTGTTTTTAAATCAGAGTAACACACATGCGTGGGCATCTTTATTACCATGCTGATCGTATTTATTAAATATTCTGCGTAGCTGCCTCATTATAATGGCTTTGCATTTTTTAATTCCCAATAAAACACCTAAAAGTAAACACCATTTTCGTATTTGTTTTGGGTATTTTCATATCTTAAAGTGATTTCCTTTGTCGTTTAAATAGTGTTAATACTGTAAGGAAAACTTTTAACAGTGGGAGCTTCTTAGTTGCCTTTAAAATTAAAATCACACCTTCAATGAAGGCGGTATGGAGCCTCAGCAGCCCTCGTAAGTAATAGGATGGGCCAGCTGTCAATCAACGGCACGACTTGGTCTCCCCTGGCAACCGCATTGACGCCGGAAACTGTTCGAAAGAAGTGAACACAGAAATGCGAAGAAATCCGGATTCATTAAAGTCTGACATCAGGAATTTCTGAAAAACACTGTGAAGGGACATAGGAGAGGTTGGTTATGTTTGTTTAAACAATGAATCGTTATCGGACTTTTGCTTTTAAACGCATTAGCAAAGTACTGTTTGCCTTTGTAAAACGTAGTCGGTTTTTGTTCTATGCATGGTCTCTTTTATTTAGAGCTGGTATTTGAAGACTGCTGATCTGTAGTGTAAGCACTAAAAGCATAGATTTCCTTCCATTCACTAAGCTAAGCACGATTGAGTGTATTTCCAAGATGCAACTGTTGAACTCGATGCAGTGTTATGCGAACCGCAGATTATTTTATTGCTGTATTTTCCACTTGGTGGAGCCATTTGGTCAGCATTAGACGACAACATCACAGCAAAGCGCCGATCCACAGAGCTGTTAAACTAACTTTTACCGGCTGTAAGAGAAACATTTTAAACGTTGATTGCATAAGTATTCAGACCTATGTACTCAATATTTGATGTAAAAAAACTTTGGCAGCACTTACACCCACGAGTCTTTTTACAGCCACTGACCTGGTGCAAAGTATGCACATTTTTCTTGGCAGGTGAGCTTTCTCAAGTTGCTTGGGGATTATGCTGCGTTGGGTCTGTGCCAAAACTAACACTTGGCATCGAGACCAAAGGGTTCCAGTTTGGTCTCATCTGACCACAACAACTCTTGATACATTTTATGCAGGATCAGTCTGGTGCTTTTTTGAAAACTCCATGCGGGACATGAGATGGGGTTTCTACTCTGCCATACAGGTTTGTGGAGTGACTGGGATGTTGTTAACTGATGCACATGTTCCCCAGCTGTTGAACTGTCTAAACTCCATTAAACTCTTTCAAAGTTGTCTTTGGCCATACAGAGGTGTCCCTCACCAGCTTCCTCCTTGTCCAGCTGCTCAGTTCGGCGGGACAGCCCGATCTAGGCAGTGTCTGGGTGGTAAGATGCACCCTCCACTTCTTGATGAGTGACTAGACTGCGCTCACAGGGATGTTCTGACCTCTCCTGATCTGTGCTTTTCAATGATGTTATCCCTGACTTGTTTTGAAAACTGCTTAGTTTTTGTGGTTGGGCCTTTTCTTGACACTTCACTGAGAAAGGTGTTTTTATTCTGAAATCACAAGAACAACTGTTACTGAACTCAGACAGAGGCCATACAACTAATTGTGTGGCTTTGTTAACTTAAATTAGTTTAGGTTTGCCGCAGAAAATGGTTTGAATACTTGTGCAATCACAACTTTTCTATGTTCATTTCATATCAATTATTTACGTCTTGCCTTAAGTGTGTATATTGTGTATATGAGAAATATTAATTGCTCCTTCAAAGTTTAATTACTGAAAGATTTAAAGTATGAAAAGATGAAAACTGCAAGTTTATGAATTCTTTTGCTAGGCAAATAATCAGTTTCAAGACTCCATAAAATGACTCTTGTTAAGTTTGTTGTTTAATGTGTCAGTGTTTCCAATATAGACAAATTTAACCATGATTTTGCCATTGCGTACTTACAAAGTACTGCCAAAAATGCAGGTTAACATCTCAATACTGAGCCACACAATTAAGCAAGCTAGTCTGTTATTCCCACATATAAACTGCACAGCTGATTTTTAAATATAAAAATAAAAAGCAAAGAGGCAGACATATTCATATATTGTATTTTTGTTATCTAAGTCAGCTTTTCTTGGAGATGTTATATCACAAGAAGGTTTAATAAATGTAGAAATTTGTCATAGCATTTTGATATAGACATCTTGGAGAATTGAATCTGAATGTTGGATCTTCACAGTACGTTGACAATGTGTAGATGACTCGATTCATCCCTACAGTATCAGATGAAAAACAAGTATTGGTGAGATGCATTACTGCCACTGCGTGGTTTTCACACAGTTGTTCTCTCAGCAACAGGATTTCCAGATAGAGATGGCTGATAAGGGGAATCAGAAAAGCACTAAGACCCCCTCGACTAATTCCAAACTCTCTGGAAAGAGGCCTAAGAGCAGCACCAGTATAGTGAGCAACAAAGCAAGTGGAAAACAAAAACCTGGTTCAGGTAAGCATGTTACATTACAAAAAAATATAAAAGTGTATTTTAAGTAAGTCATGTGTAATACATTTAGCAGTTTAGAAGGCTTTAATTGTTCGAAACAATACAGGTTGTATATAGTATCTGTGACATATGCTTTGCACCTGTTTGAAGATGCAATGTTGTTGGATTCTGTCCCATTTCCCACAGGATATGTGTTCACTGGTCTCTGAGCCCTATAATATATGCTACATCCTCATCAAGTCCATCCATAACTGTTAAGTGGGGATCAAAGTCTGTTAAATAGAGTTTCCACAGCATGTCACAGCTGTTATGCTCTTGCCTTCAAGAAAACTGATAAAAGACGATGTGTTTTATCCTGCTGCAATGTTGTCACATTGGGATTATCCTACAGGAAAGTTAGCAAGTGAGGTTCCAGGATATGGTCACTGTTGAGTCATGCAGTTAGACTTCCATCTGTCCCTACAAGTGAAGTTGTGCAGCAACTAAATACTCCTTCCCAGACAATCACATTTTGACATACCCATCAATTGATCCACTGTACACAGCAATTACTATTATTACTTTATTCATAAATATAAGAATTATAAATGTCTGTGCTGTTCTTGCTGACATCCATTGGCTTGGTCTAAAAACATCCTTGATTCATTGATAAAGAGAATAAGTAGGACATATTAAAACACTGAAAGGGTCTAATTTGTTTTCACTAGGCTTGACATTCAACAGGTTAAACCGCTATATTGTCTGTTCCCAATCAACATTTTCATTATAACATAAGATCACTTTATTGGCCATATACTTGTACTAAGAATCTGTCTTTTCACATCACCCAACTTGCTCTCCATGAGACACACAGACAGGGAGAGAAGCTTGGGGTCAGAGCACAGGGTCAGCCATTTATACAGCGTCCCTGGAGCAGTTGGGGTTAAGGGTCTTGCTCAGGGGTCCAACAGAGTAGGATTCCTCTGCCGGCCGCGGGATTTGAACCGGCAGCCCACCAGCCACAGGCGCAGATCAATGTGGTCAAAGTCACTCAGGTGTATCCTAAATAACAAAATAATTATACTCTATCTATAAACATAGAGTACATGAGTAATGATTGAAAGACATTTATGATGCTCAGTATAGATCTAAAACACTAACATTTTTTAATGAACTGTGACTGCGTGTGACTGCATCCTTCCTCCTAGTATTGCATAAAACTTTGGGGCCACAAACTTTATATATGATTCAGTGATATTGAGTTGGCCACTTCATCACTGGAAACATGACAGCAATTTATTCACATCCGAGCAATTATCCAAATCTTCACAGCTGAGTTTGCGAACAAAATTATTAAAAAAAAAAATAAACAATGAATGAAATTGGTACACAGGTAAAAAAAATGTCTTCTTCATCTTTTCTAAATTATTTTCATTGTATCAGAATACATCACACCAGCCTTGGTTTTTAAAATATCATACACAGATGCATTGAACACTAAGTAACTAATAAGGATCACAGTCTATGGATGTGTTTTCTGTTCAGTATGATGTACTGTAGAAACTAACTACAATAATATTCTAATCTGATAAAATAGGATAAGCCTCTAAAAGGCAACAGGCCAAATTCTAAATTTAATTTTTCATATCCATGAGAAGGAAAATGCCCTGAAAAAATGAAATGTTTCCGTAAAATGGATTTTCACTGTATTGAATAAAATTATTTTGTTTTGGCTGATTTTAGGTAAAAAAGTCGACTCTACTTCAAACGTTGAGAGTGCTGGTAAGATATTTCCAAATTATTTATTTATTTGTGTATTTTTTACATTTCCTAAGGCAAATATGCCTTGATGTCTAAAGCCATTTACAGGCCTAGCATGGTATTAGCAATTAGACATGGCATAGAGAAAATTAGAATGTTCATAAACCATGCTAATTTTTACCTCATTGATCCTTAAATAATATGCATAATTATTTATTTCACCTGATACGTTCTTTGTGAACAAATTCTTGTCTGTAAAAATGATATTGAGTGGCACCAAACTTGTATAAAAGACAGAGAAAAATAGAACAGGATGTGGCAGTGTAAACAAGTGCATTTATCAGGCAGGTAGGTCAGCTATGATGAAAGTACCACAACATTAACAATAGAATGACACAGAAAACTGCAGTAAATTGAATTTAACATTGGCATTAGGGTTAGAAAAGAGAACACATAGATATTACTATTCCCTTTTCAGCAAAAGTTATGCTTACTGGATTTTTTATTGGATATTATTTAGTTTTGGTTTGGCCGATTCATCAAAGATTAGACTTCTGACACCGGAATTATGAACACATGTGAAAATATGCAGCAGCTGGCATGTTCTTCAAACTGAGAATTCCGTCTAGTCCAAATGAAAGACTTTATCTTCTGACATCCTATTCCAAACTTATCCTCAAGAAATCCAATAAACTGAACTCTGTTTTTAAACAGGCTGTAACACAATGAGTCGTGTGAAAATGTTCTGTCTTAATTATTGGTTTTCACTGAAAGAATCTCATGGTCTGCACGCAACTCAGAGGCTTTTCCAACCATTCAGCGCATTACACAGATACCTGCTTAGCTGCATTTCATTTGCTTTAATGATGTATTTGTATGAATACATATACTTCAAATGTTCACTGGATGTGTGCCGAATACAAAAGAAAAAAGAAGCTAGAGGGCAAATTGTCTCCTTGTTGAATGCCGTTCTCATATCATATTACCCCTGTCTAAAAGTGCTTACATCTGCATCGTGTTAAAAATGCCATCACAAAGCTATTGGTGTCGAAGAGGCCCTACAGCTAGTCCTTTTCTGATCTGAAAAGTACGGCACAATATATGCAAAACACTCTCAATGATGGTTTTAAACAAAAATGAAATGCAGGGGCTTTGATGAGACATTTGCAGCCCTGCAGGTGAATCCTTGGGAAGGTATTATACTGCACTCATTCAACTCTTATCTCTTCATTGTTAGTGTAATTTTCAAGTATATGAACAGCCTTTTGAAAACATGCTTATGGTCTCATTCCCTTATTATGGCAATGTGTTACAAACCAGGAGCATAAAGTATATAATTTAAGCCTTATTACGTAATCATCTCTAGCTAAGTTGCCTTGATAAAACCAGCAAAGTTATGTTTCATTTGGAGTTGTTTGCTTAGAAACGTATGTTCTGAAACTTAAAACACACAAATCTGTAGTTCCTACTATTATATGTATTAATTCAGCAGATGGCTGTTTCCCAAGCAACATACAATTGTATCTGGTCAAGATGCAAAGTGTACATATTTATAGTTGCAACTATAATAATGAATGAAGTCACCTCATGTCTCTCCAATTAAAGACCTGTCTGTAACCACTTCTTCGCCTATTTAATGTACTTTAACTTTAACTTTAAAAGTATTTAGGTTACCTAACATTTCTCTTCTATTCCACCAAAATAGCTGTGAAAAACTAGTAAACAAATTTGGCATAATGGTAGTTGGTCATGGTTTACTGTACTGTATATGTACTGCTAGTTTAAAACAGTTCACCAGTTCAGTGCCTAGTGCTTGAAGTACTTGGAAGCATGTTGTAACAACACCTTTTCTTTTTCGAAGAGGCTATGAGTTGAAAGAATGGGTTTGATATTTACTGTATATTTTTTCTTGTTAGAGAAAGATTTTAGTACACCCTCTTAGAAAGTTCTCACTGAAAATAATTAGTGTTTTCTGGGTTTAAGTTTTCTTTTGCTACAGTGCTTAAAAGAGGCCAGCAGTACACCGGGGACTGTAATTACACAAAAGGGAGACAAAATATATTGGTAAACATTTTTTTTGTAGTCAATAGGATGCACCGCTGTGACTGGCAGTTACACATTTTCCAATATTAAGATTTTAAGATTTTAATGTTAAGATTGATGTAGCTGATGTGGAGCCAGAGTATTCTTTTATCTTTTTTACATGAACCTGTATGAAAGGCTCCAGTAGAGATACATTATTTATGCCAATTAAATGCCATCCTGTTTTTCTCTGTGGTTTGATGTGCACTGTCCTACATTTCCAGTGATGGCAGTGAGATGAGAGAAGGCCACTGTAGTGCGTGTCAACGTCACAGTGTCTTTTACTGGTGGCCACATTGTACAGGTGTTACCAAAGCACTATTTTTTTTCCTCTCAAGTTCCACCGGAGGACATCTTCCCTCTTGTCCTCACCGGCGCAACTCAAGAACTGTTTCAGTGCCGTGCTGATGAGGATGTCACGCAGGAGAATCCCTTCAAAATCCTCAGAAAAGAAGAAATCCTTCAGGACATGAAAACCAGGGCTGCCGTGTCTGATTTCCACCCCGTGAAGCAGCTGGTGCTGGTGGGTATTTCATGCCGCTGTGATGGATCATGAAACACAAGCCCGGGGGGAAGGAAGGTCCTCTTGATGAATCTCAGGTCACGTCTTTTTGCTGCTGAGGGTTTCTGATTCGGTAAGATCAGACGTGCACCCTGGCCCTCGGGTGCCCTCTCTCATTTACTCCTTCTACTCCCCAGCACCTCTTCAGCGAGCTTTCATCAGATTGTAATGCTGATCTGAAGTAGACAGATGCTGGTTTAGCTTTTATCACCTTATGAAAACAGCAAGCTCTCACTGACAAGCTGGGACATTATTTCACTCCCATCATACAAGGCTACTGTGAAAGCTGTACCTCGGACTTGTTACAGTGAGAACTCTTTGATTTTTTTCTTTGAAACAGGTGCACAACAACTTATTGTGAAAAACAGAAAAGCATCCAATTTTTGCTATTGGTTTTAACACAGTATCAACATTTCTACTTACAAACTGTTGTGAAAACAGGAGATTGTGTAACAGAATGTTTACTTGAAAATATGTTTTCTTATACTGTACTCTTGTCATTGAGCACTTCATTATCTAATGTTGTGCTACTAAGCTGTTAGAAATGTTAACACAGGACATTCTCATATGTTTGTGAATTCCATTGAATTTAGAAAATTTGAAATTTACTTATAAGCTAGCTGCTTTTTTGGTTTATTCTAGCTTTATTACTTATCAACAGCCAATCAAACTCAAAACGGTTTAAAAGAAAAAAAAGCATATGTATGCCTACAGTACATATTATATTACAAGGATATTATTATACATATTATAAGGATAACACAATCCTTATGTCATCACTAAATCACTTAGGAAATATTTCATAGTGTTTGTGTTGTCAGAGTAGAGTATTTGTACAGAAAATCAGCTTATCAGTTCCATACCTATTTAAATTCATACAGTATATTGTGTTTCATAGTCCAGTTTATTTGTATAGACAGGGGGTTACATTTTTTCCAAAGCTACATGTGAGCTGTCCTTAACTCAGTGTTCTTTGTTCTAGAATAATGTTTTTCTTTCCATTTCTGTGTTTAATCTCTTCAGAACTATCCAGGAGAGGAGCTCTTACTAGTATTTGATAGGGACTTCAGTTATGGGCAGAGCTTCTATCTTGCTGGAACAGAGGAGGCCAAGGAAAGGATTTTGCAAGTAAGGAAATCTATAGTCTTGAATAGAGTTTATAGAAGAAAGTTGTTTCTGATGCATTGAGGTAGTATGGATTTTCTAGACTTTATCAAAACCAGCTTTGATGTTTTTGGTTGCATAATTGTACATTATGCACTATACAAAAAAATCAGTAGTATAGTGGGGTATATTGGTTCATTACTGTTTTTTTTCTTTCTTCATTTTAAGTGTTAAAATCACCTCATCAAGGAACCTGTGCTCATTCAACTCTTTTGCTCTTACATAGTACTTATGAAACAGCCACAATCACTCAAGTATATCATTTTATTTTTTATTTCTAAAAATACAGTGCCTGTATTTTCTAATGACATGGGCTCTGAATAATGCCAAATTATTCAAACCTTTGCACAACATTTACATACTGAAAGTGGATGGATGCACTAAGTAGAGGCAATCTGATTAACAAGATGTCAGGTTGACCCATTCATCCATCCATCCATTTTCTTACTGCTTCTTCCAATTCGGAGACATGGAGGAGCTGCAGCCAATCCCAGCAACTGGCACAAAGCAGAGTACACCCTAGATGGGACACCAGTCCATCACAGGGCACACACACTTGCACCTAAGGCCAGTTTTCCCAAAAGTCAATTAACCTATCAGTATGTTTTTGGAGTTTGGGAGGAAACCCACATGGAGAGAACATACAAACACCTTGCAGATAGTGTCCCAGGTCCGGAACCGAACCCGGGGTTCCAGCACTGCAAAGCGGGAATGTAGGCTATACACCTCCATGGCGCCCTTGCCCCAAGAACAACACTAAGTTATTTAACCATCTACCAGCCGTCTGGCCTACTCTGTTATGAAACTCTGTTGCAGGTGCAAGAGCCCACAGATGCAGACGTAGTGGAGGAGGAGTCGCTGCTTGAGATGCCTGTGTACAAGACTCCAGAGCCCCATCCTTGGGTGTCTCTGGGCAGTGAGGTGGAAATAGAGGAGGAATCTGTAAAGGACTCAAAAAAGAGGGTAAATATCCCTTCAGTAAATAAATCTCCTTTTATAACCTCCAATTGGAAAGAACTGGAATTATTATGAATTTGTATTTTATTCCATACAACTAGTGAAGCTGGTAATAAAGCATTGAATTCAATTGTAATGTTTTACCGTAAAACCAAATGCACATTCCAACCTTTTGATATTATTTGAACGCAATCTGCTTAAAACTTTATATTTATAAATACCTATCTTCCTCCAACTGAAAACTCATATCCAATAAAATAATACTCAGACGAAATAAAAGAAACGAGTTTTGGAAAATCATATCTATTTCCTTAACACGTCCTTAAAACAAAATAACAGAGTACACCCCTATACTATCACATAATGTACTATAGTGATTAGTAACCCTCCCTTACATGATAATTACAGTACTAATGCATTGGCTTTGAGTTACTTAAAATAATATAGATCAACTAAAATAAACAAATCCCCTCTTCACTGATACAGAACCAGGAGTGTCCATTACAAGAAAAAAGTGGATGTTGGCTAGTGGGTACTTGGGCAGGGGGTAGAGAGGAGCTCACTCACTAGCTGGATTCATCTCAAAATCCAAGTCTGTTGAGCAGCTAATCTGCAAGTTGCCCCTTATAACTTTCAGCTCGGTTTTACCCTCGTTTGCAGGATCAGCCTGACCAAAACATAAATAAGTGATTTTGCTAATATCAAATTCACAAATGCCGAGACCATACTGTATTTCAGTAGTCTAGTAATTCTTACTTTTATTAGTTTCAAGATTATTGAAGTATCCCCAAAGAACACTTAGAAAATTATTATGTTTTCTTAAGGAAGTCGACATGGACATAGAATGAGAAGTTCATGTTTAACCGACTAGAATTATTTGAAAAAGCATTATGAACTGTTGATTCCTCTAAATCATATGACATGATCTATATTTCCAGGAAATTATGATTAGGACTCCAGCTAAAGGCTTTAGGAATTCAGACAGAGTAATTATAAATTAGGCAGATGTAAGAAGTGGTGTACCTCAGGAATCCACTTTAGGGCCACTGCTCTTCTTGATCTGTGTCAACAATTTAATAATAATTGTTGAGCCCCAAGCTCTGGGCTTCCTAAAAAAACAGCTAGATGAAATTTAAGATCAATTTTCATCAACTAAACAATTAAATGAGCAAGAAAAACATCTGAGAGAAGGCAGGGATCAAGGTAAGAAATAAGTTATTTCAAAAAAGGTTTTATTCATTTAATATACTTTGATTCTCACTGGTTTCAATAATTTTATACCAATAAAATAATAATGTTCACTTCCTCAGTGCTGAATCAGCTTCTTTATCTCACTCAGTTCCTATTGACCACCACAGCCTCTAGCAAAACACATTTCCAGGTGCTCTATAATCCTGAATTTTATTGAATATGATGATTGCTTTCTTTCTGTAGTTGAGATACAGGGCCTCCAGAATCCGACGAGAATTTGGAGCTCAAGTGCAATTCACTGATCGCAATGCTTCAGCATCTAAGGATGGTTACATTGAGTGTCCACCCTACCAGGACAAAAGCTTTTGCATTAAACAACTTGAGAGAGACACTGGGACACAGGCTATCCCAGACCTGTGGGACTCCAGTACTCAAACCCAATGGTAAGAGCTGGTGAGATATTGGGATATTGTCTGTTTATCATGGCTTCAAAGTCCTCTGCTCTCCTTATTTTTTCTAGTTATTTTCAGTGGAGTCAGTGACACCATGAATGTTTCACAACAATACCATGGTATGTTTTCAATTTGGGTGTGACCTTTGTAAAGCAAAGTAAGAAAAGAAAGCAGTTAATTCATTTTATTCTGTAACCTGTGTGCCAGGGAAAGCTGAGAAACAGCAAAGGCCCCACCCATGATAAAAGTTGGGATTTATTTTTAATGGCAATTATTTGTGATATACCAGCTGCTTGCAAAAGGAAGGAATTCTTTGGATTCATAAAGGATTCCTTTTTACCAACCTATAAACTATGTTTACTGAGAAATTAATACTCAAAATTGCTGAACAATGTATTCATTTTATCCTGTGTATTTTATCGAAGTCAGTATTTTAAAAAGACAATATTAAGCTTTTAAGTCTTAATATCTGATGATTGCTGGGCTGCCAGGATACATCACAATGTAACATGCAGTAATTGTGTTACATTTATGTTATGATTTGCTGTCTTTTAGGAAGTTCCCAAAGAACACCTGGACTCAGTATGTTCCCAGGGAGTTCACTGAGGAAGAAAAAGAGAACTGCATGTATTCTGAGAACCTTAGGAACTTCATCACTTCAGTTGCTCTGAGGTAAAGGTTTTAATAAGTTATTATTCTCATATTCTCAATATGACATTAATTGCAATATACACAATGTTAAGAATAAAAAATATAATTCTTTCAAAAATTGAAATAATAGATTAAGCTTAAACATTGCCGTTATTTTTGTGATTTTATTTATTTCAAACTTGCAATATAGTAAAACTTGAAGTTCAGAAGTGTGGGTGCCATGCAACCATGCCTGTACTTAATGCATTTTATTTTCTGCCACACTTCATCCACAGGTTTGAAATAGCTGTGCAGCAGAATGAGATAATGGATGTCTTCTTTGATGACTGGAAGGCACTTGGTGAGGAAGAGAGTACATTTGGGGGAAAAGCAGACACTCACCTGAAAGAGTACCAGTCCTTCACAGACCTCCACTTCAGCAAACAGAAGAGTATCAGCTATATAAACTGGCACCCCACCATTAATGGTAGGATAGCACACAGGCTTGAGCAGATATGTTCCATTTTCTCTTCCCCTTTAAATAAGTTTCATAATCACAAATTACATCTGATAATACTAAAATAAATAATTTATTGGTACAGTTCAAGAGATGTATTTGGTACAAGCATCATACATTTGGGACTAAATTTAGACCAATTCCAGTTCTTGAGAGGAATTTGTGAATTCCTGTTTTCCATCCTTCTTGAAAATATTAAAACAATAGAACAACATTTCAAGGCTTTAAATTAGATATAAAGTCCTCTTTATCCTGATTAATTTTCTCAAGTCCAATATCTTTTCCAGATTACTTCCATTCTGTTTTCATGTCCTTGCTAGTGAAGTGTATGATGTGTTGATTGCTATGGTTTTGGTTTAAGAGTCTTTTTAGACCTTTAGTTTGCAAGATTAAGATCTACAGTATTTACATTCCTCTTGTCTAATGGACATTTTAATAAAAAATAGCACTTAAAAAAAGAGTACATACTGTATAACCTTACAAATAAATATTTCATTACAGTTAGTAGACATTTCATGCTTACCAGTTATAAAGTTTGATTGGTGTAATGTGGATATTTCAGGCGTAATTGCAGTAGCTGTAACAGAGAGGCTGTGCTTTGAAGATCGGATCAATCTCTCAACTAAGCTGCTTCTGAGTCCTTCCCTCATTCTCTTCTGGAGTTTCTCTGACCCTATTAATCCTCAGGTATGTTTGAACTTGTATTTACATTTTAATCACAACTTTAACATAACTGGGAGGTTACAATTATTATTTATTATTATGTATCTCATCAACATACACGTGGAATTGAAAATGACAGACATGCCCAATGAATACTGTAGATCCATAATGCATGCAAGTTATAAGTAGATTAATGATGAAACATTTTTTTTTAACTCTACAGTTACACAACTGTGGTCAAAGTTTGTCAAAACATGAGTTTACAGAATATTAGAACTAGCTCTCTCTCAAAAGCAATAACATATTTGAAGTGTTCTGTAAAGACTCAAGCACAGGGTAGATTTTAGTAGAGAATGGGGAAAAATGTGTTCTATTTTAATTCATGAAAGAGGTACAGACATGAAAGGACGTTAATAAGAGCACACACAGCAGGGCAAGGAAGACAGGACTTGAAGGGAGAAGATGTAGCAGATTTTATTTGATTGTTTTGTTCTCTGCAGTTGCTATTGGAGTGTCCAGATGACATCTACTGCTTTGAATTCTGTCCCTCTGATCCCAATATCATTGTTGGTGGTTGCATTAATGGCCAGGTGCTGATTCTCCTTTTCAGTTTCTGACCGTGTGCACAGGGAAGCTTTCTTCTAACGCCATATTATATAACTAACACTTTTGAAGGGTGCATCTATTTGCTCAAGGCTTTTTTGGGCCATTTTTCAAAGCCCAGTACCATACCATATACCAAACTATTAATCAACATGCATATGACACGATAAAGTTAAATTCTAATGCAGAATAGAATCTGTTAGATAATCCTTTTCTAGAATTGCCTTTGAGACACAAAGATTTAGAGATTGATCAGAGCCTGTAGCAAATTCATAGCCTTTACAGATTTCCCTTCAAAATGTATTATTTTTAAACACTGTATACTGGGTTATCACTCTAGTATTGAAAAACTCTCAGAGTTCTCACAGAGTTCCTCTGTGTGAAATGTTAGCCCCTCTCTTCACTTACTACTAGTATATCTTTCTTCATATATAAAGTGTTAAACATCATGTCATGTGAGCTCCCCTGATTTAAGAAAGGTACATTAAAATGCTTTCACATTTGTGCTAATACTATACATTAAGAAGATGTGAAGAAAAAAGTGATTTTAATATTATGGACTGAAACCTTTCTTAAAATAAAGAAGGATTATAAAGTCGTATCTATCTAACTTAAAATAATCAGTTCTTTCATCCTCTTAAAAGTTATTTTTTAAGTTATCATAACACAAATAAATAGGTGCACCATATATCTTATTTTTATCAATAACCTGCTTAAATTTTCTTATCATGCCAGGTTGTATTGTGGGACATTTCAGCGTATAGAGAGTGGGTGCAGAGCTCACGCACTGGAGGAGGAGGGAAGCAGACCCCTGCAAATGCAAACTCATTAGTAAGTACCTGATAAGCCAATCTGTTTAAAGAAACAGTTGAAAATGTATGCTACTCAAGACGCATGGGCATCACCTGTAACAAGAGGCATATAAAAGTGGGATGTGTTTCCTGCCTTTGGATAAACCTCTCTAGTTGCTAAACATGGCTGTTCTCACACTTCAAGACCCACACATCTGCTTTCATTCTAGAGCTACAGCTAAGTTCAACACAACAGCTGGGGCCTGATGCCAAAAGCCTGATGGAATGAATAATGATAAAAGCACAACTGTAAAGCATATCCTGACACATGAAAGCACTGCAACAGCTTTTGGAAGATAAAAATATATGCTTGGTGAAGCATATAAAAAAAAAACCCACTCAGAATAACTCAAAGCAGTGTGGTATCTATTTTCAAACACTGGAGAGAACTGGCCTGAGGGCATCTCTTTTCGAAGGACATATGTTGTACTGTATTTGTAAAGGTATTTCTCTGAATGAATTATTAGTAACAGTATAGTAAATGTAGTAACAATGGATAATTATTAAAGCAAAGCAGAATTCAAAGTGTTCTTAGACAGTTCTGCTCTCTAGAATTGTGAAACTGTCAGAACTAATTAATAATTATAATCCATAGTTACATTATACAGTATTTGCAAATAGAAAAAGCTTTTCCAATGTTTTCCATAAAACATGACATAAATACAGATCTTCTTTCAAAGAAATGAACAAGATTTCTACATTTGCCTGTAACCACTCTTGATTGACTAACTCTTAAATACTTTGTGTAGGCAATTGTTCTATTTTTTAGTTTTAGTAGTTGTACATTATTTGAGCTTTACCAGCACAGTGGAGTAAACTATTATTTTCGCTGAGCTTGCATGTATTTTATTAAAAAAAAAAATTATAACAAAACATTTAAAGGCAGATTTAAAAAATATACAGTTTAATATACAATTTCTTTATATCTCGGAAAGTTGCTCAGTTTTAATTACAAAATAAAATAAAATAATTTGGCTCCAAACACATAACAATACACAATTCATTTCAAATGTACACAAACTTGCTATGAATCAGGAAGCCTTCTAGAATGAAATCTGTAAAGTTTCTATTGCTGCAAAACACCTACAGTAGATGGGCTGTTTCCATTTTCTCAGTGAATAATTGCATATTTTATTTAGTTTTTTTTTAGTGCTGATGTTGTTTTACATTTGTTATTATCTGTTACTGTACAAACTTCAGTATGGTCACTAAAATCTAGGTTTGTATTTACTCCTGAATCAAATTGATTTATTTCCATATCACAATCACTAGCTGTCCCAGAGGTTGTTTATCTTTATCCTCTAATTATGGGAGTATTTAAAGAGGCCTTTTCACCCTTTTCATGCCGTTCATGAGGCCCAGCCAGCTGCTTCAAGAGAGCCTTTCATGTTTACTTGCTAAACCATACAGAGCTCACTGCACGACACATTCAACTGTTCCTCTGATCACTGTGGTGTCCCACAGTCATGCTAATTGTATAGCAGATTTTGAGTTCTCATTTTAACAGTACTACTTTTGGAGTTTTCTTGCATTTTTCATATTATTTTTATTGGCTACACATACAGTATACATGTGAATACACATTAAAGATCTAGCACATCATACAGTATATTTTGTTAAAAAAGACTTACAGTAGTGTTTGATCTGCATAGTTTTGGGCAATGTATAAGTAAAAGAACAAATGAACACAACCAAAAAGTACTGATCACTACCACACTATCTACAGAGGTATTTGCTAAGTAAGAATATGGAACAAGCTTCCCAGCCATTTTATTGAAGCTGATAACCTGGATTTTTTTCAGGGCTAGATGAAGTCCTAGAATTATCTACTATCTACCAAGTGGTCCAGTTTACTGTGTAACGTGTATAAGGTTCAATTGTGGAAGTTTTTTTTAATCAAGGAGAGGTCAGTGTAGTAGACTATTCAGAAATAATCATTCTTAAATGGATCTATGGTCCAATCGAGGGAATCTTCACAGCAACCTTTATGACTCGTAGTGCTTCACCAAGCAATGGCTTTAGAACGTACACACCAGACACGAAGGCCCACCCAGACTGTTATTACCGCCATTCTGCCAGAAATTATCCTCTAGGCTTTCAGAGCTATCTGTGTTTCATCTGGAGGGGCATCCATTGCTCCCTCTCTGCTCACTATATTCATCCCCAAACTCTTTGAAGTCAAGACAGGAAGGAAGTGTTAACTAGATGGGAACATGAGCCCCAGAGATATCCAGTGGCACAGTATTGAAATACTAATAAGCTCTGACTATGCAAACAGTGAGATAATTCAAAGATCTGGGTGCTAATTAGAAACATACAAATGACAGACATACACTTCAAAGGCAGAGTAATGCTTCTGTTAATAGAAACCACATGAACTTCATTAGAGTAGAAGAGATGGGATCTTGTGGAGCTGAAGAACATTGTGATTTAATTATTTTTAGCAATATATTTGCCTTCACATAGGAATGACATTCTCCTAAAATTTAATTTTACTTTTTTAGACTAACTCTTGAGGTTTTATATGGGTAAAAGAAAAATACTGTACAGTGAAATCAGTAATGATCACACACACTGCTTAAGTAACAGGGAGCAAAGTGCTGCTGTTCTCCCTCACATTCTTCTTGTATTGTAATTGCTTTTAGTCTTCCAGTGGAACACAAATTACCCTTTTCTAGCCAGAGCACTTCATTTGTCTGGCTGGTGTCAAACCGATTCAAAGAACACTTTGGGATTTTATTTGGCATTGTATTAATTTTTGTTATCTGTTCTGTTTTCTACTGCAAAACTATTTTTAAAGTAATAAGCAATGTGTATATATTAAGAAAACCTTAAAGAAACAAAATAGTTTAAATCTGAAAAGATTTAAACATTATCCACAGAGGTCAGAAGTTAATTCCATGCTGAAAATTGAATAGAAAGAAAAAAACAACAGTGAAATATGAACCAGAGGACACAAGTGGAAACTATGTGAAAGTGCAGAAGACTTTATGCAAAGGGTTGTGCGAGTGTAACAAGCCACTCTGTTACTGTTGATACTTCTTTCAAGAAACAGCTTAATATCCTCCTGGTATCAATTTTGACTGTTAACTTCCTAACAGGACAGGTGGGATGATTACAAAGGCCTCTCCTTTGTAATATATATGTTCATATGTAAGATTTTGACTATGGAGCTTACTTTGGGTGTGAATTTTTTTATTTATTTATGCTTTTTAGCATGTAATTAATCCCTGCACGTTCCTTAAGATTTTACTTTGCACGGTATACTTTCAGTGAGACCACAGTTAAACTGTACAGTGCTTGGATACGTCTTAGAAATAAGGTTGGTCTCTGACGCATTACGAAAGGCATTTTAGCAGCTTCGAAACCTGATACTACTGATATACTTTAACTGAAATAGTACTTCTTACATATACCCTGCTCAAACCATGAAAAATATTTTATTTTCCTGTCTATGTGAAATTAGAGAAAGCAATGAATGAATGATCTAATTTTAAAACCACTGCTAATGTTTGATGTGATGTTTTGGGTCTGAACTTGCAGCATGGCTTTGAAGAGAAGCAAGAAAATGAAACTCCCATAGTGCGTTACTGTGCTGTTTCAGCCATAGAGAATGGACACAAAGCACCAATTACTGATGTGCAGTGGTTGCCAGACTCCTATGAGGTAATTAAAGATTTGAAATTCTCCTTTCTTATTTTTCCTTTTCATGCTCAGGTGATGGGCTTCAGCCGTAAGAACATACTTAACGGCTTTTTAAGTTTGCATACTCCTGATACTGAAGAGCTGATATTACTAATAATGGGGTCAGTCCACATTCTTTTCACACAGTAGTTATGTACAAACATGGTTTTCTAGATTAAATTGGTTTTCTAGATTACATTTCACTGCAGTTTCTATTATTTCATCTCTTCAGTTGTCAAAACTGTATAATATTTTTTCTCTTGTTGATTTCACATGTTTTTTCCTGCCTACATAGCTATACAGGTTAGGACAAGACTTGCTATGTAAGGGTAAAGGACAAGGGATAGCATGCAGTATGTGTCGCACACATACCTGAGTGCCAATGGACCTGAATTTTGAATGTAGGGAGAAATCCTTTCTCTATATAGCGGAAAGTGTTTCTAGAAAAAAATACCCTGTGCAACATCTCCCTAAACTGTATTATTCTGGAGTGCCCATTCATGATTTTATTAAGGCTTAGTTTATCAATGACAAAATCTGGGAACAACAAAAAGAGAAGTGTGTGAACAGTCCAACTAATTTTCTTCCCCAAACCTGTGTCTGATTACCACTGTTTGAGTTCTCTTAAAGTATAGAATGTTAGTCAAATGTATGAGCAGCTTATTAAATGGATCACAAATACTAAAACAACAAAAGGAAAATTTAATTAAATCATCCAATGCAGGCTTAAATTATATTTAAAACTGCATGAATTTCAAGACTTCCATGTTAAAAATATGAAGCCTTGGAATTTGGCCTTGGAAATTGATACTTTCTTTTTCTCCAGTTTCTTTACAAAAGAGTAGTTAAGGCAAACACCGGCATCTGTTCTTCATGCTGGCTTTCATCTTTCATGTTTTCTGAATTATTAAATCCCCATCTGAATGCAGTGAAACCACGCATACTCTACCTAAACCATATGCCATTAATAGTTCCAGAAAAATTAATATTTTTTGAATGAAATGATTTTGGTAATGTGCGTCATCTGAAAAACTTGACAATGAAAAAGTTCCCTTTGAGCAGTGCTAAAACATGCAAGATCTTATGAACATATGAATTGTTACAAACAAGAGGCCGTACTGCCCATCTCACTCTGCCCTGGTAGTTAGTAGTTAATATTTTAATTGAAGCATTTGATAAACAATTACCAATCTGACTATGAATTAAAGACTTATTGCTTAGCAGTTTTATTCATGTCTGTTACTAACTTTCATGTCTTACCTCTACAGTTTACAAAAAAAAATCATAATTTGCTTAATTTATGGTCTAATTAGTCCAAAACAACTTAAAATGGTGACAGAAGGGTGAGTTTGCTGATTTCAGGTTGAAAGATAACCATTAGGAGTACCTGGAATGGCCAAAGGAACACAACAAAATAAAGGTCATAGGTGAAATGTATTGCAGCCCTTTAGGATATTGTGATGACATATGGGAATTAACTAGTCCGTTCAGGAGGCTGTATAGGTGTAATTAGGGACCTTCTGCAAGAGAGGTTAGAGCAGATTGTAAGGACTAGTCTCTGGAAGATGCATCAGAACAAGAGTGAAAAACCTAAATTGTTCTAATTGAAAAACAAAAACAAAATAACAGAAACATAAGCTTTTAAAGGTATTGAAAAGTTATGTTTTATAAGTAATAAAAACCAATTTATACAGTCATACACACCCAAAATTATATTTTCATTTTAATTCTGTATAGATTTCCAGGGCCGGTGTGCCACTGGAAAACAAAGACGGGGTCTGTGTCCAGATTGTCACATGTGCTCCTGACTGGTACGTGTTTTGATATGTTCTTTGCTCTCCATTGCCATAGCAGAGCTGAAAAACTCATTATATCACTAAACAACAAGAGTGTATTTACTGGGAGAAGCTTTTACAAGTATCTAACAAGTACCCAAAATGATCATTGCTAAACCTTGAGGAGGTCAGATATTTATAAATATAAAGCAATTCTTAAATTTCTGTGGCTCAGTGAATGCCAATCGGGATGTTGAAATGTAAATAAACACATACATGGCCCCATGATAGATGCAGAATATTATATACCAGGAGCCAAAGACGTGTTTTTAAAGCATTTGTTAACTTTTTGATAATTTGAAACGACAACAAGCTTCTTCAAGAGTTGCCATGGTGTCTCATGGATAGACCTGTAATACTACAGTCTGTAAATAGAAATAGAATATGATAATTAAAATTTACTCTAATTATGGCTGTTTTTATCTGACTCAAAGTAGTATTATACAGTGCCTTGGAAAGATATTCAAGCCCTTTTAATGTTGTCTATTTTATTAAATTGCATAATGATGCATGCATATTTTTTTTAACTTAATATTTTATTAAAAACCTGAATTTACTCAAACTCAAGATTTCTAAGAGTAACAGAACATATAACAATTGGCAACAAATACTAAAAAGTGAAAAAGCCAACATATGTTGATTGCATAAGTACTCAGACTCCTGAATTCAATAGCAGGTGAAAGCACCTTTGGCAAGAAGTCTTTCTGGGTAAGTTTCTACCAACTTTGCATCTCTGTTCCTCTTGCCAGATTTGTCCATGTTTTCTCGAGCAGCTGGCAAATTGCTTATAAACTGAAGTTTTCAAGTCTTTCCACATTTGCCTTGGCCACTCAAGACATTCACTTTCTTATTGTTAACCCACTCCTATGTAGCTCTGGGCTCCTGCTTTGGGTCATTGTCCTGCTGAAAGATGAATATTTGTCTCAGTTTTAGGTCTGCAGCAGGTTTTCCTCTACGCGCTTTAACAGTGCGTTGCTCCCTTCAGTCTTGCAAAGCTTCTCAGACCCTGTCTGATCTAGGCAGTTTCTGAGTGCCTTCCACGTCTTAATGATCAACTAAATACTTCAGCAAGGCACTGTATATACAGTTATTGTTTAATTTGTACAAGTTTTTGAAGATTAGATCTTAGAAAATGAGAAAGTCTGTTAAGATTTAGTGTCTGTAAATAACTGAGATTCACTTTTAATGTTGCAGCTCTGTGTTATTTTGGGATATCCGGCCCCCGAGAGTTGCTGCTCATTCAATGACAGACAGGAAACAGAAACCGGAGGAGAGACCACTGGACAATCCTCATGGCGTTCCAAGCACCTTCAAACACCTCGACCTCACCTGGAAGCCTCTCATTAAGGTTCCTCTGTAGACTCCCTCCCTCTGTTCAGACACCTGGTAGCAACTTGTTGGGCTTTTGAATTAACCAAAAGGAACTGAAAGTTATAAGGAACTTATAATTTGGAATTTATATTATAACAAGATTTCATGAATATCAAGATCTATTTTTTGGTGCCTTAAATACAGTACTTCTTTGTTCTCCTAATTTCTTTATAGATGAAAACTTAATATGTGTTAAAATGTTTCTTCTGCCTTTGAGAAATGACAATATTTAACCTGATTTCCATGGTCTTAAGCATGGCAAGTATACTGTATTGGTGTATACCGATGAAACATGAAATGTTCTAGAATGACTAAATAGGCACCCAGTTCAAATAGAGATTAATATAAATCTAATATATCAGGTGGCCTTTTCGAAGATTGAAACAAGTGGAGAGTACAGCCCTTTAAAATTCAGCCGCAGAGATGGCATTCATGACAACAAGATGTGCAATATTGTTGGTAAGCTTTATTTTTCCTCTGTCTTATTTAGTAACTTGTAATGCAGAAGCATCCTAACAGACATCCACACAAAATGGTAAAGTGAATTGGGACTTGATTTGCAATGCAGAAAATCCTAGTTTCTTCAGTCCACATATTTTGTAAAGTAAATTATCAACCATAAGGTTCAGGATCATTAAGCATTTCAGATTATGACAACACTGAGTTGTTTAAAATAATTTGACTGCTTGATGATATTTTGCAGTTATTTCCAAATATATGTAAGGGAAAAGAAAGTTGAGTTCTACCTAAGGTATTTAAATACCTTGATTTAAATTTGTCTTAGAATGACATCCTGACAGCCACTTGGCTTTTTCTCAATAGTATGTGATTCCTTATCACTATTACTAAAATGTTGTTTATGCAGGTCTGTCACTTAAAAAGCCTTCTGCTGGTTTCATATTTTGGCTTTAGGATTGACAAATATCTATTTGTATTTTCTCTGCAGTAGTGACATTCTGTAATCAAATATTGTATATCTTGATGACTGAATGAAAAAATAAAACCTTTAAATAAAAACATTATTTAAAGTGAATTTGCTAGTTCTGCCATAGGCAGAAAAATATTCCCAGATATAAATTGGTTCTGGTTAATTGTTTTTTTATATTAATAATTATCACATTAGTGAGTCTGCTGAGTTGCTTATTGTAATTGTGTACAAGGCTTACTTGAAAAGAACACTTACAGTGTTTGTTTCTTTTAATTGGGTTTGAAGACAAATCTCTCCAAAATCTGGAAAAAAATGAAGGAGGGGTCAACTATGGGATGCTCAGGGTTCCCTCAGCTAAACACTTGAAAACACTGGATGATGTCAGTACCCAGATCTTTGTTGGAACAGAAGTAAGTTCTTTCACCGCTATAGCTGTCTCTCCATTCATAGAAAACATATATTTTAATCTAATAAAATAAATTTAATTTGTACAAAATTAAATTTAATACACTTTATACAAATATTTTGAAGATCAGGGAATAAACTGTGTTTCAGGATGGAGAACTCATTTATACAGACTGGAAGATGGAAAAGGACAATGACTCTGGAAAAATGATCAGTAAGTTTTCCTTTGTCTATATGCACTGATTCCATGACTGTTTCTCCATAAATTGAATTTTTAAAAAATCGTCAAATAAACACCATTTAAACTAACCAATCAAAATTATTTTTTTTAACTTTTAAAGAGGATTCAAATATCGGACTAAATATCTGATCTTTGACACACTGACCAAGAATATAATAATACATCATTTTAAAAATATATATTGGTGGTTATGTCAAACAGCCTGCAGGTGGCATTTAACTATAGTGGTACATACAGTACACAGAACTGCAACAGAGTGAAAATATGGCATTTAGATCACATGATATGACCCCCATTTTGGATTTCCATGATTTTGAAAGTACAACATACTGTACAACAGTGAAGACATTGTGCATACAGAACACTCCTGTCATTGATGTACTGGCCATATTGAATTTTGTAAGAAAACCTTAAATGAGAATTCCTCAAGATCTCTTTGACATTGTAACATGAATATTGTTATGTTTTATGCTGTCCTTTATCAAATTCTGTTAAATAAAGGGAGGGTTACAACATGAAAACAAATGGTGCTTTCCAATTACCAAAATTTTCTTATGATTTCCATTTTAATGTCAGTAACCAGACATTTTTGTTGTGCTGTAAAGGCTTGGACGGTATAAATTTCAGTCCAAGTCAGAATGCATTTCCATGTGTATGAAGCAGATCTCCTCCTGTATGTAATAACATATGTAAATTACTTTGAGATCCTCTGAGCTGAAAGCCATTTTATAAATGCAACAAAATAGAAAGCTGCCTGTAACTTAATTTTTTAGAACTTCAGATAGAGTAGTGCAGTTCTTACACACTATAAAATTAAATTATTTTTTAACTTTGTCTCGGGAAGAACGCAGGAGTATACATGCAGTATTTATGTAGAGTAATGACTGCAAACAAAAGTACAGCCTATATTCCTACTGTATCCTGAAACAATCAATGTATTACTCTTGATTTAATACCAAGATTAGATTCCCAAGCAATGAAGCTTGAGGGTACCCACAAATGCACTCATTTTAAAATATTATCTGCAAATTTGTGGAAAATATGCAAACCAGTGGCAGGCATAATACCCAAAACACAAAACGTTTACATAATATTAATCATCTCTTACTATTATGGTTGTTCAGAAAATAGTTAGGTATTTAGGTGCAATTAAATGTAATTAAAAAGAAAATGAATTTCTCCTACTAATCCTGATTTGGCACAGTTAAAAAGGGGTTAAGGAATTTAAAGGTTTCATTGTAAATCGTGTATATTGGTGCCATAAGTTGACTGGGATCCAGACAACTAAGGGATTTAAAAGGTGTTATAATGTGCTTTAATCTGAAATGAAGTTTTTTATACTCACACACTGTGATTTATCTGCTCGAGTATGTATACAGAAACTAATATACAGTAATGCTGTATATGGGAGTGTTATTTAAAATCTACCCTAAAGAGTTTTCCCAAAACTGCTGCCTTTTTGTTAAAGACAAGTTCATATTTGTATGTCTTCCATTACAGAATCAGTGATCTTTCTTTTCAGGTTCCAAACCCTCTCATCGCTTTGTTGCCCATGACGGTCCGGTCCATACAGTGAAGAGGTCTCCATTTTTCAATGATATCATACTGTCTGTGGGGGGCTGGACTTTCGCCATCTGGAAGGAAGGGGTCATGGTAAATAAACCCATTAATAACTTCTGCACATATACAGGCCTCTTTCTGTCTTGCACTTTATTTCCCTGCTGTACATCTGCTTAAAAACTTACTTATCAATGTTACTGTAGGTAGTCAAGGTTTTCATCTCATTGATAATTGGAAAAAAAGCTTCAAAAATTCAATTGTATCTTGCTCATACTGTTAGTATAAAAAATATACAGTTCCCACCATAAGCATTGGGACAGTGAAGTCAAAATTGCTATTTTTGCTGTATAATCAACCTATTCAGGTTTCAGATGAAAAATGAATGTGAGGCAAAATTATAGAATGTCACCTTTTATTTTTGTTTTTATGTTTTCCATATGTACCATTTCGGAATAATAGCACTTTTTGAGTTCAATCCTCACTTTTGAGGTGAGCATAAGTATTGAAATAAATGGCTGCCAGGCATTTCTTATTGATCAGGTGTTTACTGTTACAGTATGTTGATTGTGCACACATTAAAGAGGTGTGAGTGTGCAGTGTTGGACTGAGCCTTTTCTCTTCCCTTTGGTGTTGGCCTTTGGAGTCAGCAGGCCTAAACCAACATGAAGACTACAGAACTGTCTGTGAAAGAGAAGCCAGCATTTTAGATGCTAAAAGAAAATAAGAATTCAATCAGAACCATGGCACAGAAACTGGCCATAGAAAAATCAGCATTTGGAATATCTTGAAAAGAAAAAAAAATGACTGGTGTGCTTAGTAATCAGCTACAACCAAGTTGGCTGAGGAAAACGTGCAGTTGGTGATAGAAAATTTACTAGAGATGTGAAGAAAAATTCTTAAGCAGCTGCCGCTGAAATCAGCAGCAAACTCCGCAGTGCAAGGGGTGAAGGTATCACAATCTTCTGTTCTCAGAAGACTTAGAGAGGAGGATTCTAAAGGCTACACCGCAAAATGCAAACCTCTCATCAGGTCCAAAAATAGAAAGGCAAGACTACAATTTCCTCAAAAGTACAGAGATGAGCTAAAAGGGTTTTGGAACAACTTGTTATGGACAGATGCGAGAAAGATCACTTTGATGGAGGTTAATGGCAAGGTGAAAGTGTGAAAGAAAGAATGAACTGCAGACAATCCAAACCACTTCATCTATGAAACAGCAGAGATGTCATAGGTTTGGCATATATTTCTTCCGCAGGAACTGGCTCACTCATCTTTATGTAGGTATCATGTAGGTAATGACTGCAGCGGTAGAATGATTTCAGAAGTGGACAAACATTTTGTCTGCATGTGTACAAGAAAAGAACTCCAGACTTATTGGCTGGTGAAGAGGTTGATGATGTCAGTGGGTCGCAGGCATGATGTGTGCAAAGGATTTGCAAACAAGTACTAAGTTTTAGACTGCTTTGATTTAATTTGTCCCAATACTTATGTTCACTTAAAATGGGGGTGATGGAACACAGAAGTGGTATTATTTTAAGAAGTTAAAACCTGTATGTGCAGAAATAAAAGGTGACATTCCGTACTTGCCACATATTCATGTTTTCATCTCGAACCCAAATTGTATAAGTGTACAGTAGAAATAGTATTTTTTACTTCACTGTCGCAGTACTTACGGAGGACAGTGTATGCACTCACAAACGTAAAGAGGCATTGTCTTCTGTTTATATCTTAGTTCCAATTTGATCAAATCAGTCTTTTAATGGGAAGACCTAAGTAAAAGAGTTTACATTTGGTATCATTCATGAAGCGAAATACAACACCCTTAACAAAAGAGAAAAGGTTACAAATCTGATCTACAAATCATTCAGTCCATCTATTTCATCTGGTTGTTAGTAGTTAATTGAGAAACAATTGGATGAGATGCTTGGATCAGTCAGAGTATTGGCTTCAGTAAGATGTTTGGGTAACTTGTTCCATAATCCCACAGTTCTCTGGATAAAGAACTGCCTCATCCATGTAGTTTATAATCATGTCTTCTAGTTTGTGTTTAATTTTTATACTGAAGAAATCCACTCGGTTCATAACAGAATATGCTTTTTCCAGAGTAACAGTTTGACCAAAATTATTTAAACAAAACTATCACATAAAAACTCATTTCTTTTCTAATTAGTTTCAGTTACATAAGAATCTGAGTGGGAAATGGTTCAGTGATTATTAATAACATTAAAAAGAAAAGCAGATTTGAACAAGTTAAAAAATGTATTCTTTGTGCAGATGGTCAGAGACAAACAGGTAGGTTCTAGGAAAATCTGCTTATTCAGGACACTGTTGTTTATATCAAATCAAATGCAAAAATGTTTTAACAGGTTTCAGCAAGCTAACTCACAGCGCTGCTCGTCACCAGGCTCCTTGGGATACATCTTGATTTCAGTTCAAGTTACAAACCGAAAAACTAAGAGTTATTTAAGTAGAGAGGAATTTATTTTTTTACAACTTAGAAAATACTTTGAATGTAAATTAATTTTTGGTAAAGACATATTAGCTAAATACATTTTTATTGTTAAATGTAATCAAAATATTTAAAGTTGTTTTAATTTCAAATTTGTCAGTTGAATAAGGTCCACATTGATCTAATTTATTTTCTAATGAAGTTATCTGAGTGTTACTTTCACTCATCTTTTTCTTAGAGTAATCAAACAAAAAGCAAACACAATAAAACTGTACAAGGTGCTGCTGAAAAAAATTCTTACTGTAAGTACAGCTTCTATGAACTTTAAACAAGTGATGAATTCAAACTAGTTAGGATTTTGTAAGAAGCTTTTAAGAAAGTCCTTGTCGTGAGCGGTGCAGGTCAGTCTGACAGTCTGCCTCTATCTGTGCTCCATTGTATTTCTGTGATGTCAGCCACATGATTCTTGGTTCCTGTGTTTCAGAGTGGTCCTATCCTGCAATCCTCCTGTTCCAAAAAGAGGTGCACAGTAGGTCATTGGTCTCTCTCCAGGCCAGGGGTGTTTTTCATTGGGAAAGAAGATGGGAATATTGAGGTTTGGGATCTGCTGGAGAAAACACATGAGCCTTCCCAAACCCAAAACATAACGACAGCCTCCATCACTTGTATTAAACCCTGGATTGTGTCTTGTGAGTTAAAAAACTTGGAAATTCTTTATGCAGCTGCCACATTGTCCTTCTCTCTCTTAATTTGCTCTTCTTAGGCTTTTATCAATAGCTCTAAATGAAAATGCTAAAGTTTTATAAGTTGTCATACTTTATCTATTAATTAACCATGAGTTCAGGCAAAACTCTACTGAGAATAACCATTGACTCCGAAAGATTCTATCTGTGGGAAAAATAGCAAAAAATTCACATTTTGAACTTCATCTGCCTGAGTTGCTCAAGTGAATAACCAGACCAACACTCTTGATTCTGGTGCCCAATACAATGTCTCACACATGTCAGTATGAACACATTAAATATATAATATGAACAATATACAATATCATAAGAAAAATACATTTTCTTCTTTATGTAACTAGCAGTGTTGACACATTTCTAAGATTTTCTTTAGACATCTAGTCACAGATACATTTGACATCTTTTCCTAACACTTGTTTTCAACTAAAGCAAACTTCTGTATCCCTCCTCCTCAATTAGATATTGTACCTATCACTTTATTCAAGTTTGCATTAAAACAAAAATCTTATCTTATACTCTTAATATTTTACAAAATAGCTACAAAAAAGTGAAACAATTAGGAATAATTTTACTGACAAACACTTTTAATTATTTAGCTTTGCAGTATCCACTCCAAATAGCTAAGAAAGGGACTCATTTGAGTTCCACTTAATACTTTACCTACTCAATCTGCTGCTGTTATTGTTCTGAGCACATGCTATACTTCTTTTTTTTTAACCAGCAAAGCAGCACTTTCTGGCTGTGTCTGATGAGCTAGGTACACTGCATATTCTGGAGATTCCATGGACTCTGCGCAGACCTTCCAGCAACGAAGTAAGTCAATGGTGTTATTTAACAAAAGTTTGCGAAGAGGTTGAATTTCTAATTCTAACATTGCAGTTCTGCTCCCCTGCCATGGCTGTGCGCATCTTTTCTAGCTTCCCTTCCTCAGCCCTAGCTTCACTATTACAGCTGCTTCCATGGTTCATTCCTCATAACTGAGGATGTTCTGTGACAGCGTTCGTTATTTCCACAGCCCATTAAGTTAACACTAAAGTATTAAGCACGCTGTCCCTTTATATCTATATGTTTGTTTTGTCATTATTTAGATTTTGACCAAACTACTGTACTGGATATTTTAGTAAAGCTTAGTATGTACAGAATTAAATAAAGCTAGCACAATTCACAGATCATGCAGTGTTCATGCTTCATGACAGAGGCTCAGAGAAGAGCTCTGAAAAAAAAATAAAGTGGACTGTAGTTTATTAATCTGTCATCCCCTTGTCTTCTTGTAATTTCTTCTATGAAATAAGCTACTCTGACAAAAGGAATTTCAAAGTTACAATACAGCACATTCACTTCCCAGCTTTTCTGGAGGAACAGTAACTGTGCTGGACATAATACCTACAGTACCAGACTGGATGATCTTTGTGTTTGTGCTGTTACTGAAAAGGCTGAAATGTATGTGCTTTAGAAAACACAAATGACAATCTTAAGTGTTTTAAGTTAATATCAATTTTCTTTGTCCCTAATGCAAACAATGATGCTCAATGGACATAAGTGATAGTTTTCGCCAACTTTTATTTTCTTCATATATAATAATAAAATCTGTTTTAACAAGACTCTAAAATGTGTTAATGTTAACACACATTCACGTCAACTTCTGAAGGATTTATGTTTTACGGTCCATGTTTATAGAACCTGATCAAGTGTGTTCTGTCGCTTAAGATCTTAACTTTCATCCTCAGAAATCCAGTATGAGCAGCTACTTTGAGAGAGAAGTCAGCCACCTTGAGTATTTTGTGAAACGCCGAGAATTCAGAGCAAAAGAAAAAAAAGATATGGAGGCGGCTGAACAGAGGAAAAAAATGGTGAGAGATGTGAATGAGGCCCACACCCAGTTGAAAAACCTATTAAATATAGTGCCTTTGGATATTTACTTAGAAAATCACAGGTTTTCACTTAATGAAGCCACTAACATTAAAAGCAATAACAAATAACATACATGGTTAAGGTTTCCATTTATTGTTCAACAGGGGACAACCTTAAATATTTTCCCAGTACTTAGTACTTAAAATTCAAGGACATTCTCAAACTTGATTTATTTTTCTTTCAAGCAGGAACCTATAATCCCTGAGAAATCCTCAGAGCAGATAGAGGAAGAGGTGCAGAAAGGATATGAGAATTATCTGGAGCTGGAAAAAAAAATTCTAAAGGAAATGGGTCTTCTTCCAGAAGAGGAGGAGAAATTGCCTGATGTCTAACCCTCAATGATCTGCCATACTGTGTGGTGAATATAAATTTTAAAAAGCAAGAAAATGTAACTTAGTATGAGATTTAATATCACTGCTGATTTTGGTGCAAATTACATATTTAACATTTTTTAACTATTGGGAGATTTCAGCTAGGTTAGGGGTTTTATTTTGTTGCCCTGACGTATTCAAAAGTGTTCATGCTAGAACACAGGTTCTCTGTGACTACAGGAGCAGACATGCTACTTAAACAATAAAATAACTAGTTTTTTTGTGTAAATTGATCAAATGGTAAATTTAGACCTTAATGTAAATATTTAACAATTTTAAATACAAAGTATGCCTGAATAAATTGTATATAGTGAGAGCAATGTATCAGAGTGTAGTGCCCCAAAAACAATGATAATTGTGGGAGAGGCAATAAACATTCAATTTTAAAGTGAAATTGTGCCTACAATCAGGTTCTGTTTTATACTCATTCCGTCATTCATGAAGGAAGCACAACTACATAGCTGAGAAGTGATTTTGAAGTGCTGTTATTTGTTTTTAAGATTATTTAAACAGACTCCACAGTGATTGTCTTTAACTACTAAGCATAGATTATCCATTAAAACGAAACAGCAGAATTGTTCATGTAGAACTGATGCTTACCTCGGCTTCTCAATTAATCCAGTTTAATGGATATTCTTTAAGTCTTAGCTGCCTGGAACAACAGGTGTGTCTTCAATGCTTGCGTTGTGCGCTGGCTTCTTGTGGATTCAGATGGGTTGTTTAGATTCAAATGAAGGAGGAAAAGTAACTCAGCTTTGTACGGTAATTAGTATGCGAAGATTTTACAATTAGAGCAGAAAACTCGTATTTATGATTAAGCCTGAAGTACTGAAGGTCAATAAGACACCAGATCTCAGACTTCAATTACCTCTTCCTTTTCCTCAGGAAGGGGAAGACACCAACATTTCTTTGCTTTTCAGAGTGTACCTCAGTAAATTCTAAGACCTGTCCATAACCATTCTGTGCTAGATATTAATACATATGACAGTGTTTGATAGGTTATCAAACTGGCCTACAAGCACACTCTATACACTTCAAAATGCACAGCTGATTCATTAAATAGACAACAATCTGTAATGTAATATTTGATTTAATATTAGATCTGATGATGCTTAATGTTTCAAGGCAGTCAATATTCATGAACATACATTCTTATGTGACAGTAACCACAATTTAAGTAACTTGCATAGATTAAGTAAAGCAATGATTTTGCCTTTGCCTTGGAAGTTTTGTATTAAATTCAAACACAAGACAGAATGTACTCATCATGAATGTATTTATATTAAGACTCCAAAATTTGTGTGTAAACTGCTCACAACATTTGATACATCTTATTCTGCAAGAACAATTTTTCCTCAGCTATTCTACACTTTTACTTCTAACACCACATTACGAAAGCCAAGGTTTCCTGTCCTTCTCGAAAAAATAGAAATATAACGAGACACATGCTCCTGAAGCACAAACTGCATTCTCATTTTCTAAAAACTGCATCTTTGCTTTAGATTCAATTCATGCACATTTCCTTTTCCAGCATGATTGATCTCCAAAAGGAGTCCAGGCAATCAAATTTAAGAACGGTAGCCATTCAGTCACAACATTCGGTTAACGGGCATGTGAATTAATGAGCAAACAACATACAGTAGTTCAGAAAATAGTGGTTGTACATGTTCCCCCTACAAGCTGTTTCTCCCTGTGATCTCATGCATCATGAAGCAAGCTGCTGCTGCCAGGCCAGGATTCCCCAGCGAGGTCAGATGCCTTGTAGCTGAGCGGTCTGCTGAGTGGAAATGAAATGTCAGAGCTGGGTAGATTTAATGACCTCCATGACTCATAGACCTGTTTGAGGGTGTCACAGATATTGCCTTGGCAGACATCCATGTGGTCAAGGCAGCACCCAAAGAGGGAAAAAAAGCTGCAAATCTGATTCTGCAAAGACATGACATGAAACTCCAAATATCACTGATAACCTTTTTTGTCCCACTCGCTCAGTGTTTCCTCCTATATTGTGGAGCTGCTAAAAGAGGTTTTACAAATTTAAATTAGTCAAGGCATTATTTCAAAATTCTATTCTTAGAAAAGAAGTTTCATAAGATCTGCTACATGAAAGTGAAAAATAAAAACTAGATTAATAGACATGAAGGACCAAATATGGAATCAATCCTTTCAAACAGGTTTAAAAGTTAAACGGATTATTTTTTTTCTGATTTAGGTAATCTTTCTTTAAAAATCTATAAAAAGTCCACAATAAATACTTCAAATATGTCACTAAAGCAAATATCAAAATATGCTGTTGCCAGTTTCTAGCAAATGAGCAACCTGCTTGTTCGTGTAGGCAGCTTTTATTTTGTCAGCTTTACTTCTGTTGACTGCTTAATTCAACATTCAGCCATTTCCCAAAGACAATGGTTACCTTTTCTTAAAAAAACAGCATTCTTGTTTTATAACATTCCTAGGAGGTTCCCCTGTCTTGGGAAACAATAGAAGCAGGTGCTGTGCAGAGGGAGCGTAAATCAGCTTGTCTAATTCATCTATTCCTTGAGCATTGTGCTGGCTCTGCGCACTCAGTGGGAGAGGGGAGACTAAAGAAACTCAATAGGCTTTAGTCACGTAAATCTGTGTCTGGAAGGGCTTGTTCTACACTTTACAGATGTTACATTTCATTTGCTGCAACTGAGTTTTACTGAAAAACAGCAGAAAACCACTACAGCTTGTACATGAATATGAAAACATTTGTAATGATCGCCCTCTTTTCTGCATTGATTAAGTTATTTATTAGTCAAAAACACCCCACATTATACTTTTTTCACTTACTGATCATAATACTAGAAAACTGTCAAAATAGAAGAGCAAACAAGTCAATGCAGTATAATTTAGAACACACAAGGTAATTACTACCAGAAAACAGAGACTCCAAAAGCTGTGTTGAAAACAAATCAAGCATGATCCCAAGCATTTGTTAAAGTTAAAAACCAGATTTAATTTGAATAATAAATATGATATATATTTAACAGCTGAAAAGCTTGATTGCACACAAAACTTTAAATCCTAAAAATGCCTTTTGAGACTTCCCAAGATATGTTGACCAAATGCTGTGTAGTTGCTGTGTTTGAAATCTTTTAAGGGAAATGAAATACTCATCACCAGACTGTAAGGAGCTCACCAGGGTAAGGGTGGGGGATTTCCTTATGAAGTGCATATCCATTAAAGTGGTTTAATTTTAAAAAATGAAAGGCAATCCCTGTTGACCCAGTAAAACCTTCTACAAAGACCTCTAAGTAAGTTTCAAAGCCGAGTGGGTTCTGAGAAGAATTATTGCAGGCAATCCCTTCTTTAAACACGCCCTGAGAATATCTGCCTGAGCTAACCGATTAGGTAATTAACTCCAATAAAAGTGTGGGATTAAAACAAAACTGCCAACATATTAATAGCTACCCAGTTGTATTTCTGCACATGGATTTGCTTTAAACAGGCCATGTGAGATTTCAGCTAACGCTGTTACAGCCAATCTTAATGTTAATTATGTCTGTAAAATGAATATAAAGTTAAACAATGAAAAGATAACAGTTTTGTTCAGTAATATGTTGTTAGTCTATGTTCTTAATGCCACACTCTGTAGCGTCCCCCATTTATATTTAAAGAGCCACTTCCCATAAATAATCCATTAGTGCAATTGCATCACTCATCCTTGATTGCCTGAACTCAGTGAACTTTGAATTCAACAGATCTGCTTCAGATTAGATGCAATAAATGTCTGATTTTTTCTCTTCTAGATGAAGAGACCTTCAAAGACCTTAACAAGCAGCCTGTTTCAGCAAACAGCTGGACCTACTGTAGAGATTGGTCTATTTTTAATCAATTGCAAACAGCTCTTTTATTTTCATAATCTTTGCATCTGGGCTATATTTGCTGTGTTGATGTCGCACTATAAAACATGATGTAACATTTACATACAGCTTCTGGCACTGTGGACACTCTGGAGTTTACCTCTACCATTACTGATTTTAGCCCTTCACACAATCATACACTATTAAATGAAACACTGCATAAACAAGCATATGATTTAAAAATAATGATGCACTATTTTTTCTGCTAAAGAAGAGTAAAAAGCAATAGTCCTCTCTTTTTCTTGAAATAAAACTCACAATCACATTGGATTGTTGACAAGATACCGAACAAAATCAGAAAAACTGGCATTTAAAGTAAGCATAGAAAGTTAAGCAGACCCGTGTTTCAGAAGAGCCATCTCTGTAGCAGCTAGCAGCTAGCAGCTAGCAGCTGATATATGTGAGGGCTGTGATAATGAACATAGCCCTTCTCTGACCCTTCCTGGACACTTAAACACCAAGAGCATCCGTCAGAGTGTTGTTCTGCCAAGGCTGCCAAATGAGAAAAATAATTAAGGTTTGTGATGTCTTTTTGGAATTTGTCTGTTTTAGTTATAAAGTTTTCAGAAATTAACACAAAAACATTTAATACAGCAAGATTTATTCTTCTTCAAAAAAATAAGTTAAGAAAGACTAAAAAAAGTAAGAAACATTGATGCATTTTGTAAGTGTAGTAGTAACACATTTAAGAACCTTTTTTTACAGGTTTTGAAGACTCAAAGGTCTGAAGACTAAAAAAAACTGAAAGGCTGATAATTAAGAGGATGTTTTAATAGAAAAATCTTAAGCCAGAAAATCCATCTTCTAAGCAAAGGTTTGGGTTTTACTGGGGACGTACCTGAGGTGTCGTGCTGCATTAATGAGAGTCCTGAAGAAACAGGGGGGTCCCATCTCTGCCTCGGTGGTTGTAAAAGATGTTTACAAATTAAATTTAATCTTCACTGGAATTAAATTGAAACAAAACCTAATTTTAATCTATTAAAACACAAACCCATATTAAAATAGTGCTCAGAATTGACATTAAATTCTGTTTAATTAAAAAATTAAATGTGTTTATTAATCAGATTTTTCTGGGGGGTTTTTGTGTCGTCAAGAATGTTTTTTGTGCACACTTGTATTTATCCAACTAATATGCTGCATGAACAAGTAGGACCCACATGGTTAGGGTTAGGGTTAGACCCACTGGTTTTAATTACAATAATGGGATTGTGGATGTATAGAAAGAACAAGGGACGGATCATAAGCAATATGATATGGAGCCACAATTGTTCAGTAATCTCTTGATGAGACATTTTCCCAGATGAAACTTGGAATGCCAACTCCAAAAATCAAGCCTGCATTTCAGAATGAAAAAATCCCTTTCCTACTGTCAAAATGGCAATGAAAATTCAGCACTTAGATATGTTTTCAAGAATACAGGATAGAATACTTCAGTGGAAAAAGTTTGGGTCATGTGCAGTGAGTAACTTTCTAAGAGTGCTTATACTCAAAGCTACATTTTTTAAATATTTTCAACCATGTTTGCAAAATCTACTTAGAACATTCATAGTACTTAAAAGCAGAACAAATACATGAGGAAAAACAGGCTGCTGTGCTTTTACTGGTGTTTTTAGAACCTGCCAACTGCAAAACCTAAATACAGTACCTTGCAGTGTTCTGAAGACTTCCCTTACCACATAAAAGCTCCAGCCACCTGTCTTAACAGCTTTAAATATCAAAAAGGTGAGGAGCAAAAAAAAAAGATTAAAGTAACCAAATAATTCCAGTTTCATAACAATGCTGGCATTCAATCTAAGTGTCTCTCAGAGAGCTTGGCTCTCCCTCAGAGGGTCCCTTCAGCCAAGCTTCACCTGACAGCAAGAGCAAGAGCCTGAGGAAACAAACTGCCTGCCCTGCTGTGGTGAAGAAACTCCTTAAAGAAGCTCCTCACATTATTAGCTTTTCTGGAACCAGTCTCTTACTTTGTACACATCTTATTATACCTGTTTGTCTATTGTGTCACTCCTGCCAGCCAGCTGATTCAATACAAACAGAGCTAGAAGGACGCTATAGAGGTAAGGCAAAATGGACATAGTGCTGCGTTTAGCTTGGAACGCAAAAGTTCTAGCCTATTGACCTTTGTTCACATAGCGCACAAAGAACTCCTGTCATCAACATGCTTTTCACACTGGAATAATGTGAAATCTTTGCTTCTGCAGTACTTACAACAGGCAATCCAGCAATCACGCTAGAAATCACACAAAACAATTGTATTTAACAACACAAAAAAGACAAAGTGAAACAGACTCTAAACCTGAGTTTTAACACAGACATGACAGTAGCAGAAACATAACACCAACAGCTTATTATACAGTATAATACCATACTGAAGAACTCAGTTATTGGACCAAGATAACAGAATACTTCATTAATTGTTTTGAGAACATTTAAGAAGTTGATCACGTCACAAACTCTTCTCAAATAAGCTTAAACATATGAAACATAACAACCGTATTATTACTCTACACAAAAATAACATTAGTCTGCAGAGTGTTTGCTCAAGCCAAGACAGTGTTGAACCTCCAGGGCAGGCTGGATCAGTGCCTGTCTAGCAGTGGAGTTTACGAGCAAGGTTCACAGTACAGAGTTCACCTGGGCTGCAGCAGTGTGTGAGAAAGCTGGGAATGCCCCTTCAGGCAGGCTGTTAATTCCACACAGGGAGGTTCCCCAGTGCAGGGGACTGCTCTAGAATCTGCTGGCTGGGGCTCGGCCAGTTTCAGTGAAGTTTGGGTTCAAAATATCCCGTCCTCAGGGGCTCCCAACAGGCTCCACACGCATACAGTGCAGAGCAAAGTAATGCTGTCTGCTCTCATCTCACTTCCTCAACTTATTTATTTGCGTCAGTGCAGGAGCTGCTTTGGACGTTCATACTCAGTTTAGCATTTGCCCTCTAATGACTACCTGGAGAAAATGTGCACAACCCACGGGCACAAACTCTTCACATGGCGTTATAAGGTGCACGCACCCCCAATAGTGCAAAGCCGGCAAGCATCAATCCACGAAGAGACACGACTCAAGAGACACACAACACCACATCAGAATGGGCGGTGCAGTCTGTGCACTACTGCTGGATGGGCAGTCTGAGCAGACCTGTCTTCACAAGAGTTCTCCCAGGAGCTATTACTATATAAATATACAATAAAGTATATTTGCTATCTATATTATATCTCGATTATTACTTAATTTGAAAATGTTTACACAGTCTACTATGCCTGAGCCATCTTGTAGTACTTTATTATCTTTTTATTTAGACATTCAGCCCACACTAGATGTTGGTCTTTTGCTTCAGGCAAACAGAGTGCTCTCTTCAGAAAGATACTTTCTACTTCACTCCATCCTGGCACAGTGTCTGCAAACCAGCCAACCTCACATTAATCCACATCAGAAGTGTGAAAACCAAGACTGAGACTGATCAACTAAGATAAAATAGTTTTTTTTTTGCACCTTTCAGAAAATAGAGAAAGTTGACTTCAATGTTGACAAATTCTGTTTTCAGCATCTTGTACTCAATCAGGAATGACTATGAGCAATCACCCACTAGAGAATAGTGTGTGCAAAAAATCATGCTTATGCAAAAGAGTTCATTTGTAAAATATATATATTTTAATATGACAATACAAATGTATTCAAATCAGTACAAAGTAATATTTTAATGTTTAGTGATACCTCATCACATTTTAATTTCTGTTACAGATACAGTAAAAAGAAAACACTATCAACACCATATATATATTTACACACACATATATATATATAATGAAGTCTGTCTTCTTTTTTTATTATGTAGCTGTGAGGAATGTTCTTAGCAATAGTAGACAAAAGAACTGAGTTCATATTACACCTATAAATCCTGAAATATTCAGCCAAACTGAATTAGAATTAGGCTGAATCATAGGCACATTCCTTTCCTTCTGGGTTCGAGGCTAACAGAAGGTGAAAGCTTTGCTAGTTCAATTTTCAGGAAGCAAGAAAAACAGCCAATACGAACATTGTTGAAAATACAAGTGCATATATATATATAAACACCCTCAGGCATGTGGACTAATGCCTCTACAATGCCCTGAAATGTTCTGCACTTGGATTACCCCATAAACATTTGGTAAAATCTGTGCCCAGCACAAACAGAGCCTAACATCTCTGACCTTTTCCAGGATTCATTCACACATCAATTATTCCAATTTAAATCTCTGTGTTCAGCTGCCATGAGAAAACAGATGAGATCAACCCAAAGGAAAGCAGCAGGGAGAAATACATATTCTTTATCATTAAAGTTTAGAATATTTTTTTGTAAGTTAATTTTACAAAACAATATATATATGCTTATGAGCTTTTACCTTCTTTCCCCACGTCACTTTCCATTTGTTTTTCCAACATTTTTTACACCAAGAATGACAAGACATATAGTAGAGTTATCATAAAAATAACCAAATATATTTTCTTATTTTACTGGCAAACTAAGGATTCCCACATCTCATTATTATTAGTGTTGTCGCTTTTACAAGACAGATGTATAAAGGCAGCTTGAACAACACAAAGAAAGACACTGCCTGTAAACACCATAGAACAACATGACCGACTAGCCAAGAAACTTGAGTCTAAGACACAGCAAGAGCCAATGGCTGCAGTCAAACAGATGAAGCCCTAGACAGGGATTCGGCCCAGTTCACTGTTTACAACAATTGTTCAGTCAGGACAGCTTCACAAGTCCTCCTCACGGTACTTATGTTCTATTAATCAGTGATTTCCCAGGTGGGGAGGCTGTGTATTGTTGCTTGCGGGACTAGGTGCATCAGTAAAGATTGCAAATGTGTACATACATTAACAAAAATACACGGGGTTAGAAAAATAGAACATATGGATCTTTGCATTTGCACACACTTGTGAAAAAAAATTATATATTTATAGTTATTTTAATATAATAGAATAATTTCAATTAAAAAGCTTCAGAAAAAGCAGGATACATTCCAGCACCCAGTGAATGCTTTCCATTTGTGACCAAGGGTCTCTTTTATTATTATAGTTTATTTGTTGTCAATTATACATGAAGCGAGTCCAGTCTCCTGCTGATGATCTAGAAGTACCACACCCTTGGTATAGCAGCAATGGCAGCTACCTCGAAGAGAAAGAGCCCGAAATCAAACTCAAGGAGCCAAATCCTTGCTGACCATCTCAGATCACGGCTTTCATCTCTTTTAATGCATCTTTCCTCCTCAAGCCTGCTTTGTAAGTGCATTGGTTTACATTTTTAAAAGTACCTCAAAAGAAAGCTCTCCATACTGTCTGAAGTACCACCTTCACACAAATAAGGCACCTTTTATACCCCTAAGGGTCAATCGATTCTTCTAATAAGAAGAAAAACACCACACAAAACAGAAAAAACAAAAAATTTAAAAATGTCATGGAATGCCTACAATGGGTCTAACAACCCAATCAAGATGGACACCTGGAGACTTCATCCAGCACTTTAAAAAAATTCTGAAAAAAGTTCCACACAGCCTGACACTCCAGGGCTGGGCCCTGTGCCTTAGCAGGCAGAGCATGAGTCACATTGTCACATCAATCTGTCTCTGTCAGTAACCCACAGTCAGCTTGCTCTTGTTCAGCTCCCTCTCCAGGTTGCCTATCAAAGTGTCGATGCTGTCCTGGAGGTCTTTGAGGTTGACCTGGTGGCTCAGTCCAGGGCTGATCTCTTGGATTTTCATGTATGCCTGGTATGTATGTTGCTTAGCCGGGAGATCCGGGGGTGAAAGACTGTGGTAAGCAGTCTCTCCAGGCCCAATTACCTCTTCCCTCTGCTCTACCTCCTGTTCCGGTTCCTCCTCCTCTGAGCTCTCAGCATCTTCCGAAGGCACGTCGTCGTAGTCGGCCTCCCCCCCAGCATCCTCCTTCGGGGGCTTCAGGTAGCTTTCCCCACAGCTGCTCCAGTCCCCTGCGTAGCGGTTGCTGGGGCTGTCCAGCCTTCCCGGTCTGGGCCTGAGCACACCGGCTATCTCCGCCTCACTCAAATTGAGCGCTTGAGGCCGCTGCCGCCTCCTGCGCAGGTACTGAGTGCTGGCAGAACGGTCAGAGCAGCTCTCCCCAGGGCATGAGGCAGAGCCAGCACAGGAGTCCGTCACTGTGACAGAAGAGTGGGAAAGGGAGGAGACAGTGCTCAGTTCAGGAATCGTTACTCTTTCAGGCATTCGATATGAAAGATCTGCAAACCATGCAGAAAAAGCATGCAGTAAAGACCTTTTCACACAACATTTTTGTTTGGGAGGGCACCAGTTTATGTATACGCTTATCATTACACACATGTCACAATTTTGCACTTTATGTTGCAATAAAGCTCAAGTGCTGAAGAACAGGAGAGGTGGAGTAAACCACCCAAAGATGGTCCTCACTCACAGAGGTGCACTGCAGTGTTAAAGGGATCGAACTTCGCAGATGTTATATGCCAGCCTCGTGGTGCTCTAATAACAATCGAGCATGGGAGAACTGATGCCAACACAAAAAGTCCTTCGCAAAGAAAGCAATGCAGCACATCACATCACAAATCCATTCCAGTTCTTAAGACTTTCTTTGTTGCTGCATGAACATTCAGACAAAGCCATGTCCCATTTACCTGTACTCTGCTTTACACCCAACTAATGCTTTCCGCCATCTTTAGCTGTTTCCTACAGTGAATGGTACAGAAAATGTTTTGAATGAAAGCTGATACTTTTAACAAAACAATCAACATAAAAAGTGGTGATCCTCTTGGTTTCTCAGGAACGGCAGACATGTTAACACACAGCGCTGCATCTCCCAAGTTATGCTTGAATCCATGCAAAAGGAAGATCTTACTGAGACACAGCAGTTTCTTTTCCCCAACATCTGTCTCTGGAAGCACCATTCTCTCTGGGATACTCAGAACAAACCACTAGTGTACATCTTCTGCGTGTGTTCGCTCCTTAATTAGGTCTATAAAATATCATGAATGTTCTGACCTTGATAGTTATGACGTAAACAGACACAAAATAAAATAGGATCAATCTGAACAATTAAACTCAACTGGAAAATTGATCCTTGTATCAAGGAAAAATTTAACCAATGGCATGAAAAAACAGTTCTGTTTAAAAATACCATTCAATAAGGACAACTTGAATAAACCTGTTGGAAAAGGAAAAGATAACTAACTCCATGAGGGGGCATTAAGATCCTACCACACTTGCCACGTCTGAATTACAGGCTGCTCTCTCCAGTGGCTGCTAACCCTGACACACAGGGTAATGATCACCCAGCAGTTCACATGGCAGCACAGGCAGGCAAGGCTAAAAATATCCTTCCCCTCACGTGCCTCCTCGAGCAGCCCCGGCACACCGAGGAAACCAGAGCTTCGACTTCACTGAGCGCTACGGAGACCAAGCGGGTCTGGTTTCCTTTCACTGTCCACAGTTACACTGAAAATAAATAATTCACTCTTCCATCACATGACAAGTCAATCATTAATGCAAACCCAAACAGCATATGGAGATTAAAGTTATCTGATACAGGCTAGACTGAAAAATGTGTTTGTCAAATGCTTTCACTGAATTATTTCACCAGATCTCTTTTGTACAAGTTTAAATGACTGTGGGCATTGTAAAGAAGTGCAGATTGTTTCCAGGGGAGTGCAGCACTCATACCAAGCACTAGACATTATTTATCGTTCTGGAATTTGGGCAGAGGACAGGCAGTGATAATTCTCATAATTCAGATCATTCCTGCTCACAACCTTACATGATCATCTGCCTCAAGGTACCAGATTTCTTGGTGGTTACCATAGCAAATCCATAAATGAAAGATTTCCTTTTGATACAGATGAGGTACTTTGTAACAGACCAGCACTGGTGTTACCAGGATACAGGTCACCTAATGTGAGTGGATTTGATGTTCAGGACTGCTGCCCCTGCACACAGGACCGGGTGAAAAGATCACAGTGCCACAGCCAAATCATTATTCAAGGAATGTTCTGAAAGACATACATGACCTGAAATCAAGACAAACCTCTGATGATATCCAAAGTCATTTTGGAAAACAACAAAGTTACAGTAACAAATGGATGTCCTGTTTAAATTAGGATTTCTTGAAAAAAATGTAATTCTTTGTCATGGTGTAATGAAAAGAGGGCCTGTGTGGTTCTCCTTCACCAGAGCACCAACAGTGGCTGAAGAGGGAATATTATCCTGCCTATTAACAGGACTGCTTGTAATTTTTCAGTCAGGGCTCCCCAAATATACCCCTGACTGAAACCGGAGAAAAGCAACATATCCCCCTTTTTTCCCCAGTGTGAAGAGGAACCTTTCTAACTGGGACCAAAACAGTTCGAAGTTCAGAGAAAAATTTGAAGGTTTATGCTAGGATTCCCTACAGATGTCTACAACATTATTAGGTTTGAAGCTTTGCCAAAAGCACCTCACATACTGTAAAACACCTTCCAGGTAAGAAGAGAAGCAAACAGCTTCTGGCACAGTTCCCATACTGAGCCTTGAGAAGACATGAAATTTGGTGCTATATACAAAGGTGGCTTATTAATGCTCTAAGCCTAATACAGTGAACAGGAAACACACAGACAACTGCTACTTCTACTCTCTCCTTGTGGAGAACACGCACACAGCCAAGTCATGTAGTTAGCTTTCAATTTGTAATTTGCCATTTTGCAACTTAATTTATCCATCCATTTTCGAAATACTTCTTCCAATCTGGGACCTTTGATCTATGAATGTCAAAATCAAAACACAGATTTTTTCACCAGATCACATTTAACACACACATGCATCAAACTTTTTTCATTTATTTATGTGCTCTAACATCAAAAAGCTAATCACAAAACTTTAGCTTTGACTTTCATCTCCCTTTAAGGTAATCCTGAAAACAATGAAGTTTGCAGTAAACAAGGAGCAAACTGAAACATAAAATTGTGATCCAGGAATTTGCATCCACTAGACACAGAATGACAAACTGCAGTGGTCTTGGGCATTTACCTCTCCTACAAACTCCAGCAGTGCTACTGTACATTGTATACTGTGCTCCACTCCAAGGCACACTGCGAGTATAAAAGTCTGCAATATGCAGAGCGGTTGTGTGAAGGATCGTACCTGGCCAGAGCTGGAGGAGGTAGTGTAGCACCTCGATGTGCTTCTTGAAGTCCAGGGCACTGGCCAGCTCCTCTGAGTCAATGAAGACCCGGTTGCTGTGACTAGAGGCCTCCTGGCGCTGGCTGAGCAGGACAGGCCCAAAACACACTGCCAGGTTTTGGCATGTCATCTTGTTCACTTCCTGGCATGATGCCACCAACTTCAGGTGATCCAACAACATCTTCAGAGTAGCCTAGGATGTCCATTAAAAAATGAAAAGGTTACAGCCACTGAGAAAAAACTGTACTGCCATTAAAAAAATATTTGAGTACCAGAAGATTTTAAAAACATATAGAAAAAAATTAAAAGGAGTCCTTTCTCACAGGAATCATGTTTGCCATTTTTTAGGATGTGTGATACAAGTCCAGACAGTTCAGAAGTTGAGTGTTTGCCTTGCTTTTTTTGTAAGAATTGATTAGGTAAAGTGTTACAGGGCTCAGCATGAACATCCTCTGCAGTGCAGCTGCAGCAGCAGGAAGGGAGCTGTGCCAATCAGCCCAGCCTGCCGGCATGTCTTTGCTGTGGTACTACAGGCCAGTCCGAGACAAGAGTCTCTTAGTCTGGCAGCACCTGCATCCCCTCAGTCCAAAACAGGCCGTGAGAACTGCTGGTATTTCGGGAATGTCAAGGAGCAGAAAACAATGATGCACCAGAGAATTCTGCAAGGAAACGCGCCTGCACACAGTGCAGCATACAGTCCAGCAACACCTTACAGGACAGCCTGCAGTGCGGTTCTCCACACCACTTTTCCACCCAGGTTTAAGCCAGGACATGCTACACTGTTACTGTACTGAAAAATCCCAAATGGAAAAAAATAACATTTTTATTGTTGCACACAGATGGACTTGATCATGTTTTTAGTTCTTGTACAAGTACTAACCCCCTTGCCATGATCACAAAATAATTACAATCCTTTTCGGCTTTTGCATAATATCAAAATTCAGAGTATTTTTGATGGCAGCATTTAGGTTTTTCCAATGTCTCCCAATCCTACCCTTCAAGCCACCTGACAGGTACTTTGGAATAGTACTATTCAGTAATGATATGAAGAGCTTAGTGTGGCAAATTCCTTCAGTGGTTTGAGCTCCTGCCTATAATTAAGACCCTAATTGCCCACAGGCAGTTTCCCTATAAAAAGTCAGCTGATCCACTTAATACAGTCAACTCAGGTGATGCCCTGGGCCTTGGTTCAAGAGAGAGAAAGACATCAGATATGTATTTTTCTACTGAGCTGTCAAACCCTCCCCACAGTAGAACAAAAGGGTTTTTACCTTTTCCACATCTGGCAAACAGTCTAGCAGGCCAACCGTGAGCTCAGAGTCACTGGGGTCGTTCTCACACCCCCGCGGGCCCATCCGCAGAGGCCTCTTCGCCATGGACTCCAGCACTGCTTCATACAGCTGCTTTGTTATCAGGGGACAGGGAAGCTCCCTCAGATAGTCCTTCAGGACACCTTGAAGACAAAAACCCCAAAAATGAACCCATGATTCTGGATGGCAGAAATGCTGGATGGCATGAGTGCCAACACAGTCTGGGGATCACCCATAACAGCTTCTGCACAAGGAACTGAGTTTTACACAAAAGACACAACCACATGAAGCACACTGAAAACATGTCTTAAGATTGAGAATAATGCTTAATAAATGCTCCTTATCAATCCTTTTTTCCCCACTGTATGTGGATCACAACCACACAAGCTAGATGGGCTTAGTTCCCTCCAGTCCTTTGCAACACTTCTTAGAATCTGTTAATAAATATTTATTTAGCACCTTTCCAGATGCATCATCTCAAAGCATTTCTCAATAGAACAGAAACACAAAGTAAGATGGTAAATTAAACCGAATGTGACAACATAAAAATTTTACAAACAAAAACAGGTCATTTGGCCCATCTGGAATCAAACCTAGAGCAAAAAAAGTCAGATTTTAGATGGGGTTTGAAACTGCTGACTGACTTGAAAGAACCAATATGAGCTGGAAATAATTCCAAGGACAGAAAACAAGGCCTCCCTGTGTACTGAGCCTTATTTGGGAAACTGAAAGAACCCAGAGACTGAATCTTAAACAGTGAGAGACCTCACTAAAACATTAGGGAGTTAACTGCTCTCAGATGCAGTCAGGAGCCACACAGTTCAAGCTCTGAAAGGTAAGCAGCAACAAAATCCTGAAAGCCACAGGGAGTGAGAGCAATGAAGATAATGCAGGTAATGGCGATATAACCTCCTTTTTGTTTTAGTTAATATCCAAGCAGCTGAGTTCTGAACATGCTGCAACCTGTTAAGAACATTTCTGGATACCCCTGCAAGCACTCCAATACGATAATCAAGCCTGATAAACACAACAGAATACATGAACTTCTCTGATTCAAACTGGGAAAGAAATGAAAGGATATGTGTAATATTAATAACATGAAAAAAAGACATTCACAACACTGCGAACATGAGCTTCAAATACAAGACCTGGATCAAAGATGCCTGACCCAAGTACTTGGACTAATTCCAGGACCATCAATAATTAAACTACGGCTGACCTTTGCAGTTTTGTTGTTCTATGAGATGCTTCTGAAAGGATCCTGCAGAGTACATTCAGGCACTTACAATCCTTACCACATAACTGTTTCAATATCCTTTGGAGTTTCAGAAACAAACAATTATTTAGCATTCTCAACTGTAATTTATGGCATGATTCACTATTAAGGGCCTGCTTGTGAAAGAAATGATGTACACTGAGGCAAGCTAAATTTGAGATATACTGCCTAGAAGCCATCAAACAACATTACCATAGTTGCTCTGAAACAGGCGATGTGAGGTCAGGGAAAAGTATAGCTACAACTGACAAGGGAATAGCTATTAAAAGTTGGCACCGATGCTGTGCATGCAGATTTTACTCCTTAACACCATTCTGATTTGAGATGTGATTGACAAATCAAATCTAAGTGGATTTACTCTATTTGTTATTCACGCTTTTGCTGACTAAAAATAAACAAAACTGAAGACTACATTAGATATTAAAAGCCGACTCCAAACCCTGTTACTGTTTTTTCTTCCTGTTATCCAGAAGTTGACGACGTCTTACTCAAATATGATGATGGTGTCTGGCCACATCACATTTCATACCTGAGCCCAGACAATCAGAAATCAGTGTAAAATGATGGGCATGTCTCTCCTTTAGTAGGAAAGAAAAGCAAGGTAATCGTTTTTTTAAGCAATGAGTCTAAATATCCCTGCACTGTCGAAATGCCCTCTGAAATTTAATTTGACAGATATCTGTGGTATTGGGTTAAGAAAACAGGCAATGCTGCAAAGATGCAACACATAGAGGAAATGTATTACAGGTCCAGATGAGTTGACTCAACACATTTCTTTTTTACATTCAGCTTTAAACATCCTGACTTGCTTAGAATGTCGTTGCCATCTCAGGGCACCCGTGGAGATCCTCTGGTTGCTAAGTGCCAGACTAGCTGTTAAATCGAGAGTCGTCAGGATTATTAAGCAATGCTCTAACTAGGCACCAGCCCTTTTAGGAGTAAAGACAGCAGTAAAAAAAGACTTTCATCCCATGCCAAGGGCATTGGAAGCTAAGAGCTTATCAGATAAATCTGTCCCTCTTAAACTTCTTAGCATTATCTCCATAATCACCTTACAATGAAGTGAAGGACGTAAATGCCATGAAAGATTAGAAACAACCAGAGACTATGCATCAATGCATTGCCGGAGAACAGCAGCCCTCATCTTCTGCTTAGCCTGATCACTGAGGAAAGCCATTCTTTAATCTAATTTGCTTGCAGATGTAATGTAACTTGTTACAGACATCTACTTTAAACTTTCTCCGGAGGAAACAGTAAGTACATTTGTTACTTTACATTTTATATAAGTGTTTCCTTATTTCAGGGACTTGAATCAGGAAAACACGTTGTTTACTGGTGTCTCAGCTCGGCAGCAGTATGGGAACAATGCAGCACATGGTTGCTCAAGACTGCACAGCTGTTCAAACATGTCAGAAAGCACAAAAGACCTTCAGCCTGTGCTTCTTAAAGAATATGAAACTTTATTGTAAATCACTGGTGATGTGCAGGATGAGTAGCAAGATAACCTGACTTTCGTGCAAGAGAAAACAACCCAGGAAGCTAACTAAACACCAGCCCAGGGCTATAATTCGACCCAAGGCTGCTCCCAAGGCCATCTCACACCAGAGGATTCTCTCTTGACAGATAGTGAATGCCAACTACAGAGACATGTGTTCAAATGATAGACATGGTTAAAAATCTTTTCATTAAAAAAACAACCTCATGTATGTTTAAAGACGATTTCATATGATCAGAGCTTGTAAAAGTGTTGAGGGTGTTCCTTTGTTCTTGTGTATCAGCTTTCAAATGAATCCAAGAAGCAGCCTAGGACTTACCAGCAAGATTTGACATTTGACATTTTTTAGTTTTGTAAAAAAACAAACCTTAATTTCTGGATATCAGTGCTTTGGTTTGTTTTTTGTTTTACTGCAGCTATGTAATGTATCTTTATATTGTTTATGCATCAAGTTATTTCCAAAACTGAAACTCCAGGAGACTCTAGGCTCTACCGATCACCGCAGTGTCTGGTTAATAACAGCCAACATGAGCAAATTTGCTGCACTAATCACTCGCATCATAGAGCCAAATCAGACCCTCACAACGTGGCTGGGGCAGCAACTGGTTTTAAAAATGTTGTTGAAAAGTTGATTCCCGTGACGGGTTATAAATCCCTTTGAGAAATGCAACCTATCACACAAACTGCTTCTGCTCGGATACCAACGGACAAAATAAATCCAGACTTGGTACAAAAATAATGAATATGTGTCATTATGGAGCGTCTGTGGAAACATCAACATTGTCCAAGCCCTTTCAGCAGTAGCCTCTTGTTTTGGATATACTGTTCACGGCCATATTAAAAATGAACATTCGGCTGACGTTTTCAAATCTTGCCTCAAGATTTACGTGTTCACAATAGCCTTAAATTCCTGACGTAATTCTTTCTTTTGATGTCATAATTTATACATTTTTCCTAACACTCCGAATGTAAGAATTTTCAGTTGAAAGATGCTATATAGGAATAAAATTGACTGATTCATTGACTGAAACCTGATGACTATCCGACAGCCATTGCTTTTTGCTTGCTGATGATTTGAGGCCCATAAGACACACTCCTGCTGTTTATAACGGTTGGATGTCCAACATTTGCAGGCATCACTAAAGTTTCTCCTTGGTTTACTTCAAGATCACTCACACTGTTAAAAAATGCAGGCAGGGACTTGGTTAGACCCTCCAAAAGTGCTTAAAAATTTATGTTTCTTTAAGTTATAGCATGATCCACTGCTATTCCCCATTCTTTCATTAGATGTCTCCATTTGTAATTATGACAACAGTTGGCTTTAATATAAACACAAGAGCCCCTCTGCTTATGTGACCTGGTCTGTAGAGAAAGGTGTCTTTATGTGAAAGTAAATCATTAGCTTAGATTAATTCAGCTGTGTGTTGACTCTGTTTCAGAGGGTGATTAGCCTTTTGTCTGCAATTGCAAGTAGGAAGGTTGTAATAACAGCCTGGTTACCCTGCCTGGAGCAACACAGCAAGGTGGGCTTCCTGCAGGTGTTTAACCGGCTGGTCACCCTGGTGGGCTTCCTGCAGGAGCTCCACATATTCACAGTAAGTCCGATTACCTATAAGCACGGCTGCAGATTTCTACTATAAAGGGGATTAAAGTAAAAAACAAAATACTATATTCATTTGTATTTAGGTTTATTTTACTTACATTCTGACAGGGTGAACGCATCAATAATACTATTAAGCTCAGTCCTTACAACTGTCTTTTTTATAAAAACAGGTTTAAACCATTTAAAGTTCCCAGGCATCTTCTTTGTAGACTTGTCTAATGAAATACTATATCAGGTGTGTTTTGTCCTGTTCTTAATGAAAGGTAGAGAATACTTTCCTACATTTGCTGTGGCTGTACAAGATCTTTCTTAGGCCAAAGATTGTGTTTATCTCATTTTGAGATAGATTCTGTCAGCTGCTTACAGAGCAGGAAGAAAATGCAAGGATGTACTGGTATAAACCAGTGACCATGAGAATGATGATCCTTGAGCAGAAAAACTGGTATCCTCCCTACATGCAACTTTGACCTACAAGCAACTGTACCTAATTGATCCCAGAATGACTTGTAATGCTCACTGAGGATGAGCAAGACCTGGAATATATCCTTCACCTAGCCCTTCTTCCAGATATATGCCTTGGAAAACACTTCTCAAGCCAAAACACATTCAGCTTCTCGTCACAATAAAATGCTTCTAGGCTGTTTCACAGCAGCTCTTTATTTCTGCACTATTTATTGCTGAGGTTTATTTTGCTTTTGGCCTATATTCAAACACTGATAAGACCCTATATATAATGCCTGTGCAATTACTACAAGGTGTAGCAACTACATCTGTTTGCATGCCAGAAATATGTTTAAAGAGTGTTTTGTGCCCTGTAGTCTGTTAGAGAAAATTAGCGACATCATGATCTTATAACAGTTCACAGTACTGCAGCTTGTACCTGCATAAGTAGGACTAGGCGAGACAAGCATCAAAGACAGCACTTTCAGAATAGTTACTGCTTACTACAGTTAAGCATTACCTAATGAATATGTACATCATATAATTTCAAAATAACATTTGCAATTTAATAAAAATACCCTTTTCTACACTCCTGTGTACAACAGAGATGCTTTCTGGGTTTTCAGACTAAGGTCATTGATGAGGGACCAGCTCGTAATGACCTAAATTATCCTTCAAAACCAAACACACAGTACATGCTTCTGTAATACTGGACCATATAATGTATCTCTGCTCTGGAATCTGTCCAGAATAAAACAATCAGATACATCATGGGGCTTGAGGGAATGTCCTACACTAACAAGCAGAATAAACTGAACCTTCTTTCACTCCTAAATAGAAAACCAAGCTGCATAAAATAAGTCATGTTTACATTATTAAAGATATTTGTAAACACATTCTCCTAACTATTTTAGTGAAAAAATCCCAGAAAAGTGTTTTCACAATTAAACCATAAAACATAATACTCATCATACCTCTTAACTACTATACTTAAATTTGCATATCTTCTGTATCTTGTAGCGATACAGAAGTTTGACTGATCAATTAGACAGCACAAGCAACCCTGAGGGCAAAATCAAGTCCTTGGTGCCCTAGAGTACATCACTCTGAATTAGCCCACTCCCTCTCCTCACATGAAAACTGGATTGCCAGCAAATCAACTAGTGTAACAAGAGAAACCCAAACTTCAGGCCAATTAAATGAAGCCTACGTCAAGCCAGCCCTGAGCAGTGATCGGATTAAGAAAGGTCATGACTGAGATATTAACATTCATTCAAAAGCACACAGCTGTCACAATTATGGCGCTTCAATAAATCCATAGACTTATTAAATCACTTGTTCTAAATCCATCATATTTCAGTATTGAATGATAGGTGAGAAAAAACAACACTTCTTCACAAGAATGTCCCAAGAATGGCTGCTCGTGACAGCTGTTAGATTTGGGATAATTCCTTTTCATTTCCTGTTCTTCTTAAATTAGTCTTGTCACACCAGTGCTCACCCTTCACCTTTCAGTTTCTCCTGCTTGTTAACTGCTGTGTCTTCTAATCTCCACCTCTCCCCAGCTCTCTGCAGGGCTCACCCACCCCACAGAACAAATTTGGACAGCAAGCAAAACCCAACAATCCACTTTGGCGCTCACTCTTTTTTCCTGGCCTGCTCAACTGTTAACTGTGTGCTTTACCCTGACATGCCAAGTCATGTGGATTTAAGCAGACATGATGCAAAACTGCATTGTGGGCCTTTTCTCAAAAACAATAAGCCCAGGCCTCTGTTGGCCACCATAGCCTTCCTCTTTTGTCAGGGGAAAAGTAACTTCACTAACAGATGTACTAATATCCCCACAATGTAAATCTTTTATCATAAATAACGGAATGAGAGTCAGTGGGACATCCTGGCCAAGACAGGAACACAAACACGTGAAATGTCTGAAAACTGTCCCTTTGATGAAAGTTTAAGAATTATGAGACGTTCATCAAAGCACTTTGAGATGATTGCTTTCAAAGTTCATTATGATGATGACAGGGAGAGGATTTAAAAGTTGTATTTCAAGGTATTTTCTGCAGGGGGACTGACTTGAGTGCCAAGCGCGTCCAGTCCGCACAAGGCTGAGGACAGTAGACAGTACCTGTGATGACATTGATGTCTGGGTATTGGCTCTCGGAGAGCTCCACCCCCTTGCTGTCCCTCTCAAAGGCCTCGCGCAGCTCCTTCTTCACTGCCGCCGAGCCACACAGGCGGTACAGACCCACAACCTGGCAACGCAGAAACAAACAGTTCACTCCAGGGCACCGAGGCGGCAGAACTGGCAAAAGCTCTGGGCTTTTCTGCAGACAAAAGAGGGACTGACCCATTTCTCTGTCCTGCTTGCACCACCGACAAAGCTCATCCGTTCTGCTCACACCTGAGAGGGGTGGTGCAGCTGGACAACCAACACTAGCGTGCAAAGAAAAGCTCTTTAGCAAGGCAGAAGACATGTGACCTAGTTCAAAAGACCTATAGACATCTGTAAATAAATTGCTTTTTTTACATAACATTTAAATGTATAGTCTAATTACATTTATCTTACATATAAGCATGATTTTTTTACCTAATAGTTTATTTTAAACAGTTAAAGGTTTATTGCAGCATAGAGGTCTTGCTATAATAATTCGTCAAACACTCATTATGATTAAATAAATTCCCGAATGTTGGAGTTTTTAGTTCATTTGAACGATGAGAAGCAACACTAAAAATTCCTAACTAACTTATTTCAAATGTACACATAACCTGAAACATTATCATATTTATCATTCAAAAAATGATGGGGTTCCTGCAAAACCTGAGTTTAATTTCAGAGAGAACAACTTAAAATATAACCGGTACGTCACGCTGCATTAAAATATAGAATAATATACAAACATCAGGAGGACAGTTTAAAGGTTATGTTGTTTAAATATATTCAACCAGTGCGGTCTCTATCACAGCTTTATTGAGAACAAGCAGTTTTTCTTTTAGAAATATATAACAGCATAGGCTTATTCTCCACAAGCAAGTCCTTGACTTCAGAAGGGCACACAATTTAACAGAACATCAGGTGAAAACAAAGCTTATCTATTTACTTTATTGTGCTATGTTAGTGATGCCAAGTTCTGTGAGCCAGGAGTTCTGTTTATTTTAGGAGTCTTATCTGCTTTTATTCTGAGATGTACTACATGACAAGAAGCTTACTGCTGCCCTGCTGGGGCTCAGGCCTCTGTGGTGTTTATTAGGGCCAGCCTGTGGTATCTTCAAAGGTGAAAAAATAAGGAGGTCCTAAAGGAAAAATAGTCAGTGGATTTAACCTTTTAAGTGTCTAAATGAGTAAGCAAGTTCAAGCTCAGCTGAAAGCAAGTCAGAATGGATTATACTGCTACGGCAATAATGGAACTCAATCTTTCCAGGTTGAACACTTCTGTTTATACTTTTCCTGGCTGAAAATGTTTGTACTGAGGTGGCTCTGGGCTTGACTGGCACAGAAGCTGGAGCATTAGAGCATCACAGTAAACCTCAATTGTGATAAAAGAGAAACAAAAGTAGTTTGTTAGTCTGCTTCTTTTTCATTTTGTAACTTGGAAGTGTCTATCAATTCAGAGCTGTAGCAAAAAGTTTTCAGACATTCATTTGGAAAAGTAACAACATGTTTACACTAGTACTGTGAAATAAACATTTAAGTCTGTATTTCTATACATAGACACTTCTGAATGAGAACAAGTTAAAGATTAAATAAAACCTATGTATAAACACAGCTACATAGAAGCCCTAACATGCAGGTTCTGCATAAAAATAGCCAAGGAATTTAATGACCACACATCTTTTGAGTATATGTGTAGAATTGCTTTCTGCAGAAAATGTTCCACTTGCTCTGCAGCATACAGGTGCATCCGTGTTGTGCTTTCATAATGCCTCTGTGAGGCTGCAAGCAATCTGTATCATCCAGAGGAAATAATCGCCCAACCCTGCAATAATTAAGAACAAAGAAACATTTCCTGTGCTGAACTACTACTTCCTGAAGTGGTGCAGCTACCAGTATATCTAGACTGAAGAAAGACTTTTTATTCAATAACTTAACCAGAATGCAAGGATTGATAAACTTTCAACCAAGCATGTCACACTGTGGAGAAGTGCACTGAAACCTGCACTTTTTATTCCAACAGATCCACTCGGAACATACAATCCCTTGGCATGACCAACGCACTATTATCAATGAAAGAGCAAACCAGTAAATGCCGCACAAATCTGAATAATAGTAGAAAAAAGATTGGCGAGGCAAGTTCATAAAATTATACTTATAATGGGAATGGACCAGGCAAACTCAGCAAAAGATAACAAATGATGCAGGTGTTTCAAAAAGGGTCAACAAAGTTAGCAAATTCCTCTTGTATGAAAATTATATCTATACAGATTAATTGCCCAAACCCCTTTTGACTTGGAGCAGCTTGTGCGTGACAGATCGCGTTTCTCATAGAGGTTTATGACCCATGCAGGCATGAAAAAAGAAATGACAAATATGCAGGTCTAAACCGGAAAAGGCTTTGCTGATGAAACTGACTAAGTCTACTGCAATTGGTGAATGAGGTCATAAGAAGGTTTTGAAAGGGTTTGTGACCACTTGGGCCAGGCTGCCATCTTGGTAGAGCAAATGGTCCCAAGTTTGGTCCATCTTTAGCAGTTTCTCCTGTCTAGTCTGAAAATGCTAGACTGGTCTCTGAACACAGGTAGCCTCCAAGGTGGGAAGAGAGAAAACCTCACAATCGCCACTAGCTAATAAAATCAACCATGAACTATCACGTTTCCAGTCACAAGAAGAATATATCTGATAAATTAATTATTGGCTTTAACATACATCTGTCTAGCATGTTTTTGCATCATTAAATTGTTTGAAGAGTTAACGCACCCATGATCCGCAAAAGCCTGTGGCATCCTTTTAGCACTGACTGCTATGCCGACACAAAGAGCTTTCTATGCAGGGAAATGTAATTAAAAAAAAATTAGATTTTTGTCCACAGTTCCAAAACCCATTATCTTTAAATAAATGCCATAAGTTTCACTTACATTCCTTTGTGACACAACCTATAAATTCCTCCTGATCAGCCCCGAAATCCCCTCCTGGCTCCGACACTGGTGTGAGGAAACCAGGGCTCCTGTGGTTTTAATAACATCCCATGTCTATCCTCCACTTTGTCTTCAGTTTCCAGGGCTCCATGCTCTTCTAATTAATACTAAGAGCTCTCAGGATTAAAGGATAGGCCCTCAGCTTGCAGCTGATAAATTTGCTTTATAGACTAAAAGCAGCCCGCAGCAATGCCATGAGGAGAGTATATGAACCCTGGCCAGACAGTTTTATTGCTGGCGTCCCGACTCTAATTAAGTAACGTAGGGGCAGAGTCTCGCTCCAGTGGCATTGGCTTCAAAAGTATAAAGGTATGAGGCAGCACATCGGCACCAGGTCACCGTGCAAACTGTGCAAAACGCTGACACATTCCATTTCCAAAAGTATGTTTCAGCGGGAATGGAAAACAGAAAAAAATATCTGTGTACTAATTAGCTGGAATACTGTTACAAAACAATAAAAAGAAACATGTTCCAAGTCAATGAGATGTCAAAGTCCTTCTGTTTGGCAGGAGAAACGTGCCCAAGAGAAAACAAATTCTGTTTTCTCTTAGGGGCCCAACACAATTATCTCAACAACAGAACAAATTTCTCCCATTCATTTAAACAAAGGCACTATACATCAACACTGCAACAAAACCCAGCTAATTCATCAGTGGCTCTGCAAAGTGTAGCTGACACTTTAATTTACAACATCAATAACATTACAGAACTTCTCCTAGATCAATCAAAGGTGAAATGGAGTCCTCACCCCCGTGTCCCGAAGGCACAGGGAATAAACCACTTTAGTAACTGCCCTTAGATATCAATTCAGTTGATTACTCCCTCACAGTTATCATATTCCAGAATGCAATGCAGATAAAGATCACAGAAGTAAACGAAAATGGCACTGGCTTATTATGAGTGCAAAAATATTTTTTTTTGTCTGGAGCTACTCCGAGCTCTTCAGAACCACCATCTTAAAGTGTCCAATGAAGTGAAACTACATGGAAGCTCATTTAAAACCATGAACAGGAGGCATGTCATTATACAGTGTTCCAGGCATATGGAACAACTCAGCCACATTGCTGAAGACAATTTACTGCTTTCTTTCAAGAAAGAGCTTGATGAGCTCCTAGAATTAACTGCACATGGAACTGTGGCCTGCTAGACAAGGCCTTCTAGCATCTTCATAGTTTAAATAGGTTTATACAGCCTATCAGGAATGCCTGGAGCTATCTGAAAAGCTTTCCAGCTGTTTCGTGTTGTTTCTGGATGGTCTACGGCTGTTCTGAACAGTCAGAATCTCCGAGTTAGGCTATAAGTAAATGTAGATCAAACATGAGAAAAATGAGCAAAGGAATAAATCATTTAGCTATTTTGATACTGGAGGATAAGCAAAAAGAAAATTAGCCTTAATTAGAATTAAGTGATGTTTAAAGCAACTAATTAATTCTAAAAAGACTAATATAGGCAAAGCTAGTGTTATGTAATAGATCTAACTGGATTAGGGTAGGGATGTTGATACTCCCTGTTGTCTAAACATCCCCAAAACCCGACAATAACAAATCTAATCACTAAAACACACTTTTTTAATAGAAAGTGATGCAGGGAATTCAATGTCATAGTCTTGGGGATTGCCGTTATTGAATCAACACAAAGAGTCAAAATTGGCTGGACCTGTCAGACTGCCAAGCCTGAAGAAAAACAAATGTCACAGGTGGTGCAGGCTACAGAATAGCAACACGCAAACTATGCTGGCACTGCAAGGATCTGCCAAATGTCCTTGAGTTAACCTGGAGAGCCTGTCCTAGGACACAAAGAGTTTCTTCATGTGTGGGACAGATGACAAGAAGGTAGGTACTTAAGATGGGTAGTAACAAGTCCAGTCTTGTAGAAGGAAGACAAAACCTATATTTTAACTGTACAGTTCTTGCTCGGAAGAGGTCAAGTCTAAATGAGAAGGAACATTTCTCAGTGGAATAAGCAGTTATCAGCTTTGTCTCTGAAACAATGGAAAATCTTCTGTTGTTTTGGCAGCACATGGGGCTAATGTTTGCAAAACAGTGTCCTGTGTCACACCCTAAATGAGGGTTTGAACCGGTCATAGATACACACAATAACACAGAGATCTTCAAAGCTCTTTGTTCCAGAAGAAAATGATCTGTCATTAAGATTAAAGCTTTGAAAGTGCAAATCTAACAAAACATAACATGATTGAAGATTTTTGATTAAATACAGTTGGTTAGAATTTAACAAAAAAAGAACAGCAATGTTTGTACTTGTTTTGTAAAAATAAGAACTGCAATTTTAACCAAAAGGCTTTGAGATATGCCTTAAAACACCCAGGATAACTCAAATGCCAACCCTGTCAAAATAAAGAAATGAGAACTCTTTACCTGGCAGCCTCTCTTCTCAATCTCAGTAATGCACTTCTCCATCAGCAGGGGCACCATGAGCCCAGCGTTCTCGCGTTCCACCACCCTCCAGGCTTCCACGCCAAACACCACAGGGTCATGGTCACCTTCGGGGCTGTCCAAGGAGTTCTCCCACTGCTCCATCAGGGTCAGCTTCACATAGATCAGGCCCCGGGGCTCTAGCTTCACGGCCAGCTGGTGGGTCTTGGTGACGCGGAAGAGCGTGGGGAGGACCACCGTCCCGTGACAGCAAACCTTGTTCCTCCGGGGAGCGGGATCCCAGCTGAACACCACCAGCTTCAGGTGCTGGGCGTTCTCTAGATCGATGTTGAAAGTGTGGTCCATGTCAAGGAAGGTGGTCCTGCAGGTCAGGAGTGCGGTGCGGGCCTTGTTGACCGAGTCCACCTGGATAGCGCAGTAAACATCGCGGGAGTCAATGCGGGGCGGCTTGAGGTCCTCTGCGCCGTAGAAATGCACGCTCATCAGCCCGGAGATGTAGTGTGAGCACTTGGGCTGGTCCACAAAGCTGTAGTGCCGGAAAGCGTCGATGTCGATCTCTGTGCCGGGGAGTCTCTGGGTGCAGCTCACTGGGGCTTCCTTCCCCTTGCCAGCCTTCTCGGCGTTGTGCTTGCCCGATTTTGCGACCAGCTCAGGGGAGTCCCCGTCGCTGAGGTAGCCGCCCTTGCTGGCCGATTTGGAGCGCCGGCTGCTCTTCTTCTTGCTGAAGCTCTGCTGGGTGGACACGCTGCTGTCCAGGTGGTAACGGGAGATGACGTTCCTGCTGGCCGCAGCGCCCGCCCCAGGAGAAGGGTGGGGGCGGCGCCTCTGGCTGGACTCGGCCCCACTGCTGCTCCCACTGCTCTTCGGGGACGAGGGCTGCTGCTCGGGCTGGGCACTGCCGCTTGGAGCCCCCTTCACGCTCAACTTCCTGCTGAGCTCTGGCAACTTCTTCATCTTCAGGGAGAGCTTCCGCACAGTTCCAGGAGACTTGATTTTGTCTGGAAAGGACCAGTTGATGGAGCTGCCTTTCTTTGAGGGGTTGGGGCTGGAAGGGGGAGAGAAGCCTGTGCTTGGTGAGTCGATCAGATCTGGAAAACAGAGGCGAGCAGATGTGTCACAACTAAGATGCAAAGAGCACCGGCAAAACAAATGCCTACAGTCACCAATCTTGAAGGCTGTAGTACATCAACAAAGCAAGTTTCAATGCTATATGTTTGCAAGTTTTTCAATGTACTGAGCCATATTTTTTAACCCAGTCATTTTAGAAAATCAGGCTTTGAAGTCCTCACATCCATAGTCCATTTTTGTGCATTAAAACATTTAAAAAGCAAAATTTGATATCTTCCCTTCTCATGACATAAAAACTCTGAACAGTCAATTCAGCAATGATCACAATTCTTACAGGTTACTGAATCACAAGAGTTTGTTTTTATTAAATTAATAGAATGTAAGAACATTGTAACTCTGTTCAACTTGGTATTACATTTTACAAAACATCAGTCTGTGTTCCATACTGGAGTTCACCAAAATTACTCTGGTGAACCTGTATTTTGTACTAAAAATAAAACAAAACTCCTTTTGAAATACTTCAGACAGACAGCAGCACCTACTAAACAAAACGTATTACACAACAGTTAATACATGTTTTTATCTGTCAGGGAGAAGAAGTAAGAAAAATTAGAATTGGCAAACCCAACAAAAGAAAAGGCTACAGAGAACTTTTTAGAAAAGATAACTGCATAGCTTGCCTGAAATCATAAAATAAAATATATGCATAACAACAAGAAGAGCAAATCGCAACAAAATACAAATCAATACAATTTGCAGTTTTGGTGTGTATTTCTTACCTCTGAACCAGGCAAATCATTATTTTCTTGTGGTGGAAATTGAACAGATTAAAACAATCCAAGTCCACAGAAATGCTCATCTACAGAGTACACATATGCAAACAATATGCCACAGCATGACAGGATACACAAGTTGTCTAACAGGAACTACTACTGCAGTGCAGCCATCAAATACTAAAACTGTATTTTTTTTCTATCAGCACCATACATGAGATTTCATGTTTAAATAAATGTTTCCCTATTCCTAAATTAAGACACTGCAGATTAGCGCAGATATAAAGAAACATACTCACAGTGAGCACAGGTTGGAAACGGCTCTTGCTCCTGTGAAATGTACCCAAAATGTGGCATCAACTCATCACATAAATACACACTAATCCTTCCAGAAGGGAAAAATAAGTCACCGAGTCACACCAGAATAAAGCAGTGCTACAGGTCCATGATTTAATATCAAACCACCACTGAAACGCATTCATCCTCTTATATAAGAAGACAAAAAGTTATGATTCACAAGACAGTTACTTCAAACCTTCCGGAAGAACTAGTGGTCTAGATAAGAAAAGAAGTGAGAGAGACAGGCTTCCTTGTGAACAGAAGGAACTGGTCTCCAGTGGAGATTGGGATGACAGGACAAGGCCTCAACACTTCTGTACGGAAGAGCAGGGACTTCACTGGCTCAGCTCTATCCTCCATTGTCACACTTCAGCCTGGGTCACTAGCTGACTGGGAGCCCCTGCGGGATCACAGAACTGCTGCACCGCTGCCAGGTGTAGGATTGGGTTTTGTCGGCCAGGGTTTCTTGGCTCACAGCAAATAAGCAACTCCTGCCATTTCCCTGGGGCCTGAAGGCTCGCAGTGATGTGGGCGAGGGGTGTGCCTCTCTCCCAGTCACCACATCACTGCAGAGCTCCCAGCAGCCAGGGCTTCAGCGGCAGAGCCATCACTGTGATCCAAGAGGACAAGACACCTGGCAATGCTCAACTGGAGGGGTATGGAATAAAAATAACTGGCTACCTAAATTTGCAAAAAAACACAGTTAAGTATCAACAGTTGGTCTTTACACTTTATTTTCTTAAGCAAAAATGAATTGCAGCAAACCCAGCTTATTTTCTTTTTGCTACAAATCACGAATCTTGTGGATTCTACATATCGGCAATTTTCAAGTTCACATATGCAGATGTTATTCAGTGATTAGACTTACTCCCTTTTTTAACACAGTAGCACAGCTAACAGAAGCACCAAAGATAAGAGGCACAAACTCCAGACAGGGCAGCTCTATTTGCTGCCTGCCTGCTGTGCTCTTCTGGCACAACAGGAGCTGGAGCTGTGAGCCCTGACAGACAGGACAAAGACTCCCCTTGTGCTGCAAATCACAGCACAGCCCTGCCAGTGGGCTGTCCTGCAACATTCCTTAATAAACAGAGCCGTGTTTAGACCTTCTTCTATTAATCCCTTCTTTTTTTTACTCTTCCTGCCAATAACTCCCAACATGTAATGAGAGTGAGGAAGCCGTTTCCACACTTCCCCATCTACACTGAAGCCCAGGGGCTCACAATAATGAGATACGCCATGGGATTTACTCAGGAGGGCTCTGTGTGTTGGAATATCAAGGCTAGTGTTTTAAGGGAAGGATATCAGGAATTTACATAGTGTAGCAAGCAAGGGCCTGATTTGGGTGCATTCATGGAATCCTGCATTTCCCTCATATATGACAGGTTTTGTTGTGGCAAAAGATACTCAGGCAAGAGCTCCACAGAGTGAATTTCTATTTCTAAAAGAAGAAAAAGGTTCTTTCACAGGTCTATAAATATGTCTTGAGTGCACAAACTGCACAAAGGTGAAAGTATTATTAATTGAGCAAATGCTTTTCCCCCCACAGTGACATACATTTGTACCCATGGGTGTCATTAAAATAATGGGCACATGAATACAACCCTCCTGCTCTCCCAGTTACAGCTAACAGAATTGTTTTAAAAGAATGAGCTGTAAAGCAGGCTCACTTACAGAAATCCAAGAGGAACAAAAGTCCTTTTACATTATCAGCAAGGCTTTTATTAATTAGACTTCTATGATTACTATACATATACACACATCAAGAAGCAGACACAAATGTACTGCTTTTAACAGATTAAATGGGACACAAGAATTTTGTGCGCTCTTATACTTGTTCTTCTTTCCTTATTTAGGCAAACAAACCGTCTTCTTCAAAAACATTTCTGAATGTGTGATAAGGTTAGGGTTAGTCCACAGACATGGGACAACTTACTTCTACAAACCAACCTTTGCCAATCTCTATGTCTAACAAACCAACAGTATTCCCTCAAGCAGTAGGAGGTGACTTTAGCAAACACGTGAAGCAGAAATAATATGAATCTTGTTTTGGAAATTCATGCAGGGAAACAGGATGGCATGCTGATCCTTGCCCCATTTGAGATGCCTGACCCCCCCCCCCAGCTCTGGGACTGGGCATGTAACTGGATCCCCAGGGCAAACCTACATTGTCAGAGCCTCTGCACTCCACAGCCTGGAAGAGATCACTGCTCACTCCCTGAACCTTCGGGCACCTGGCCTGCAACATTTTCACAAAACACCGGCAGCAACTAACAGCTCCTGATTGCTCTTAAGACAGTGCCACTCATGAAAATTGTTTGCTGTCAGTGTGATTAATGAGAAGCTCTGATTGTTTTACAGACTTCGAAAAAAAGAAGGCACCAACTACAGTTTTACAGTACCTACGAAATTGAACCCAGTCCTGCCTCAGTGACAAGATTTTGAAGAGTCAGCCCACAACTGGCTATTCTTCCATTTACCAACTTCCCTGACTGTGGACTAGTACCATTCTTCTGTTGAACCCTACTGCAGCATTATTTCCAACAGAATTTGGCACTTAACTCCTAAATACAATGAAGGTCTTTGAATTTGATACACTTTTTAAGACAAATTACAGATCTGCTGCAAGCATTTAAAAGAGTTTTTTTCTAAAAGGACACAGTTACCACGCTTCTTAAATTGCCCAAAAAGAAAACCCCAAAGAACTGTCAGGACCAATTACACAGGCTTGAAGCATCAATGGTAAAAGTAGTCAATAACCTTTTTATTACTGTATCAGAATTTAAAGTACTGTATTAATCTTCCTAACTGTACTGGTCATCTGCTGTTTTTGTTTTCGTTTTGTCCTATTCAAACCAATCAGTATTGAACACCTCCAAAGATAACAGAAGCGGAGGTGTTTCATTACAATGGATACAAAACCTGCTAATGAATGCAGGGTACACTATTTGAAGATGGACAGTTGCCAGGGTCTAATTTTTTTGTGCTACAAAACCAAATCCCATCCCTCCTGCCAAGCGTTCTGTAACTAGAGCAACCAGTGGCATCCTGACTCCACTCCCTAATCAAATTATTATGTACAACTATGTCTAACTGGTTCAAAGCCATAAAAGTACATCAAACGCAGCATCAAAAACATGCAAAGATATTTGTCCCTAAGCTGTCAGTGTGCGGGGATATGCAAGGGAAAGGACCCTTTTTTCACAGTAGAGGCCCAGTAGATCCAGACAGTTACTGAACAGTCAGTGTTCCCATGTACAAGTGACAGCAGGTAACAGAGCCTAGTGACTGTGGCTTCAAATATTCTATTGGGTTTAACAGGCAGGTGATCCAGAGCATGGCTGCTTTCCACAGTCACTTTTGTTTGCTGGCATCCCATATTGAAAAACACTGAGACCCACGGAAGTTCTGTATTAGCAATGTGCCCAACAGGCTGGATCAGATTCCTCGCTTGTCTTCTCATTCTCAGGGCTCTGGCACACAAAGAGGAATCTTGTGACTCATTAAGAGAAGCCAGACGCTAATACAAAAGCTGGGCCACACTCAGGATCCCCTTTGTTTTCTATTTTCAGGTTTTCTGTCATATGGATACGCTTGGAATGAAGCACAGTCATGTGATGAGTTCCCTTGCTCATTCTTGTTCCACAGATGTTCATTTCAGCCGCATACATTACTAATTTACTAATAATTACTTTGCTATCAAGCGATAAGCTTTGCTATTAAGTAAGAAGATGTTAAAGGTCTTTTTTTTTTTTACAAAAGAAGTCTATTGTAGATTGTGTATAAATTACAAATAAGATGTAATTAGTTAATTTATGTGGTTACAGGAACACGCTTAATCATTTACCTGAACTTATACCTGTGTGACAGAACTTTGTGTCTGTAAACAGTAAAAAGGAACATCCCATCCCACACTTTCAGTTTATCTTTGCAGGGAGAAGAAAACTAATGAAAGCTTCAAGGCCTTGGGCTGAATCCAGGGAAACACAGAGTTCATGCTGTGTTCTTCTGCTGTACTGGTCCTATGTCAGAATACATGGACAGTGGAGGCACCAAGGTTTATCTTCTTACTGCTTTTTTCAGGAAATTACCAACGGTTTTGAAAAACACAAAGGAAGAAAAGTCACCCTGATGTAACTGCAGATCACACAATTTCAAGCAGAAGAGACCCACAACCACACAAAAAAAATCAGAAAGACAAAAGGAAACCTTAAAAATCTTTTACTACTGGAACACCAGGCCAAAATGGGTTATCTTAAAAAAGGACAAGTCTTCAATGTTACTGAAATTTCAATTGTAAATAGTTGCAAGACTTAAAAAAGAAACATGCGAACAGCCCATTAAAATGTTTATCTCGTGCATTTCTGCACATATTCATTAATTGGTAACATTTTAAACTGCAGAATTTGCAATCAGAAAAAAGGATGCATCTAAAACTCCTAACACGCAGATAGATAAAAACAATCTGGTGGAAAAGTTTAATTAAAAAAAACTGCAGTCTCATTTAGAAAGGACATCAGTTCAAATGACATCTTAAGGACTGTAGGGATATGTAGTTTACAGGGAATGAGGAATGGCAAGCAATGAACCACAATTAACCACAAAATAACGAATTACTTAACAGCACAGTATTGTGTAGCTTCTACAGGCGACAGTTTCCGATGATGCAGAGGACTTGAGGTTACCAGATAACAGGGAGAGACAAGCTGTGGAATAACCACAAAGTCAACAAGAGCCACAGACTCTCTCATAGAAAAGCCAGTCGTTCACAGCAAATCCGGGGTATAACCAAACTCATTCCTTTAAAATGACTCACTACCAGCACATTGCAAGTTTGTTCACAACAAACAATAAAACATAATGAACGAAAATATATAGGTATTTGTTGTCTTATTTTCTGATCAGTATTCAAATTACACAAAGATACTTCACACAAAGTATGTTCTACTAAACCACTATAGTGAAGCTTTGAATTGAAACCATAATTTGAGAAAACTAATGAGCTGTACAGGGAGTTTGTTTTAATTTTAGAATTGCAAACCTTTTAAAATTTTAACTTTTAACCTTTCATTATATGAAACATCTTACAAACTACTGGATCTTAACAGCACTAAACATGAAATACAAAAAGTAGAATATAATCTGAAAAGCTACTCCTCTTCTTAAAAGAGAAAACTTCATCACATTTAATTTCCTTATTTCCTTACTGAAACAATTTTTTGTCTATTAATGCAAACTCCAAAGGCAAATCTCTCCACAAACCTGGGTACGAAGCCTGCAGATGTAGAATGTTACAGATCTAAAGCCTGTCACAGGGGCTCTGTGTTTGCTCACTGTCAGTCGAGCCAAGACCATTACAATACTAGGGCAGAGATACCAAAATGTTTGTAGTTTAAATACTACTTCTTACATTTCTAGCTCTTCTATCATGCCTGACCTTATTACTGCTCCTACATGCAATCACTTCAAATCCTAAATTTCCAAAGACGTGAGTTGGCTACTAAGGGTGTCAAACTTGTGGCCAGCCAGCCAGATCCAACCTGCCAAGACTGTTTCTTGGGAATGTGTGTCCTTTGGAGACAGATTCAACTTGTGCTTTGTCTGACCCTGAACAGCCCACATCCGAAGTAGGTGTCCTTGGCGATGATACAGTATCAGTCTTGTATACACAGCACTCTCTGCGGTGCTGTTCCTCTGTCCAATCACAGTGCTCCTGCTTGATGACCTCATAGATTACTCTGATAGGATGGTCTTTGCACAAAAATGGTGGGGAATAAAACTGATACCGCAAGACCTGTGCAAACACTTCATACAAACTATCTACTGAATTAGCGACTGAACTACCACTGACCTCAATGAAACTGCATCAACTGTTTATGAAGTCAAAATATGATTTTTGAATATGGCAATAGCGGTCTTGTAATTATGCCACTGAAGTCAAATAATAATCATGTGGTTTAAGAAAATTGGAGAGATTTATATTTCTTTGTAGACGTAGATGGAAATCTCAAATGCTTGATATGGACAGGAAGCTGATACCAAAGAGCAATAGCAATAGTTGTAGGAGCTGCTTTTGTCACTTGATACCTTGCCAATATTGTTCACTATTTTCAGTGTTTATTGTCATGCAAAGTCCACATGCAAAGTCCACTTAACCTTACCGGTCGCTGATTCTGTAGAAAATTAGAGCACTATTGTTGTTTATAAGAAGTCCACTAAAAATTGTACAATAAATAACACAAATATGTAAAAATGTAAACCATTGAACATTTGCAGCGCAGGTAAATTTAAGGCAATTTTTGTTTGACTTTCTCATTCCATTCCTCATTTTCTTTGCTCTTGTAACACTTGAAGCACTAGCAACACATATTGCTGACATGATGTTTAAAATAGGCAACATTCTGTTATAGTGTAAATGGTATACAATGCAGTATAGTAAAAAAGTCCAGTACTTAACTACTTTACATTTTCATTGTATCAAAACTTCATAAAAATCAAGTCCTTTTATAGAAAGAGGTGGATGTATAGTAGCCCTTTTATTTTTTTCAGCTATTGAATCTTATATTCAACAGAACCAAGATTTACAAAGTGTACATTTACAGTATATCTTAAATTACATTTTATAATACTAAACAATATATGCCTTACTCAGAGGGCAATATGTTTTTTAAACCAACGTGTTGTGATGACACACAGACTGTTAATTGCAGTTTAAAGAGAGGTATTTCACTGTGAAATAAAAACCAAAAACACTACGAATAAACAGTACTATGTAACGGCGGTGTCTTGTATTTTAATACTGCTTAGTAGTTGTGTTCCACTTGAAGTACATTTCAACCAAATTTGGTCTGCCACAGCAAATTAGCTTGACACCCCCTGTTTACACCTTCATTCCTCTGTCTGCTTTGAGCTACAAGGGCCATAAAACTGACTACATTAGCTTGTACCTACATGACCATAAGAAAGCAAAATATCCTCCAAGCTGAGCTACAGCAGACACAGTCAGGCAACAAGCAAGAATTAGGCATGTGCTCAGCATTTAAAAGTTGTTCTTTTCCAAATTACAGGTTTCACAAATAGCATAAAGATGACTAGAGTGGGGCCTTTATGAGAAGATGAACCCAAGCGCGTTGGTGTTGCACATTTTGCATTGTTGCCCTCTGCCTCCAGGACTCCACTTTAACTTCAACTCCACAGTCCTTTAAGAAGCTACAGTAAACTTTTTTTAAACATATAACCATCAGCTCAGAAACAACGGGATTCATAGAAATGAATAATGAACAAGACAGGGCTTCTTAAACTGCTATCTTTTTTTCCCCAATTCAACAGATCAAATTAAATGAGTGATTAAACTCACCCACATGTGACCACTTGCAACTGACCAGACCTTTGCCTTGCAAAGCATGAAAATCAATGAGACCTGGTCTGACCTGAGGCGTAACTGTGACTTGGGTTTCTCAGTGGCAGACTCTCATGAGTTCGGCAGAAGTACAATTAAAATTATGGGTTCACTTGGAGATTTGTCAAAATGATGGGTTGTAATTGAACATATCAAAATGTTCAAAAAGGATAAAAATGGCATTTAAACCTGTACTGCTTTACTGATACAGTGTAAAACACTTAGAAAGGCTTTTGTTTCTTCGTGCTTTTCTTCTTAAACAGGCAGAGGTGGGAAAAGGCTTACCTGCTCCTGTGGGCAGAGGTGCTGTGCTCTCATCTGCAGGCTTGCATGTGAACATCTGTCTGTGCAGCTGCACACATTCCGTGGAATGAGTAGCATTCGTGTGATTCATCTTGCTGGCCGGAGCACCCTGACAGTCCTCAGAAGTGTCACAGCTCAGGGGGCCCCCTGCACAGTCACCATCCCTCGGACCGGCTCCAGAGGACTGTGGCCCTTGTGCTGGAGGGGACAGGGGCTGGGCAGAGAGACTCTGCTCTGGGATTGAGCCCTGGAGCACCTCAGGCTCCTCATCCTCCGGGATGGGGTTGTACCAGATTTCTCCCTCATCATCAGCATCATTCTCTTCCGTGGGGTCAACAGGCCGATGATGGGGCAGGGCGGACCGGAGAGTTCTGTGAGGAGCAGGAGTAGCCTGGGTCACAACGTCATGAGGGTGCTGGAGCCTCAAGGCTTTCCTGTGCTCTAGGGGTGTCACAGCCCCTTCCAGCATCTGGCTTTCAGAGGAGGGGCTGGGGGAAGGGGCTACGTGGCCATGGTCTTCCTCTGCTGCTGCAGGTACCCTGCTATCCTCCAAAGTTTGGCTCCTACTGGAGCTCTGCTGAAGCCAGTTGCGTTTTTTGGACACAGTGATGCTGTTAGCGGTCAGTCTGGGCTCATTCACCTCACAGCAGCCGGTCACTCTTGCCTCCCATCTGCCCATGCTGGAGCAGTGCACTCGCTCGATCAAGGCTGGAAGAAAAAACAGAAGTCTGAGTTTCCTGGACTGCACCACAGCACACCTACAGTATTCAAAGTCTTTTACCCTTTTTTTTTTGTTTTGAACTACAGTTACTGCAAGTTGATGAGCATTATTATAATGTCATACAGAAACCCAAGAAGGTTATACAGTATATGAACATATCTTCATACCCCAAAAAAGCAGAACTAAGAAACCTGTGTTTTAGACATCACCTTTCTGCTGCTTAACAAACACATATACTAACTTTACATTTCTACATACTCTTCCCTATGTCTACTTGTACTTATATTGTGTGTACACATAGGCAAGTGCCTTCCACAAAGCAGGTCAAGATGACTGAACTCATATCAGTGTGGTTTTCATTTGTCTGAAATGTCAGGCAGTCTAAAGCCCATGACAGCACAATTTCTGGTTTAATTGCTGGGCAGATTTTCTCACCCCTGGCCACTTCCCAGCAAGGGGGCAGCCTAAAGACAGTGGTGGGTCAAAGTAACTCAGTGGTTACCCTGCAATTAATACACCAACAAAAATGTGATGAATTACTCATGTCTGTCTGAAACTTGCAAGAACCTTTTGTGACCAAACACAAACTTTAATAACCAGCTACAACCCCCTGGCGCTGCTCACCAGCACTTTACATGCAGATTATGGTTACCCTGTGAGTTAAAGGCCGCACAGCTCAGTCTAGCTTTTCAGTGCACTTTGACAGGAAGAATCCAGAGCATCAGAATACTGCAGCCGTGAAAATACACAGGCATTGAACCTTCCCATTTCGTAAACATAAGCCACATTTAGCCACTATAAGGATTAATTTTTCATGGAGGAAAATGCTTTAAAGGTTCTACACAAAAAATATTCTTGTTTTTTTCAACTGACATGCACATACTGTTGGTTTGTAGGCAATTTAATTTTTCCCACATTCATACAGCAGCAAAACCGAATCCTCTTACAGGGTCACTCAGTCGTTATTATGTAATGGCTTAATAATTTATTTAACAATAACTTTACTTCATGGTTCACTTACTAAAGAAACAAAAGCCTAAACAATAACTGTATCAAGGACATATTGTAGCGATGTGTGGAAAAGGCTAAACAAAAGGCAAAAACTGTGAGCTCAATATTCCTCTATCCCACTCCAAGAAGATTTGGGTAAGTGAGAATGTGAAAAAAATAAGCAAATGGTCATGTAAAGAGTTAACTTAAAATCAGCATGAGCCTTTCTAAACCTTGAGTTCCGGTTCTTATCTTATTTAAAAAATGCTGTGTAGAAAAAATATTGTAAACTGCAGACTCTCCCAGGCAAATACCTTCACTTGTTAATAACAAGTTTTCCTCTCCTAAAGGAAACATGGATTTCTAAAATCATATTTGTAATCCCAAAATTACAGACTCCAATGTACAGTTCCCTTATAAAACAAGAATACACTGGCTGGCTGACAAAGTCAAATTAAATTAAATTACAATTCCTTATCTGTAAAAAAGGCAATTTCCTTTCACTCCAAAACAGGAATAGCAACACTGCTGCTGTGCAGGGAAAAGAGTGTACTGTATATAACTGGACATTTAAACAAACGTTTAAATGTTTTGTGCTTAATAGGAGAGTATATGTTCATAAAAAGGGCATAGATAAAACAACTTTTAATGAAATGTACAGCCAGCTAAGAAAAACAGCATTATTGCACGTCAGGATTGATGGATTTAGATAAAATGGTTACAGTTTTAATGTAAAAGCCAATCTGAAAATGTCTCTCTGTCACACCAATGAAGTTCCAGATGAAAATTATTCTCTATTTTTCAAATATAATCTGTTAATGCAGAATCAGCCATGCCTCTCACATGAAGAGTTAAAATTGAAAAATCTATTTACATTAATTCAAGTGTGCACAAACATTTGTTAAAAAAACAAAATAACGTTGCTTCAACTTCCCTTTTAAAAGTCTCTGGATGCTAATCTGCTTGTCATTAACTGCTATCTCTGACTACAGCGTGTATACCTGCATGGGGTCTTTCATAATAACACAAGAGCAAGCTCTCACATGCAATGCATTCCAGATGGAAGCAACATATTTGCTACTTTTCTGTCTGTTTTCACACTCTGAAGCCATGGAAAAGATCCTGTCCACAGTGTTCTGTAAACAGGACACATCACTGTGCATACTCTACAACTTGATGTAAATGTGTTACTCTCGAGCTAGATTAAAATTAGACAAGACGATAAAAGAAACAAATGCTTCAGAACATTAAATATACAGAGAAGCAGGTTATGTTACACCATACTTCTGGTGTAAGCATGTACAGTACGCCTCCACCTATCTGCTGTGCAATGGTGCTGCTGGTGCAGAATGGCCACGGCGTGTTACCCAAGTGGAGAGTAGCACTTCAGAAAGGGATAAAATGGGTCCCTTTCAAAATCAGAGGCTCTTTGTGATAAAAAAGCACTATACACATACAAGCAATTAATTAATATTTATAAAAATGTATCTAACATGCAATATGAATTAATTTTCTCTATCCTAGCCCCTGGAAATAAACCCTCAGAAGGTGTTGCAATAAGTCAAATACTTTTGAGAGCTTTGCACTGCTGGTAACAACACTTCTACCTCTAGAAAAGTACCAGCATTCATTACAGGAACAACTCAAAAGAAGAGGCTGCGTTGCACTTTTACAAAAAGCAGCTTACTGAAAACCAGCACAGATCACTTGCAAAACTTGGCATTCAATAAACAGTCAGGAAAATGTGCCTTAACATGACTCAAGCAATGAAATTTGCTATAAATGGTAAGCAACTCAATTATTAATTTCCTGCACCACAGAAATCCACATTGCCTATGGCTCTTATGGTGGTTAAAATGCAGATCTGAATCAGAAATTGCAACTAACATCAGTAATTAAAGGAGGATACTTTCGTGGACACTGGTGAAAGATGAGTCCACAATGTAGCACGTATTTCTGATAAATTAAGCTTGAGTTTATCTGCTAAAAGATAATTATGTTACAGTTTACAGTTAAAATGACACCACAGGTTTCTTTTGTAGAAGCCTTGGCCTCTTCACTTCAGCTGTCATTGATTTTCTACCTGCTAGGAGCAAAGCTAAACCAGATACTAGAGAAATTACGGTCAGAACGAAAGGCCTTCACGACAATCATGGTTAAACCCCTGCAGGGATGCAACCCCACTGCTGACTGCAGAAGATTTAATTTAAGCTCCGATCCTCTGGTAAGTCTAGTGACCCCTCAGTACAGCAAACAAAATAGATCTCCCTGGTGACCTGCATGCCAAACACTGAAGACCCCTCATATGTCTGGAATTCTTACGCCCTGGGCTGCCTGTTGGAGCCCCTCTTAATAAAGCCCCTGACAGCAGAGTTAATTGGATAGTTTGTCAGAGGACCATTTGCTCTTACCTTCACCCCTGCAGGGAAACCAAAAGGGACCTTCACAAAGCTCACCTGTCTGGAGCCAATACATGTTGCAGGGTGTTCCACACTGCCTGCACTTCTGCCGACAATCTGATAATTAAATCCTGTCTTGTTTCAACATCCCCTGTTAATCCACATCGTCTGTGGGACAGCGTGTTTACATTCTTGAAAGAGAATCTGAATTTCACTGACTATGTCCGAACAGTAGAACATAGGTAAGACAATGGAAATAGTCATATCAGCTGTAATGGACTCAAATATACTGTTTTAATGTATTACCTTATTTGGGAATATTAAAAATATTTAAAAGCCAGGCCTTTCACTGTAGTACTGCATGGCTGACACAACTGATTCTTCTTTGCATAACAGAGGAAATGAGGAATTATTTTTCTAAATCCAAACTTGAATGCATAGAGGAACTTTTCAATACTTCTGCTAAATGTCAGCTGCATACACCATTGTGTAAAAACCAGAACCATCAGCCAATCTAAATTTCGGTGTCATTTTAGAATATTTAAAGTTGTGCATCTGCTCAATTGGGTTCAATTCATTTTACTATATGAATATAAAACTAAATCTCAGATTAAAACCATCTGCACAGTGTATATGAAAAAATATGCTTACTGTAATTGTAGATCTTAGGCTTATAAATGAGAAAAGGGCTATTTTTATCAGGAGCTAAATGATTTTACAGTTGTAATCTGCCAAGTGACCTCAATACACATAGCTCCTTCATGACGTATGAGGGCTTTTTTCCAGATTGTCTAAAAACTGGTATTTTCACATAAAAACTGATCCCCCTGGAGCTACTGTACTTTGAGAATCATCCATAACACAACCCTGCAGACAGAGAGGCACAGGGTGCTTCCCCAGCTAGCAGCCTCCTCTCAGCAAACAGAGATATTGTTCACACATGAGCTGTGAGAAGCCAGCAACACGAATCAGAGAAAGACAGCAGCCTCACTGGCAAAACCAGGGCTGCTGTTGCTCCCTCTGAACAAATAATCATGTGCCCCTCTGGTGCTCAGCCAAAAAGTGTCTGTAGGATCCCTGTGGAAAACGCAAACACGTGCAGGACACGCAGGAAGCATCCAAGCAAAAATGAATGAATCAAGCCTGGAGCCCAGTTCCTCCCTCTGACAAGACTGTTTCTCTCAGAAACTATTTAACACTGTAATACAGATCATAGGATGAAAGTTTAAAAACCTCACTACAAGAAATATGATGATCAACTGGAAACAATTACAACTGCAAAACCGGGTGAAATGTAAGCTTTCTGAATCTGTACACTTTTTCCAAATTTTAGAAAACAACATTACCTGGAAATATTAATATGAAATACGCTACTAGCAGGCAGGCCTTTTGAAGCCTTCCATGCAATTGTACCTGCTGTGCTGGTAATTATTTTCATCTCTGGCGTTACATCACATGTCACAGATTGTCCAATACATACAGCGTTCGATTTTGTAAGCTCTGTACAGACCACGGGCTTATCCCAATATCAACACACACAACACACACTCTACATGGTATGGATACCCTTGGTTCAGAACTGCACAGGTCTTCAACAACAGGCACTATTAGATTGTCTGACACTCAATTCCCTAATAGCACCAGCTACTACAGCCACAGTTTTCTAAAACTGAAAAGCATTAGAAAATAATACTAATAGGTATTGTACCTAATCTTACAATAAGAACTATAACAGGAATCAGAAATTAAAGAATAAAAGCATTTTCTGCATTTTTCACTCAATATTCTAAATTGGGTATACTTAAGGGCAACACAGCCTTAATGTTATTTTTCCTCAATAATATAAGAGACTGAGACAAGGCTGCAAACGAATAGCCCCTCTTCCATTCGGCCCCATTTTGCTCCTTTGGTAGTTTAGTAATTGAGTGAATGTCGTCCAGTCATTTCTTGAAGTTGCCCAGAATTAGGCTTACCAGACAAGAGGTCGAGGCCCAGACCCAGAGACCCACTATTCTCTATAATGAAGAAGTGCTTGAGCTTGTATATGTATTTTTTAAAATCTTCCCTGCCCTAAACCAAAAAGATTTAGATCTCTCACCCTGTCCATATATGACTAAATTCACCGAGACCAGATATCTTGCCGCTGTGTCTGTATTTTCCACTCCCCCTGTTTCAGCATCATCAGCACATTGGACTAGTTTCCTTACTACATTAAAATCTAGATTGATGATATAGATCAGAAGAGCAACAGACCCACAATTACTGATTTCACAGTGGGCATTGCTCCCAGTTGCTTGCTGCTGTGTATCACCAAAATAAAGGATTCTCTTACTAATATAAAATAAAAACCTCTATTGTGAATGACTGCAGTGATAATTATCTGCAGGCCTAAGTATAACAATCCGCACACTAAATCACAATGGTGAAAAAACGTTTTAAGAATAAAATTATAGTTGGATCAATTCTATTAAAATCCTGCCTAGGAATTAGGCTAAAGAAGTACAGAACAAAATCTAGAGCTAGTCCTGTAGCGCTGATCCATCTATTTTAAAAAGTGCCCAGCAGCTGGTGAAGGCTGAGGAAACCACAGTGCACCCCAGAAGCACAGGGCACAAGGAGAGACACACCAGCCCATCGCAGGGCAGACACACACAGGAACACATCAGAGTCCAGCGTCCATCTAGCCAGCATGGCTTTGAAAGGTAGGAGGAATCCAGAGCACATGGAGTAATTTCACACAAGCACAGGCAGGAAGATGCAAACTCCACATCAAAAAGCACCTGCCTGAAACACAACCTAGGACTCGGGTAATGTTACACCAGCACATATTCTCCAATATCATTCCATAAGAACTCCAAAGTCTATATCCACAATATAAACACCTGTATTCCAAGCTTTTTTTTACAGAACTTTAAAACAATACAAAACTGTGTGATTCAGCGGCAATGATCAGTTATTGAAGCAACATTTAAAGGGTGCTAAAGAGTGTGTTAGTTCTTGATTTCCTACAGCAAAACTTTCACCTTGCAACTACCTACACCACGCAGAAAGAGAGACCCCTCCACCAGTGTTAAAACCACAGGGAAAGAAAAGAGCTGAGCGCAGCCCCTTGCTTTGCGTCCAGAAGTCACCTAGAGGATCTCGGACAGAAGATGACAGACCGGGAGCCAAGACAGCATGGATCCCACCGTCAGGGCAACGTGCCTACCTGTCTGCTGGGCTGCCTGGCAAGGAGTCGCGCTCCCAGCGGTCTTACTGCCTTGAGGCGTGGTCATCAGCCCCGAGGGTCGCGTCCTCTTGGAAGAGGCGTCTTTCCTGATGGCACGGCCGGCCAACGAACTGGGGGGTCCCTGGCCGCAGAGAGAGGACCCCGCGATGCGCTGCTTCATTTCTGAAGACAGCATGCGCCCCCTCTGCATCCACTCCTGCATCTTGTTGACGGTGACCCCGTGTGGCTTCGCAGACGCTCCGCGGCGATCTTTAAAATCCTGCTCCCCACCGTGAGCCTCGCCACTATCGGAGGAGCCCGAGAGGCTCCCGTTCTCCCCACTGTCCTGCAAGAAGTCATCGCTACACAAGCCATCGTACGGGGGACCCCGCCTGGCCCGCCCGTCTTCTACAGCTACACCGTACACCTCACTTCCACCATCTTGTTTAACAAGACGGGTCGAGGCAGCGCACTGTGAATACGCCCGAGGGTATTTCATAGCTCCATCGCTAGCCGACCTCTGGAGTGAAGACCTTACTTTCGCAGCCGATAAGTTTTCAAAGCTCCTGCTCACTGGAGAGCTCCTGCTCCTGGAACGCGGCTCGCGGGGGTCACAGTGACTCGCCTGTAATGAATCCGTGTCGGACAGCTGTTGGGCGCTGTGGTCTCCAGCGGACCACGCATCGCTGTCCGCAGCCTTGACGGACGCCTGCGAGCACACACTTTCCTGAGAATGGCTGCTGGACGTGCTGCCCCGGTCTGTGTATCCGTTAAGACCAACCTGGTTTTCAAAGCTGATGTCGTTCATTGCATTAATGAGCAAGTAATAAGCTTCTTGTAGCTTGGTCCTCAACCTGTCTGTTTCTCGTGCGCTGTTCTCTGGTCCATTTTGCAGGCTGGCTTCTGCTACGGGATGCACCAGACTAGCGATTTCTACACCTTTCGAGCCATGAACGCAACTTAACTTACAGTGTTGCGAGTCGGGTTCATAATATGGGAGACTTTCGTTATCATAGTAATCGTCTTCTTCACTGTAGACTGAATTGTGTCGCTGCACACTCTCTCTAACACTAATGCTATACGAAGCCAGTTTTGCATCGTAAATCTCCAATTCGGTGGGGAAAAACGCTGTGTTCTGTAAACTGGCGATTTTGTACTGTCCAGTAAATACTGAACAACCTTCGTAACTTTCAGTATGGTCGATAAACTTTTCCTCTAAATTGTCATTGTCGTTGTGCTGGAACTGACCGGGACCAGCAAGCTGACGCATTTCTTTGACGTTCATGTTAAAATTTGTTTCGAATATTCGTTTGTGACCGGCTGGCAAATTGTTGTCTATTCTGTCTTTAAAGGTCTCCGGGAATCCCAGATAAGAGTCAGGTTGCTGGGAGAAATCAGTTCCGTCGCTGCGGATCTTCAGATCTTTTTCACAGCCCACGTTTGTTCTATTATTCTTTGAAACGAGATACTGCCCGTCTGTCAAATTCACCTCCCTTGCATCTGTAAAAGCCTTTCTTCGGCTTAAAACACGATTTTCACCAGTCCCAAACCCTATCGAGTCCCCGGAAAAATGCTGCGGGACGACGGCAGGCTGCATTTTCTGTTCCAGGGTTCGTACTTGTGCCACGGAATGGAGATCCTGCTCATTATACCCGCTTATCTCGTCTCTGTCGCTCCCCCTCGCCTGAGTTTGTCTTTGAACTGAGACCCCCAAGAGTTCCTCATTAACTCGACCCCTGAGCCGCAGCTCCTCGCTGCTCTGACCGTGCGGATCCCCCCGTCTGCTTATGCCCCCGAACGTCTCGCACTGAGCCAAGGCACTCTCAAGCACCACACTGATCTCCCCGCTCGGAGGCTCGCAGCCCCCGTTCAAGCAGCTCTCTCTGCCCCTCATCGCTTCTGGCTCGTCACTCAAACCCGCAGCGCTTATTCTAGCCTCCCGTGCTTGCTCGTCTCGCTTTTGCAAAACCCTTTCTTTACCTTCACGGTGACCCCCATTGGCAGCAACGCCGAGTCCACCAGCTGCCGTCCCTTTCTTGGATTTCTTCCCCCGAAGTTTTGCTAGCAAAGTCCTCCGCAGAGGATCAGCCATTCCTTTCCGGCCCTGCGTCTCTCCAGGTTCAGTGGGCGCTCTCCGGCGAGCTGAAAGCCAGCTGGATAACCTTTTTCCCAGTAAAAACTCTCCGGCGCTCCACGGAGCACTCCATTCTCCACTGTCACCGCTCTCTTTCCACAGCTTGCTCGCTTGCACCCTCTCTCTCCCCCTGGATTCAAATACTTGGAATATTTTCTGGGGGTGAAAGGTTAAAACCCTATTGCGCAAACTCTACCTCCAAACACCTTTTTTCCGGTGTGTTCTCTCACACGTACCCGCATTTGGATGAAAACTCGACTTTCTTAATTACAATCCCGTCTTTTGGAGTTGCGCATGTAGACGGCGAAAAGGTTAATACGACTTGCATCAGCATTTTACAAACACACGGAGACAGTGCCGGTTGTGTGGTTTCTTAAAAATATAAATCCGAATAATGATAGAGCTGCTCTTGTCTAGCCAAAAAAATCAAATTCGTGGGTTTGACAGCGCTGTTAAATACTTTGTGGTCGTACCAAGTACATATAGCATATAAACACAAATATATACAATTTAGCAGTTATTTTAATGTTTGGAGATGTGTTAGGATAATAAACAGTGAAAATGAAACGATCGGGTTCATATAATACAGTGATTTGCTCTTAAGTGTCTGGAGACTATGTAATCGCCTGTTGGAAACGTCATTTCACACGGCAATTAAAATGACCGCAGCTTCGACTAGATCGGCTGAAAAAACATTTTTTTTTTTTACATTTTGTGAGGCTGTGCGGATTTGAAAATGTTTACGCAAAGATAAATGCTTCAGCAATAACCATAAAATCCCTTTAACGTTGCCTAAAGAATGCATGCAAATCAGAAACAGCGTAACATTTGCACTAGCTGTGTAGCAATCTTTGTTACACATTGCTACGTTTGTTTTTCGACTTGTCTTGTAGGGACTCTGGCTGCCAAAGCTCAAGTCATTTCTTTGGTATGTTTTTGTTATGTAGGACACAATTAACATACAGTTTGCAATTCGGTATAATACGCTATCGTCTGTAGCATATTATAACAATTTAAAAACTCACATTTAACGACTGAATCATTTATTAAAGAAAAACAACACCGCGCACACAATGCATGACGTACTTCTCTGATAGGGTTACAGAATGGATAGAAGCCATGCGCATTCCAGCGATTATAAAATATGTAAATGAAGCACAAAAACCTTGCAATAAACAATTACAATTTTGTTGTTCAAAAGGAATTTGACTGCAGCAGATTTTGAAAGAAAAAACTCCTTTTGATATCTTGTTATGTAATATTCTGTGTGTGAATTTGACTCGGTAAGGGTGTTGTGTTAAAATTTGCTGGAAATGCACCTGTTTGGAAAAGACACTGTGGAGTGTGTACTCTGTGGATCGTGATAGACTGACACATTCTGCAAGACTTTTTAACGCGTTAAAATCTGAGTTGTATGTTGTCAGACGAACAAAAATGTATAACATGCATTTACAATGCAATGTATGCATACTGTATACAAAAATGTATAACGTGTCACTATTCTGAAGAAGTCGGCCCGGTTGCTTTTGTTAACACCTGTGAGGAGTTCAAGTCCTCTCGTAGTCTATGTTGTTCAAGATTAAAAAGGTTCTGTTCCTTCAAGTAGTCAGTGTAGAATGTCTCCTTCATCACCAGATGGATCAGGTTGCTCCTTTCTCGACTGATCTCAGAGCAGCAATATCTTTTTTTATAGCATGGTGACCAAAATTAAAATATTCTAAATTAAGTCTTACTAGTGTATTGTATACTTTTAACTTGATATCCCTAATTTAATTTCTACACCTTAACCATATCCTAACAATTTGGTGCCCTTTTTATTGCTTCCCTTCATTATCTAGGTCTGAGATGTAAATTATGTGTCATTATAAACACTTGTCTTTTCACAAAGTCGTTCCCATACATCTTCCAGGTAGGTATTTTCCATAGAATCTGTAGTTAAAGTTTTTCTGCCTTTAAAAAAATAGCATAATTTGCCCTTGCCTACGTTAAATATCACTTACCAAGTGTTTGCCCAGTCTTGGTTTATATCTAAATATGTTTGAATGGACTCTCCTACATCTATAGTGTTCACTTATACTTCTGTGTTAGTCATCTGGAAACCTTACTAGTTTACTAACTATTCTAGAGTTTATATAATTAACATAACTTGGGAAGAGCAGATCGCTGTGGTATTCCACTAATTATGTCATCTCACATGTCAACACACCCCTTGTCTGCAGTGTTGTCTATCAGTCTGTTCTTCATCCAGATACATGAGAGCCTTGTAGGCCTCCTTTCTGAAATTTAAAAACTAAACATGAAATAATTTTAAAATAATGGTTATGTGGAACTAAATATACTTGACTTACATGCTATGTGTGTATTTCTGCTGTCATTCATTCAAAGAAGTACCACGTTTGTTAAACAAAACCTGGCCTTTCTAAATCCATGCTAACTACCCATGGAATCCTACTCCCTCACACATCAGTCTCTATTTTAGTTCTGACTACCTACAGCATAATAAAATATGCACTTGTTGGCTGAGTGTCTCCTTACTTGCCCATACTGGAACAAGCTAAGTAGAGAATCCATAGTGTAGTGATCCACTGCAATATGTGTGGAAACTCACAATGTATTTTATATCAAAGCACTATATTAACTGTAAGGGAAACAGTACACAGCTTCAACTTCTTCAGCATGCCTTCAATACAATGTCATTTTCTAGATAGAATCTAACAATGGGTGCAGTTGCTTACTTCAAGGTTGCAAGATTTGTTTTAATGAATGAGCTGAACTTGATAATAAAAGCCAAGAAATGTCAGCACAGGAAATGACAGAGTACAAGATTATAACTACTGGTGTCTGCAACCAGAGTTTGATCTGTAATCCCCTGGGATTGTTTCCATTTGGACCGTTTGCTACAGTGGTGTCAGAAGCAATCAGGCAATCTGATAATGTTCACTTCACTCAGCCTGCATTACCTTATTTATCACGACTGTATGCTCATTCCCTTTCAGTGGTTTTCAAAAGGCATCTGTGTAAGAGGAGTGAGGTGTTCTGGTGCTGGAAACCCTTCATTCCATATTCATACTGAACCGCACAGACAAGTGGAGAAGGATACTTCACAGTGGAATTTATGTTTGTGGAAATGCCAGGGTGGGCTAAGGAAAAGGGCCAGTCCAGTGTTCCCATGCTCAGAGAAGCCATGTTTCAATGCCTGTCTGAGCCAGACAGATGGAAATCCAATGTTGCACTAATGGTCTTCCAGAACCAAAACAGGCAAAGAGATGGGAAGAGAGAAAACCACCAGTTACCCAGGCAGACAGTAGAACAGTAGAAGGCAGAACACAGCCCAACACAAAACACTTCCGTTTCTCATCTAAATTCCTTAATATTGCCACTTTCATTCCTCATCCATGTTCTTAATTTCTTTAAGGTGCTGTGTTTATTAAGATGCTCTGTCCCTCTCACTTTAAATGAATGTTTGCACTGTCATAGAAATGCTGAATAAAATCAGAAGTCCAACTCTGACCCCAAGCTTAGGAATACAACATTCATTGTGAAACTATTTCATAACGGAGATGTTAAACATCAGGGAGTTTACATAAGAACACAAATTAAAACAATGCATTAGATGTGCTTTGTTTCTTTTATACTTCAGTAGGTAATAGTTTGTTTCAAATAAAATGTAGTTGTAATTTTTGCAGTTCTTGTCTTGTAATTGGAAAGCTGAAGTACCATTTATTTTCCGTTCTCATAGAGGACCTATCTGATGTGTGAGAGAGTGAGTATGCCCCTGTGTGGGAGTCTGGCCACACACCACCCTCTCTCTCCTGCCTTGTTGAGCTGGGAAGCCAATTCTGAAATAAGAGAGTGTATTCAGTACAGCACTGTTGAAAAACTCACATTTTCATTTTATAGCACTCCACTGGACAATGAAGGAAACAACTATGGAATTTCCATGTTATACAAAATTGAAAATAATGAGCTGTAAAAGCCCTGCAATTAAATGTTAAACACATCACTGTATTAGTAGGAACAACAGCAGAAACCTTTTATCTAATGGAATGTCATCATTTTTTGTGTGCAAGTATGTAAGTGACCATAATGAATGACCTTTTCTGAAAATGCTTTCTTGCTTTAAGTTAAAGCACATGGTGGCACATACTTGTAGCATTCCCCTGTCCAGGCATGTTAATGAAACTCCCAGACTAAGAAGCAGACCCTCCAATCTTTGTTCAAATCAACACCTTCACAAAAAGCTGGAAAGGCATTTCAGCAAACAGTAGAAAAATAACCTCTGGCCAATTTGATATTTATGGAATGTATGTAGGACAGGAGTCTCACAATCATACTGAAATGAGACAAACTGATCCACTTTTTAATTTCTTAACACAAAGGTGACAGCATCATACTTAAAAAAACTAATAGGTCTGAATTGCTCTAAAAAATGCTCATTTTACCATTGCATGGTAAGTTTTAATTAAAAAAAACGAAAATAAACAACAGTGAACTGGTTATATCACTTAATTTGATAATTTAGCTTTAAAACATATTGTACATAACCTTTAAGAGATTGCTTACTTAGAAACCATCAATGTAACGTAATGTCTCAAAGAATTTGGTAGGCCAAAAATTAGTTGCTTATTGTGCTGTACAAAACTATGCAATGTGTTAGTGTTTTTAAACCATTATGAAAAGTGTGCCATATCGATAAACTTGAAACTCTCTTGGACTCTCGTTAGCCATCAGTTGAGGTTGATCTTAGTAAAAAAATTGAAAGCAATTCTTCTAAACAAGATTATAACAGAATACAACAACTGTAATATATAATATGGATTTTTTTCATTGAAAAGTGAAAACATAGGTTTGTACAAATAATTAATGTAACCTAACCATATTGACTCACCAGGCCAGAGCTCATCCTAGTTTCCATGGAGACAGGCGGACGAGAGCATGTGACTCAAAGCTGGTCCATCGCAGTGATCAACCCCCCCAGCACTGCTTGTCCCTGTTTATATGGCAGGGTGGATTGGAGTACACAGGGTAAAGAGTGTGACTCAAGGTTCAACAGCAGCAGGGACCTGAACTCACAACCCACCAGTCACGAGGTCAGAGACATACCCACTATTCTATGTGCCCCCAATGAGTGTTATATACTATACTAAGGTATACTAAGGTGACTATACTACAAGGGGAGTATAGTCTAGTAAAGTCATTAAAGCTTAATCTGACCATTGCTTGTCTGGCATTTTTCACAGAGGCAACTGAGGTGCATCAGGGGAAAGTGTGGAGTCTGGCAATGTACTGTACCTGTATGCAGTTTTCAGATCAGAACATTCAGTTCCTGCATTTTCAGTTTTAACATCTCATTTCTGGGACAGATCACATCACAAATGCTACTTTGTTACTGGGGCATTGATTGGTTTCAAATGTTGGCCCTTTGGGAGGAGAGCCACCTACTGGTTTACCAATAATGTGCTTTTAGCTGTTGTCTCCTATCCCAGTATTGACCAGAACCAAACCACTATTGACCACACTCTGCCTTCAGGGACCTTACAAGCTCAGGCTAGAATGTGCTCATTCTGCTGTCTCAACCCTACCTATAGGCATGCAGGGTACCTGTCTGACTGTCACACTGAGCTTTGAAAACACAGCTCTGACAATCACTTGAACAAGTTATTTTTTTCTTTAAAATAAAAACATAAGTGTTTTTGGGATTAATAAAATATATTTTTAACAAATCTTTGTATATTGTACTCTGTCTTTTAAATCAAAAACAAATTATTGACTGGAAGACATCAAAAGGTAATATTATTCAGAAGCTGCAGGGCATATAAATAATATATAATATAATAATATAAATAATTCTATGACTCCAACTCAAATATTTGGGACAATTGAAGGATTAGTCAGATGACTGCAGATTGAATGCTAGGTTTGATGTTTTGAAATGTATTTTCTATAGCTTCTTTATAAAGGTTGATTATTGATTAATGATAAGATGTTAACAGAACTTACTACAAGAAAAGTACAGAAACTTAGGTGATGTTCGAAATATAATTAGTAGTACAAAAGTGTTTGTAAAATTAAAACCATATTAAAAATTCAATAAATGACTATGAAAGCCAACAGCACAGGATTTTTTGCTTTTTAATGCCCCTTAGTATAGTACTGTATTATTAACCTATGTAACAAAAAATGTTTCCTTTCCTTCAGATCTAAAAAAATACAGAATAAATGTCTTCCTAATAGAGTTGGAAGAGCAGGAACAGAAATACTGTAACTGCAATGAAAATATCAGCTACCTGATATTTGATATGGAGAATCATTGAATAGACAAAATTAGGAGTTCCTGGTAAAGTTTTGAAATTGTTACTTTTACTACAGTATATACAGTACTGTATATCTATAATATCCACATTCCTTGTGCAATTTGCAGATGAAAATGAACTAGAAAACCAAGAGCACTATAAGAACACCAGAATGCAATTACCTTTCACCCCTATTAGTCTTGATCAATATATTGATTTAATTAGTATAATTACTTACATGACCTCCTGTATTTAGGCCGCTCAAACAGGGCCTGTTATATTCACTCTCCTGACCTATGTGCCCATAGGTGAAATCTCATGGGTTCTAGTGTCATATGTGGACTTTCTTGAGTGGAGTCTTTTTTAAACTGTTTATTTCCGGAGGGTGTTAGAAAATTAATAAATTAAATAGTTGTAATAAATACTAAGAACTGTACATTTCATAGGAG